TTTTTCAAATCAAAATGAACCTGGAATTGACCTCAGGTTAAAACAAACAAACAAACAAACAAACAAAGCACCTTCATTTGTCCTGCAAAGCTGACTTGAGTGTGATGAAAATCATGACGAATGAGCAGGCTTTTCTTTTTCCTTGGCCAACAGGAAGCCCGGCTATGCCCCTGGGGCTCAGCGGACGGCCGTGTGGTTTACGGTTCCCATAATGGCGTTCCGGTTTTCTCCGTGATATTGATTACCCCGACGAAACATCTGTCACTGTCTGCCCCACTGCCCCGGATCCACCTGGCCTTGTTTGTCACTCCAGCCATCTCTGATGAGACCAAGGACCGGCGGGGGATATTCATTTAAAACCTGGCCGGGCCGTTTAGGTTTCCCGAATCGAATATTTGAACCAGGGGGTGCAAAGTACATTTCCAGTGGACGGTGGCGGTGGGTGCTGCGGGTGCTACCAGGTGCCCTCCTCACAGATGAGGCCCTCTGTCTCTCAGCTGCCGGGTGTCGGCCGCTGTGGGCTCTCAGCTGATTCCTCCCTGAAAATGAACCCTTCACGGAGCTGCCTGGTGCAAACGCATATCCACGGGGGCAGCCCATATCCAAAGACGGGATGTCCTAGTACACAGGCCCCCGTGGCTCGTGGGTGGCATAATTTCTGGGTAAACTCTCTGAGGGCAGCAATGTCGCATCAGTCCAGGGTCCCCCCGTGGTTTCCAGTGTGTCTCTGCGGTTTTCCAGGGACCCCTCCAGCTGTGCACGGCTTCGGCTACACCTGCATCGCTGTCTGCCTGAGCAGGTGCACAACCATGACCTGCTTTTTGAAAATGCAATTTTATTGGCACGGCCAGTAGGTCACAGTGCACATGCGTGCCTGCCGTACACAAGTGTTCCCCGCGGTTGCCCATGGGCTCCCGTGGCAGGACTGAGCGGTCACAACAGAAACTGCATGGCCAAAGCAAGCTAAAGTGTTCATTACCTGGCCCTTTCAAAAGACGTTTGCTGACCCCTGTCCTAGAAGGAACACGTGAGATCAGCATTCGCCACCAGGGAGGGGGTCGTTCCTTCCCTAGGTTGGAGATGAGACTGGCTCATCTCTGATGGTCTGGGGCTCAGTAAGTACCATCCCAGAAGAAGACTGAAATCAAGGCCGGTGTGTGTGCAAAGAATGTTCTGTGCCGGCCGCTGCAGCCAGCCCTTACCTCTGTGCGCTCACATCCGCCTCTCGGTAACGCCATGAAGCGGGAACTACATTATTCCCATTTTGCAGGCCAGGAAACTGAGGCCCAGAGAGAGCAAATGACTAGCCAAGGTCACACGGTGGGGATGCGGCAGAGCTGGGGCTCACTCCAGGTCTGTTTTGGGGCACTCCTCTTGGCTGCCTCCCAGTAACAGAACTGGAGGCCTCGAGAGACGAATTACCTGCCGAGGAATAGCAGTGAACACGAAGCAGGTGGGCTGAGTCGGCCCAAGCCGTGATTGCTGAATGAAAACACTCCCGAACCCAGAACATCTGTGTGTGGGGCTCTGGCGGCCTTTCCTCGGGGTGAAGGAATCAACCGCCGGAGGACCCGACTCCCGAGGCCACCCGGGGAGGGCAGGGGCGTCTCCAGAGGCATGTCACCCAGCACGTGAGAAAATGTCACCCAGAGCAGAGAACAGAGTGACTTGATACTATCTGAAACCCCGCCGGGATGAGGACTAAAGTCTCTGTGTTTGAATTTAAAAATCAGAACTTGCAGGTAGGTTTGGTCCAGCTCCCCAGATAAAGACACATTTCATGATAAACTAGCCCCTTTGTCCCCCGAAATTGAAAGGATTAAGCATCTTTTAGAATCCTCTCTTTTTGCGCTACATGCAGAACTGTATTCAATTCACCTTGTAGTGACAACAAAACTTCAGGGAACAAGGGACCGCGTGTGGGAGGCCTGTGGTTCGAACACAAAGAGCAAAATTGTTCACGTTTTGCTTGTAATAGAGAGACGATAACATGTCAGGGAAATTAATCCGAATGAAGATGAACAGCCAAGTTGCCCTGGTCACTTCCTGTTCACACAGGGCAGCTTCTGGTCCCTCTTCTGGGACTCTGTCCACAAAGTCAGAAGGTCACCAGTTCACACAGGGCGGTGGAGGGAAAGAGACACGAGCCACGTGAGCAATTCGTGGTTGGACCCGCCTGAACTGCCCATCTCGCCTTTTACCAGCTGTGCCCATGACCCGAAGGCTCCGGCTCTGAGCGGCCTCTGGCCCTTGCTCTGTGATCAGATAACCATCGAGGGTGTCAGCACCACACTGGTGACCCGTCAGCTGTCACCGCTGCCTCTTAGTCTACGGAAACCTCCCACCCAGCAGGATGTCTGTCCCATCACCTCCTTTCATTCTTTCTGACAGTTGTCACGAACAAGCATGAACTTGTTTAGGTTTTTCATTGTCTGCCCAGCTGCCCCTCAACCAGAAGGTGTGTCCTGCACAGCAAGTTCGGGTCCGCCTCCTCTGACCCTGCATCTCCACGGCCTCACTCCCAGCAGGTCATCGGCGAAGATTCTGTGTGACTGTCCTTTTCATAAATAAGCCAAAGGTGCTCAAACATTTCACATCCTCTTTTTCTCTCCATGTTGAGTTGGCTGTGCGGTTTTAGGGGTCCCGGTTATAAAGTATCCGACTGTCACTGTCATAAAGTGATTGTTCATTTCAGATAGATCGACGGAGCCCTGTGGGTGTGGCTTAGTTGGTTGAGCATCGTCTTGTGCACCGAAAAGTTGTCAGTTCTCGCTTGGGCTTGTACAGCAGGCAACCGATTAAAGTTTCTCTCTCTCTCCCTCTCTCCCTTCCCCTTTCTAAGCATGTGCTTGGGTGAGGATTAAGAATATAGCCCTGGCCGTTTTGGCACAGCAGTTAGAGCATCAGCCTACGGTTTAGAGAGACCCGGGTTCGGTTCCCGCTAAGGGCACGTACCTCAGTTGCAGTTTGTCCCCGACCCTGGTTGGTCGTGCGGGTGGCAGCCACTCGATGTGTCCCTTTCACGTCGATGTTTCTCTCTCTCTCTCTCTCTCTCTCTCTCTCTCTCTCTCTCCTCTCCCACTCTATCTGAACAAAAAATGGGAAAATGTCCTCGGGTGAGGATTAAAAAAAAAAAAAAAGAATATGTGTGTGTGTGTGTGTGTGTATTTCACTCAATGGCCAAAGACCGTTGAGCACCCAGCACGGGCCGGGCCAGTGCCAGGCCTCCGTGCCAGGAATCCAATGGTGAGCAAAACAGAGCGCCTGCCCTCATGAGCGTCCAGGCGAGTGGGGCCGGTGGGGACACATGTTAAGGGCATAGCAACACAAGTGTGAGTGCTGCAAAGGAAACCACGTGCAGGGCTTCGGAGGAAGTGGTGTTTGAGCTGAGATTTGAAAGCCACGTTAACGAGGTGAGCTCACCAGGTGAACTTGCTGAAGTGGGGGGAGGGTTAGAGTTAAGAACAGAGCTAGGGTTGGAGTAAGGGTAGGATGAGGTTAGAGAAGAACTTTCCAGAAAAAGGGACTAGCGCATGCATGTGCTCTAGGGCTCAGGTGGATGTTGACTAGGGGTGAGTAAAATAGGCTGGAGCCCAGCTGGTGTGGCTCGGTGGTTGAGCATCGACCCATGCACCAAGAGGCCGCCAGTTTGGTTCCCGGTCAGGGCACATGCCCAGGTTGTGGGCCTGATCCCCAGTGCGGGGCATGCAGGTGGCCAATTGATGTTCTCTCACATCACTGTTTCTATCTCTCTCTCCCTCTGCCTTCCTCTCTCTCTAAAATCAATAAAGAAAAAAAAATTTTGTAATAATAAAATAAAATAGGGTAGAGACAAAATAAGTGGAAGAAGAGAAGTCAAATTGGGGGTCATTTAGGAGCTACAATATCAGAACTTGGTTTGTCCTTCAAGGGCCATCTGGTGGCTGGGGCACTGGCTTTGGCCTTCTCTCGGACGGGTCCTCATGGGGTCCTCCATGGCTAGCAACCTGGCTTCCAAAGGAGGAAGCGCCCAGTGGGCATCCGAGTGTGTGTGCCAAACAGGGACTGCAGGTGGGTGAGCAGGAGGCCCCGGGACACACCTGCCTCCGTGGGCAACAGGGTTTCGGAGCCTGGACTTAGACTCGGGTGGGGGCTTTCTGGAGCCCTTACATAGATCACTGTGGGCAGGCAGGTGTTTACAGGAACCAAAGACCGTGCTCATTAAAGAGATCAATTGTGTCCATGAGAACCCACACTTAATAGGTGACTGTTGCTTTATTTAGCCCTCCCTACACCCAGTGTAGGAGCATTGGAAACAACTGGCCCCGAACACGAGCATCATGGTGTTTTTTCCCCTCTGATCAAAGAAAGACTCCAATGAAAAGGGGGAAAAAGTAATTAAAAAGTAAAAACCTTATGTAATGAAATTTAAAAGAAAACTTTTGAAGCCAACAAGCAACTGTGGGCAATGCTTCAAAGGGCCCGGAATCAATGTTTGTCAATAGCAGTTTTGCATCCTTTAATTTATCTTTCATGAATATAAAGCGTGATGTTATTAGGAGCTCATCCGTGCCTTAATTCTGTTTGAGATTTGATGAATCAGAACTCTATTCACATTCTGTGCGAATCCTCCATGTCAGAGGCCTGATGCCTCACCCGAGCGGGGGCTTCCTTCCCGCAGCTGGGATGCTGTTAACCATCAGGCCTCGCCCACTGGACACCGGGCAACCCCCAGGTGCAGCCAGAACCCGGGGGCGCTTTATCTCTGCCACTTTCTTTGGAGACTTTCTCCCAGAAACCACCCCATGACAGCCCAGCCCCAAAGTTACCATTTGTTTAATCAAGATAGTTGGTTTGCAAAACATTAAACATTAAACAGTATTTGATGCCTAGTTAATAATTTGCATCCCCTGCATTTGTTCCTGAATCCTTGGAGACTGACGTTCCCCCCTTAAAGGCACCGAAAGAACACTGTCCTTCGAGCGGAATAGGAGTCCTCGGGCCGTTAGGCGCTTGCCAGCATGTCCGACCTCCACGTCCTGCTGCTTCTGGCTCTGGTGGGAAAGTCAGCCTTCGGGGTAAGTGTTCCTCTCAAATACCTGCAGTTGAGAGACGCGGAGGTAATCTGAAGGACCCGACCAGCTGGGCCAGGAGGGAGGAACTGTCCCTGTGAAAGGCTGGAGTCAGCAGGTCGGATACCTCCTGAGGACCAGAGCCGAGGCAGGCCTGGAATGGTTGGTTGAGCAGCCAACTCCATAAAGCCCGGCAACTGACTCGAGTCGTCTCCAGTCTCCATGGATGCCTTCCATGGACAGGGGTAAGAGATTCTGCTGAGGCCATGGGTTATGACCTGGCACGGGTCTCGGAGACCATTCGAGAAGCCGAGGAAAGTTGCACACTCTGCCTCTGCACACGGTGACATACACCCAGTTTCCCAGCCGTGTGGGGCGGCCCTAGGGTAAGAAGCCTTGTGCTTCAGCCCTAAAGGAGAGTCCTGCCGGCTGCCAGGGATCCTGGCAACAGGTTTACTTAGGCGGATTCGATTTGGAGAGGAGTCTGTGGGCAGTCTATCTCTTCTCCCCCACCCCGTGACCATGGCGGCAGTGGGTAGAGGTGAGCAGGCCCCAGGGAGGTCGTGCTGAGCAGGGAGGAGTGGGCATCAGAGGCTCCCGCGTGGGGAACTCACGACCTTCAGGAGCAGAGCTGTGGTGATGCCGGCAGCCGTTGTGGTCCAGGAGGGCTAGCTGGGTCTCTGGGGCATCTGAGTGGGATGGTCAACAAAACGAGAGCCGCCTGGAGTTCCAGACTGGAGGCTGGAAGGGGGGTTGTGGAGCCAGAACTGGAATCTCAGCTCCGCCCCGTGCTAGCTGCAGAATGGTGGGGCAGCATCGCGATCCCTCCGAGCCTCTGTTTCCTCTTCTGCAAACCAGTGCTAATCGCTCACCGACTCGGGGAGGGTCCGGGTTGATGAAACCGGCGATGCAGGTGGCAGTCACCAAGCGCTAGCCCTTTCCCCTTAAAACTTCCGGAATGGCCCTGGCTGGTTTGGCTCAGCGGTTGGAACGTCGGCTTGCGGTCCAGAGAGACCCGGGTTCGGTTCCCGCTAAGGGCACGTACCTCGGTTGCAGTTTGTCCCCAGCCCTTGTTGGTCGTGCAGGTGGCAACCACTCGATGTGTCCCTTTCACGTCGATGTTTCTCTCTCTCTCTCTTCCTCTCTCTCCCTCCCGCTCTATCTGAACAAAAAAATGGAAAAATGTCCTCGGGTGAGGATAAAAAAACAAAACAAAACAAAAAACTTCCGGAATGGACACACGTTGTCTATAAACACCCCAAAACACACCCCTTTGTTGGGGGGAGGGTGGCAGAGCGTCATCAGGGAGATGAGAACTGAATTAACAGCCATGACCTCTTTATCTCATTACGTATCTTTGCATTTTATTTCCTGTTCTACTTCATAGGGCTTTTTCCTGCAGGAAACAGATTAAATTCCAGGTTTTCTGATTAGCATGCTTTAAAAACATACAGTCCCCTTTCAGCAGACGGCGCTCAGAAGCCTGCCTTGGCCCCGCCTTCAGCTGCCAAGTGTCTGCTCTCTGAAGAGTTTTATTTTCCAATGGCGTGGCTGCGACGACAATTCATTAGCGAGCCCCCTCCACCATCTGATTGCTTGTGGGATGTCTGGGGCCAAAACCCAGCAGAAATATCACACAGGTCAGAGAAAAGCAGTAGAAATGATCAGAAGCCCTCGGGGGGTCCCGAGAAAGTCCCAGGCAGAAAGAACGAGACCCTGAAGTTTGCAGGCACGAAGGCGAGGTGATGCCGACTCTTTGAAGTTCACAGAAAGATGATGGTCCCACAAAATCCTTTTTATCCCTGTGAGCCCCAGTGAATTTGGGGGGTTAGCAATGAAATTATAAGTCAATAATGGATAAAAGAGAAAACGCGAGCGCTAGCCTTCAGGCAATACGAGGACTCGGGCTCTGGAACGTGTCACCCCGGAGTGCGCCAGACAGGTGGTCGGGACGGCGGCCTGCGCTTCACAAGCCAGAGCACAGACGACCAGGGAAAGTGGCCAAGTTGCTCAGATGCTTTGGCGAGCTCAAGGCGTCATGGGAGGGAGGCGGCCACTGAGCAGATGGGCTGGGTGGCCTCTCCTGCCCCAGGTAGCTAAAAATAATAACCGACTGCTGCCCCTTAATGAGAAATCCTGTGTGCCAGACCCTGTGCTTTCTGTGGGTCATCTCCAGAAGGACCCTAAGACGTGGGTACTATAGCCTGGCCGGTGTGGCTCAGTGGATTGAGCATCATCCCATGGACTGAGAGATCCCAGTTCAATTCCCGGTCAGGGCACATGCCCGGGTTGTGGGCTCAATCCCCAGAAGGGGGCATGCAGGAGGCAGCCGATCGATGTTTCTATCTCTTCTTTCCTCTTGCTAAAAAATCAATAAAACATATTTATTAAGAAGTAGGTTCCGTATTGCTCCTAATTTACAGATAAGGAGCTGGGTGACGTGGCTTCAAGCCGCACAGCTGGGAAGTGGCTGAGCTGAGCTCTAGACTACAGCCAGTGTCCGTCTGTCTAGACAAGGTCTCCTGCCTGGACTCTGGCTGAAGGTGAGACTTCTTCAGTCCATAGAGCTGCAGGGTCATGGCCCTTCCTGCAGGGTCAGGAGGCTCTTTGACCAGGGGACTGTGGGTGGGCGGAGTGTTAGGGACTCCACGCACCTCTGATAATTAAACAAAAGAGGTCACAGGGTCTGTGATGGCCGTCCATTGGAAGGACGCCCGGATGTTCTCCCATGAACTCAGAGCATGCAGCAAATCTTACGATGACACCTCTGGCTCTTCTTTAACTTAGATTTTTATTCAGATATCTACCATCCAAAGAGGTATAGTGTAGGTCAACTATCATTGCCATGGACACAGGGATCCAGTCACAGGGTCTTCCTGGTCCAGCCTAGATTTGGGTGTCCTTACCAGTCAGTTTTGAACACCTGTCCCCGGCCCAGCCTTGTACTGTTGTCCTTGTCTTATGGATGGGAATCAAGTCCAGAGACAGTAGACAAACTTCCTGGCCAGGCTGGGCACGTTACAGGAGGCCCGCTCGACTGTATGAGAGTCAGACACTCTCTCCGGGGCTTAGAAACCTTTTCTTATGTGGTCTTAGGGTGATTTGGGGTGCCATGGACTTAGCCAGGTTGGAGTCTGACCTCTTCCAGGGTCAAAAGCCAGAGCACAAGGCTTGTTGGGCCTGCCCTGCGTGTCTTGACCCATCCCAGACAGGGAGAAGACCATGGCTCATCCCCAACAAGGGGTCTGATCATTAAAATGCATGTTTGCTCCCATTTCTGAGCTTTCCAAGCCCTAGAGTTTGAAAGAACTGGAGAACCGCCCCTAGACACAGGGCTGCTGAAATGTTCACGCAGCCCAGAGGTCGCAGACAGGTGGGTGGAGACACCTGCTCGTAGCCCGAGTTTTATCTGGAGGGTAGAAGGTCAGTCTGAAGAGCATTTTGATTTCCTTTCAACTGCTTGGCGACATTGGAAAATCAGGACATTTCACATAGAAGTACAAATCTCCAACCTTTCGTGAAAACCAGACATCCTCGTTGCATGGAGTTCCCGCCTCGCCTGGCAGACAGAGAAGCTGCTGCTCCCGTTTCCAGAAAACTAAGCCTCCCCGGTCCCACAGGCCCCACAGGCCCCACCGTTCTCTACTGGTGACACCCTTTCTGCCGGAGTGATGACACTACCTGCCTGTTTCTACCTCAGAGAGACAGAGACAGAGAGTGGTCTTGTCTGGTGGTTGTTCACAGTCACTGTGGCTGTTGAAGTATTGGAACCCGTTTTGGATGGTCATGTAACGGAGGTCAGCCTCTGATTAATTCAAACATCAAAATCTTCATGGTTCCCAGGACAACGAAGGCGGCGGTCCGGCAGATCCGAACCGTCCCGTCCCAAGCCTCGATGCTCTAGAATGCCAGTCTCCTGCAGTCTGAGGAGACCCCTCCCTCTCGCTGCTATCCACACAGTCTTTGCAAAAGAGAGGGGCTGAAGCTCACAGGGCCTTCTTAGAGATTTTTTTTTTAACTGGTCCTAAGCACAAGCCCAACCCGTTCCCTTTGGCCGTGTACCCGGGGAGGTGGGGAAATCAGGTCGCAGGAAAGCGCATGTTATCTAGGCACAGATCTAGTTATATTTCAAAGTCACCAGGGTTCGCTAAATGCAGAAGCCGTTCTGCTGTCACAGGGCAACAGCGTGGCGGAATATTCGGCAGCCGGGATTTTAAATAAAACATGCTTTTTCTTCATAATTAATATAACAAGGTTTCCTGGCTTAGGACTTGGCAAAGATCCCAGGTTAAAAAAAAAAAAAAAGAGGTTGGGGGGATGCTAGGGACACGCCAGTGACCCAACCTACAAATTCCAGGGAGAGTTCGTGCGGAGTGAGCTCTTCTCAATGGCCCCACGATTTGCAAAAAATAAATAAATAAAAATTTTAAAACGTCCAGCTCACCAACAGCAGTGGCTCATGGTCGTAATCACAGCAGCAACGATTTGTGGGTTATTGTGTGCTTCCTGTGATTAGACCATTAAAGCTTCCGGGCACCTGTGAGGCAGGGACCTCTGCCATCCTTCTATTACAGAGCAGAAACCAAGCTCTAGAGAAGTTAAATAATCTGCCCAACATGGCAGCCCTGGGAAGTTCAGAGCTGGGATTCAAACTCGGGTCTGCCCGAAGCCAAGTTCCGTGCTCATAACCACTGTGGTGGAGGTTGCCATGCCAGATGCTACCCCAAAACAAATGAGACCTTCCAGGAGGCCTGGAAGGTGGCGGAGGGGGCATGGCCCTGGGACTCCAGCTTCAGCCAGGAGATCAAGCTCCTCCCACATGAAGGAGGCGCCCCCAGCAGGCCCGGAGGTTTTTCCTTTCAACACCAGGCAGATCCAGTCTTGCCAGATAGCTCACCGATTAGTTCAAGGGCTTGCAACATGGTAAGAATGAATGAATCCATCTTCAAAAATTTTGTCAAAGCCCTAACTGGTTTCTTAATACTTTTGTTAAACAGACTCACCTTTTCTCTAGCTAAACAGATGCATTTTTAAAAAGAAACCATCATAACGACAAAGGGGAAATTCAAAGAAAACAAAAGGATGTCATTGATTCTGGCTGGCTGCAGTCTCGCTCGGAGCCGGGGGGGCCCCTTCTTTTTCCCGGTAGAGGGGAGAGTAGCAGAGGTGGAGGAGAAACATTTACCAGCACCACCGAGTGGGGTTGGAAGGGCTGACAGGACAATTGAGAAGGAAATGACTTTCTCACTTGTGTTTGGATGTTATGTACACCCTGGCCAGGAGCCACCCGAGTCAGTGTGGGTCCCACGAGTGGTCCTTGTCCCACGTGACCTGGCCTGTGGACAGCTTCAGGGATGGAGTTGGTTCCCATCCGTGGGCAGATACTTTTCTGAGCTGCTGAGATGTTTCTGGGGCTGAATGATCACAAAGGTTAGTGTAGGGGCTTGGGCCCAGGTGCTAAGCCCCAGATTCCTTCACTCTCTTGTTCGTTTGCCTTTTCAAAGGGCTTCCAGGTGCCTCCACATTCCCCCCCGGAGCCTGCCCTCCTGGCCCGGGCTTCGGATTAGGACAGCACCGTACAGCCTGTGAGCTAAAGCAAGACAGGCGAGACTCCTTTGACCAGAAAGAACGATGGCACCACTTCACACCCGTGAGGATGACTAGAATTTTTAAAATGGAAAATAACAAGTGTTAGCAAGAATGTAGAGAAATCGCCCTGGCCGGTTTGGCTCAGCGGTTAGAGCATCAGCCTGTGGTCCGGGGAGACCCGGGTTCGGTTCCCGCTAAGGGCATGTACCTCGGTTGCAGTTTGTCCCCGGCCCTGGTTGGTTGTGCGGGTGGCGACCACTCGATGTGTCCCTTTTACATCGATGTTTCTCTCTCTCTCTCTGTTCCTCTCTCTCCCTCCCACTCTATTTGAACAAAGAATGGAAAAATGTCCTCGGGTGAGGATGATTAAAAAAAAAAAAAGAAGAAGAATGTAGAGAAACCGGAACCGTTATGCTCTGCTGACGGGCATGTAAAATGAGGCAGCCGCTGTGGAAGAACAGCATGGTCCTCAAAAGTTAAACATAGAATGACCGTAGGACCCAGCGATTCCTCTCCAAAAAGATGGAAAGCAGAGGCTTGAACAGGTTTTTTTGTTTTTTGTTTTTTTCCTTTATTGATTTTAGAGAAAGAGGAAGGGAAAGAGAGAGAGAGATAGAAACATCGATTGGCTGCCTCCTGCATGCTTCCCACTGGGGATCGGGTCCACAATCTGGGCATGTTTCCTGACCGGAATCGAACCGGCTACCTCTTGGTGCATGGGTCGATGCTCAACCACTGAGCCACACCGTCCGGACTTGAACAGGCTTTTTTACATCAATGTTCACAGAGGCATTGTTCACGATAGCTAAAAGATATAAATAGCCTAAGTACCCACCAACGGATGACAAAATGTGATGGACAACGGAATACTATTTAGCTATAAAAAGACTGAAATTATGGTATATGCTGCAACATGGATGGAGCCTGAAAACATCATGCAGAGTGAAATAAGCATGTGATTCCACTTACATGAGGTACCCAGCATGGGCGAACTCATAGAGATGAAAGTAGAATAGAGGTTACAAAGAGCTTGGAGGAGGCAGCAAGGCGGAGCTATTGTTTAATGGATACACAGTTTACGCTGGGGATGATGAAAAAGTTCTGGGTATAGATGGTAGTGATGGTAGTAGGCCCAATCTCTCCATCTGGCTCAGCGCCCTGCCTCTCTTAGGCTGGGGCGCTTTCCTGTGTCCTCCTGCACCCTTGCTCACAACAGAGGCACTCCACGGGGCCCTCATCCCTCACAGCAAAGGGATTACGAGGGAGGCTCTGGTGTAAGACGGGCTCCATTTTATCACGGCGCCAGCACTTACTAGCGGAGTTACTCTGACCAACTCAATCTCTGCCAACCTGTGTTCTGACCTCTGCAATGGACACAACTGTAGGGCCTCCATTATCAAGTATTGTGTGCAATCAATGAGACAATGCACGTAAAGTGTCCAGCGCAATCCTAGGCACGCTCGGCTCTTTATAAAAGTGAGCTGGGATTACAGTCTCCTCCTCCTCCTCCTCCTCCTCCTCCTCCTCCTCCTCCTCCTCCTCCTCCCCCTTTTCCATTGCTCTTCTTTGTTGGATTGGCAAGTCCCAGCAGCAGAACTTCTACCATTCATTTCCTGGTCTCCGTGCAAGAATATTGAACGGAATGATGAAATGAAAGAAGGCAAATATTGCGTCTATTCATAACCCCCACCCGCTCCCACCCTCACCCAGGTCAGTTTCAGGATCCAAATGTCCAGCATAAATAACTGGCTATTGACCTGGCCTCTCCCAGGTGGTCCCCCAAATACCCAGCCTGGTGTTGCGCTGCCCGTTTCCACATTTCAGCGCCGCAGCTCACTGCCGTGGACCCGGCCATTCACACAGTGAGTGGACCTGCTTTGGATCCCTGGGACCTCCTGACGTGCAGCCTGGGCTGCACAGCTGGGCCGCAGCTGCGAGGCTCCCTGAGAGCCCTGGGATCTGAAGCCCCCCGCCCCCCCCAGCCCAGGAGGGGCCAGCTGGGCTGTCTTTTTGTTTGGTTTCCCTCTCAGCTCTGGAGTTCGGGTCCAGCTCCTGGAAAGGGCACATCTGCCACCTGCTGGTCGCGGGCAGCACAGCACCTGGCTGTCCCTCAGGCTCCAGAACTGAGGCATGCTCTCTGCCGGGGTACAGGTGGTGGGGGCCTTTTCCATACTGCGACCTGCAGAGGAACGCTCCCTGAAGTCCTCCCTCCTGCCTGCCCACATCTCAGGGCTGACGGCGGCCAGGCGTGGCCCACACTATTCAGCTCACAGAGGAGTCAAGGGGACACCTCTATCTCCTCAGGGCTGGCAGGTGGGGAGGGTCGGCCCCGCCCTCCAGACAAGCTCCGCGGAGGGAGATGAAGTGGGGTAAAGGACCAGGACCATGGCAGAGCTGACCGGCTGTGACGATGGGAACGAAGGAGGGCAGCATGCATTTGTCCTCAGGGTCCTCTCTTGCCCCTTCTCGGTCCTGCCCTGACACTCAAACCCCCAGGTGTCAATTCCAGATGCTCCCCATTCAAGCACCATAGGCCCAGGACCACCTGCCCTTCCTCTGCCAAGCCTCCCACTATCAACCTGCCAGCCCTGCCAAACCCACTCCCCACCCCATGTCCCATTTCCTGCAGCAGCAGGGCAGGGGGACTAGGAGGCAATTAGACAGACACGGTGCCCACCACGCACAGCCTCTCTTCCTCTCTGTGCCTCTGTTCTCCTCCCCCACCCTTTACTTTGTAATTCTTCAAATCTATGGAAAAGTGGAGAGACTAATCCATGGATATCCTTCACCCAGATAGATGCTCTCTCCATGTGAATGGATATATGTGTGTTCGGTTTGTGGAGTCATTTATAGCTAAATTGCAGAAAGCCCCCTCAACATCTCAGCATGCGTCTCCTGAGAATAAGAACGCTTTCCTGCAGAGCCATTACCCCCTCGAGAAACCCAACATTGAGACAGTGATCCTACCTCATCTAAGTCTATCTGCACATTTCCCAGTTGTTCCAATGATGTCCCTTATAGCTATTTTTAAAACTCTAGGGCAATCAAGGATCACATGCTGCATGTAATTGCTGTGTCTCTTTAATCTTGTTGAAAGAACAGTCTTCCCGTCGTTTTGTGTTAGCGGCGCTGCCATTCTGCGGGGTCCAGGCTAGCTGTTCTGCAGCAAGCTCACCCCCTGGACCGGCATGCTCCCCGTGAGCGGATGCGGGGTAGGCACTGCTGTCAAGGATGCTGCTCGTTGATGCCCTCGGTACATCCTGTCAGGACGCATTCTTTCTTTCCTAAGTTAGCATCTGCCTAGTTCCCAACATAGGCAGTGAAGCCTACAGTAAGAAAGAAGTTAGAGGCCGGCAGGTGTGCTCAGTGGTTAAGCGTAGACCCATGCACCAAGGGGTCTCTGGTTCGCTTCCCGGTCAGGGCACATGCCCAGGTCGTGGGTCCAATCCCCAGTGGGGGGCATGCAGGAGGCGGCCAATCGATGTTCTCTCTCATCAATGTTTCTATCTATCCTTCTCACTTCCTCTCTCTCTAAAATCAATAAAGGAAAAATAAAAAGAAGTTAGAACTCCTGCTGAGCACACAGGAAGCAAGCATACCAAGCTGCCTGGACAGATGTGGGTCCCGGGAAGGTGCCTCCTGGTGACCTCAGCTTTCTGGCCACCAGGACCCAAAGAGCAGCATGTCAGGAGATAGACCCCTCGTTCTCTAAGTCGGAAGTCAGCAAATGTGTCTGTCCAGTGCCAGATAGGAAATACTTGGTACTATACTGTTTCTGTCACCACGACCCTGCCATTGCAGCACAAAGCAGCCACAAACACTATGTAAGAAAGTGGGTGTGGCCATGTTCCAATAAAACTTTATTTATAAAACCTCAACTGCTGGGTTTGGCCCAAAGGCCTGCATTATTGACCTTTGATCTAAGTGAAAGAAAGTAGCCCAGCTACTAAATGAGTAAACCTTTCTTTCTCTGGTAAGGACTGCATTCTCAGAGGAACTGTTGATGGCATTATTTACTCAGCACACGGCTTCTGAGGAATGCCAGGTGCCAAGCACGGTGCCAGGTGTGGGTAACAGATCAGGGACGACACTTTCGTTGCCTTTCCAGAGGGCACGTCAGCCAGCGCGAGGGATTCAGCCTGGTCTGCTCTGTGTTGTTTTGTCTTTCAGTTCTCCCTGACGTCTTTACTCCCAGACCTGGACCCAGGTGAGTGTGCAGATCACCCCGGACTCCCCGCCCACTGCAGGGTGCTTCTGGGACAGAAGGAAGGGAGTGTTGGCGTGACCTCAGGGTTCAAATGGTGCAGCAGTGTCCCAGACTCCTCTGAGAATCTTCCCGGGAGAATGCACCCCCGGGCGTGTGCCTGGCCAGACACAGTGCTTTACCCGATTTCAAGTTGCCCTTGGACACCCGGGATGCTCAGTCTCAGGACCCCAAGGGAAAACTTGCGAATGCAGTTAAGCCCCTTCATTTTACAGAGGAGGAAACTGAGGCCCAGAGAGGGAAAGCAACTTGTCCAGGTCACCCAACCCTTAGTGGCTGAGATGGGGTGACCGATACAAGACAAAGTGAGGGTGTCATCGAGCAGTGTCCGGCTCCAGGCGGGCCCACCCCTTAGGTGGAAAGCCTGCACTCCCCGCTGAGAGGATGATGTCAGCACCAAGCTCCCCCAGGCTGACCACCCTGGCCTTGGCTCTCACCAGCACCCCCACCTGGTCTGTTTCCTCAAGATTCGGTGCACCCACTTCCCAGTGAGCCCTGCTTTCCTGTAGGCTCTGGCTCAGAAACTCACCCCGCACCTTCTCCCCGCCCCCCTCTCCCATCTGCCGTGTCTGGTGGCCTCAGCCAGGCCCAGGCCAAGCAGGGCTGCTCCTTCAGGCCGCGCCATCCCCTCTTGGTCTCTGACTCTGGGTCTGAACTTCCCTCTGCTGCTTTGAGATGCAAGGAAGAAAAGTCCACTCACTACTCCAGTGGGGCAGAGGCCAGGAGCCCCTCCTGGCAGTGACCTGGGCTGACCCCCATTAGGGACAAGAGCCAGGCCGACAGCACGTGGAGGCTGCAGTCATGTCCAGTTGTGGACTTATCTGGAGCAAAGACGCCGATTACTGGACCAAATCCAGCTTGACAGCCCATATGCTTCTGCAGCAAAGCCCGACATGGGCAGACAGACTTGTACCACCTCAAGGCAACTGATGCCTGGCCTTTGCCCTGCTCCGTGTGCTTAGGAAATGTCTGTGGAATTAGACAAAAACATATGTGAGCCTGGTATGTGGGGTTTTCAGAGGACCTGTGGCTTTCCCCAAAGCAAAGGAGAACGTCCCATCCAACAACACGTAATTCAGATCCTTGGAGAATCCCACGTCAGAGGGCTCCCCTGACTGAACACAGCAGGGTCCACCCATGGACTCCAGGGATGAGTCAAAGCCAAGAGCCACGCCTCCCTGGCCCCCATCACTGACTGTTCAGGCACCGTCGAGGGGGCTGGGTGTCAGAGACACAAAACGACAGAACTGTGGGCTCACCCAGTGGAAGAAACAGGAGCATAAAATACCCAAGGGACCTCCCTCTCTTCAAGTATTTGAAAGGCAGCTCCACCCTAGTCCACGAGGTGGACTTTGTGGGAATTAAGAGGTGTCTTCACTTCCCAACTTCACCGCCATCTGTCAGAAAGCATAAAGGACATCTTCAATGACTACCTAATCATCAGAGTTGTCTAAAGATCTGAGTGGGCTAGCAGGCTCTTGATAGATAATGAACTCCCCGTCGCGGGTAGTATTCAAGCAAGGCTAGTAAAACAACTTTGCCAGGAGTGGAGACTGTTGGTTTTAACATCCTGAGATTTGGGCTCCGTAGGAACTCTGCCAATAGCTTCAGAGAGTCTGGTGAGTGGAGGAAGGGACCGAGGAGGGAGCCATCCTGGGCTCCGGAGCCCATCTTGAAGTATTGTCAGCCTCTGGCAGTGGAGCGGGGTGAGATGTAGGAGCTGGGTCTTTCTGCACAGGGCAGGTTAGGTTTTAAAAATACCCCTGTCCGTGTCTGATTTAATTTCCCATGGGGCTGTGCTTCGATGACATGTGTCAGGGCCCAGCAGGCTTTTGGCAACAGTGTGGCCAAGGAAACACTGTGCTGGTGTCCACAGGCAAGCTGTTTCTTCCGCTGGTCTTGCTGGAGACAGTGCACAGTGAGGGTCTTGCTGGAGCGGAAGGTGCCCGTGCCACAGCCCCGATGAGTGGCGGTACAGACTGCCCATCTCCCCAAAGCAGGTGAGGCGACAGCCAACAGGCCTGCGGAAATGCCTCTTCAAAGCTGGCTTGGCTCTGCCCAGCAACGCGGCCGAGCCCATCCATCAGCTGTCCTGCCGCCTGCCAGGGAGGGTCTCCGCTGGGCCGGCCCTGTCAGCGGACGGGAAGCGTCAAATGCAGACCGACAGGCCCGGGCTTCCGGGGAGGCCCTGGAGGAACCGTCTGTGCCGTGGTGATGGATGACGCCAACAGGGACGGCGTTCCAGGGATTTCTGTTCCGTTCCACACATCTGGCAAGCTCCTTAGCCAGGGCAGCTGCAAAGCCTCTGTCACAGGCCCTCTGGAGTTTCTCCGCGAGACCCGGGGTCTGGACATGGTAATCCTGGCCAAGGGACCTGGAGTCCGTGCTCGGGAAGATTTCGCAGTGCGTGTTACTTCCTCGCAGCGAAACCCGTGGACTTCCCTGAAACAGAAACCCCCAAGGGCTCAGGGCTCAGCACACCAGACTCAGAGGTAGGTTTCCGAGGTAGACTCAGACCAGGTTTCAGATGCCATCCACCTCTGCCTCAGTTTTTCCTTTTCTGTAAAATTAAAAGTAATAATACCTATGCCATAGGGTGGTCTTAAGGTTAAATAAAATTGTGTGCAACACATTTGTTTAGGATAGTGTCTGATACATAGGAAATACTCGATACATAATAACCTCTTTTTTTTAATCCTCACCCCAGGACCTTTTCCCATTTTTCATTCAGACAGAGTCAGGGGGAGACAGAGGAAGAGAGAGAGAAACATCGACGTGAAAGGGACACATCTAGTGGCTGCCACCCCCACGACCCAACCAGGGCCGGGGACAAACTGCAACCGAGGTACGTGCCCTTAGCGGGAACCGAACCCGAGTCTCTCTGGACCGCAGGCTGACGCTCTAACCGCTGAGCCAAACCGGCCAGGGCCATAATAACCTCTTGTTAGGATTATTCAGGTTAACTCAGGCTCAGGATACTTTCACTATTCTTCCTGATAAATTCTAGAAACAGACTGTGAAATAGACAAATCCACAAGGATTTCTTTTTATACCTAATACAATATGCTTCTGACAGCCGTTCCATTCTTCCCCAAAGCGCTCCTTTCCTGTAGCCTAGAGAAAGACTCAAGGAATCTATATTTGAACCTGGCGTGCTTTTCTACAATCCACCAGGGGAACCGAATTCTGTGTTAGGCAGCAATCCCTTTCCGCCCAGGAAAGTACCTGGACAGGTTTCTAGACTCCTCCAGAGCTCAGCAGGTAACTTCTTTACAAACACCTGACCCAAATCTCACGTAGTTTTCAACGTTCTCTGTTCCTCTGCTCCAAGCAGATACCATCCTCGCTGGTGGAGCTACGTGCCTGCTGCGTGTGGGCCAGGAGAAGGAAGGGCTTGGTCACAGGGGGCAAACAGATATCACACACACACATTCTCTGCACACGGGGCTCCGTGCGGGCCACTGTGGGGTGGAAAGAGGGATGGGCATGGCCCTGCTCTTAAAAAACCAACTACGTGGTTGGAGGAGGCACATCGGAACAAGGTAAACACCAGCCACGAGAGAAGTGCCATCTGAGATCTGTCCACAGAACCTAAAGCGTTGCAGCCACGTGAGCCACTGAGGAATGTTCTAACATCTAAAATTCTAACCCCGTTAGCAACCCAGTATCAACCAAGCCCTGTGTGTCTGTTTTTTTTTTCTTCTTCTTTATTTATTTTTAGAGAGAGAGATAGAAACATTGATGAGAGAGAACATTGATTGGCCGCCTCCTGCACGCCCCCCCACTGGGGATTGAGCCCACAACCTGGGCATGTGCCCTGACTGGGAATCAAACTGGCGACCTCTTGGTGCATGGGTCAGTGCTCAACAACTGACCCACACCAGCCGGGCTGTCTGTCTGTTATTACTGCACAATGTACTAACCTGCACTTAGTGATTTTAAGATATTAACCATTACCGATGTTTTTAGATCTTAATTCTCTAGGTTGGCCAGTTAGAGTGGGTTCAGCTGTGCAATTCTTCTGGTCGGAACCAGGCTGAGCTGGTGGGTCTCTGGGCCTTCTGCGGCCTTGCTGGGACCACTGGCCATGCTGCTGCCCCTCAGGTTGTCTCACCCTCCTGTAGAAATGGGCCACACTCTTTCACGTGGTAGTCACAGGGGTCCGTGAGAGAGAGAACAAGAGAGAGCGGCCATGTGACGAGCCTTCCGGAGGCCCACATGCTATTGGCCAAAGCAAGTCCCAAGGGAAACCCAGACCCAAGGGCTGGCGAAATCAGCTTTATCTTTGGCGGGAGGAGCTATAAAGCAGGTGGCCAAAGGAGTGGATACAGGGAGGGCTGGGAGTTGGGGCCATTTTCCCATCAGATTGGCTCAGGCCACACCAGAGGCCCATGTGGAACTTGCGCCCCCGGGCCTGGACTCCGCGCCTCTCGCCTCCCTACCTCTCCACTGCCCTTTCACCTCCTTCCTTGGCCGCTGTCTGCTCCCACCCAACCCCGACGAGAGGCTCCTCTGATGGAGGCCATGTCCCAGTCTCCTTTGTACTACGCCCCACTACTCCCGATGCCTTCCTGCACCTGGCGTAATGCTTGGCCCGTCGTAGGTGTGCAATGCCCGTTCGTTATCTAGACAATGGGATTAAGGGCCAAGAGCCCAGGAAAGACAAGATAAGTTTCAAGTTCAGAGGTGAAGAAACCCTCCCCGGTGATGCTCCCATGAACACCTCTAACGCAGGCGGCTGCCCCCCCCCCCAGTGGAAAGGATCTCCGTTCCCTTCATTTCATAGCCCCCCAGCGGGACGGCTTCTAGTGACCTGGGACGGCCGAGGCCCTGCTGTCTGTCCACCTTTACCGAGGGCCGAGGGCCCCGGAGAATAGCAGGAGTATGATTCAAAGCCTACATGTTTTATTCCCTCCATAGCTTCCCCGAGAGATGAGCAGAGCTTGTTCATAGGTCTGGATCCAAGTCAAAATCCTCCAACAGACACTTCATCCATCCCCTGTCACCTGGAGAAGTCGCTCCATTTCACCTCTGTAAATCTCTCGTCTCCAAATATCTGGAACAGGGTTAATTCCTAACGACCCAGCCGCGATTAGCCAGTCTGCCCCTCACCCGGCAGTGATGATAGAAATTACAGGAGCAATCTGGAGGTACTTATCTGTAAACACCGATGAGAAAAACAACAATACATTCTGCAAAGAAAAAAGAAAGAAAGGAATGATGTAATCCCTCATTACCAGATTCCATTGTCTCTCCCAAATGTCAGTTCCAAATCTTTTATGTCGAACTCAGAAAAACCTTTCCTTTTTTTTTTTCTTACTTTCTCTCGTTCTCTGCTTTATCAAACTAGATGGAAAGAAACTTTATTTGCTCCAGGAAGACAATGGCCTTATCTTCAACCTAGATCCTTATCCCTGGAAAGGTGGCCTCCTCTGGGAGCATTTTCATAGTGGGGAGAAGCAGTTCGGGAGAAATAATGAGCAAGCAAAGGGAGTCTTGACTTGACACTGTGATAAATGAGGTGAAACTCTGGCAAGGAACCAGAGTTGGCAGATTCAAAAAGGAAATAAAAAGATAGTTCCATTTTAATGGGAAATATAAAACAGCCATTGTGCAAAAGTCGATTTTTCAAAAGCCAAAGAGATAAAGACGAGAAGGGAGCGACTGAGAGACGAGTGGGGTGATGTGGTTGATGATGGGGCTCGGGTACAGTGCCCTCCGCGGAGCATCAGCTGGCTCGGCGGGGGCGCCTTTTCAAGGCGGCTCTCTGCCTTTGCTCTTGCCTCATTACCATATGCATCTCTGGGCTCGCCACACTCCCGCCCGCCGGAGACGGCCAAGTCAACGGTGTACAATGGCCATTTTTTAAATCTAGACAATGGGATTAAGTGCCAACAGAACAGAAAGGACAAAATAAGCTTTAAGTTCAGAGGTGAAGAAACCCTCCCAGGTGATGCTCCCACAAAGCACTTTTAGCGCAGGCTGCAGCCCCCCCCAATGGAAAGGATCTGAGTGTCCTTCCTTGCACAACCCTCCAGCTGGATGGTGTCTGCAAACTTCCCGCAAACGCCAAACTTCTCTCCATGAACGGAGCTCTCAGCGTCTTCCAAAGCCCCAGACAGCAATGAGGTTGAGTCCAGCCTCACGCACACATGCTCTTCCCAGTGGACGGGCCCACGGTGAGGTGCACACCTGGGGGAACTCCATGCCCTGCCCTGTCTTTCAGTGGGCAAGATCCATGAACCTGCTCTAGGTGATCGCTGGGTGATTCCTGATTAGCAGGCTGGCCATTCAGTGGGGATGGCTGGACCCCTTTCCCAAGGGCAAGTGTAGATGGACCTGAGACCTGTTAAGAGGCCAGTGGAAGCAGCCGAGCTAATGCAATCCAGGGGTTCTAGGGAGATAAACTTGTAATGTATATCCTGCTGCTTATTAGCTATGTGACCTTGGGCAAGCTACGTAACCTCTTTCAACCTCGGGTTGCTCAACTTAAAATAGAGATAATAACACATCTAGATTTTTATGAGGATAAAATGGATAGTTCATGTAAAATGCTTAATCCAGGGCCTGGTACATAAACATTAGTTGTTATGATGACTCTCTAGATACAACGGGAGAGAGTTTGATGCTGTGACCAAGAGGACAGGGCAGTTTCTTTGACTTCATTAAACGAAGGTGAATAGTTAAGTCCCATGGAGACATTTCATTCACAGAACCACCCAACAGGGCACTCAAGTGCCACTGGATATGACCCTGGAAAATGGGGACAGTAGAAATACAGTTGCCTTGTCCAAGGTCACAGTTAGTGGGAAGCCAGAACCCGACTTCTCCCCATTTCCTATCAGGTGCTGTTGACCCTGCCCAGTGCCAGGGCTGCTTCGCTGGGTTATAACAGACACCCCTCCCCCCACCGCCTGCCAAATGAAAATTCAGGATGCTTGACCTCTTCGTCCACCCCATCAGTGTGAGGAGCTGGAGAGAAACTTGACTCCTCCTCAGGACTTTGAAATCCTTGGGGGAAAAAAATATATTCAGCAAAATATAATGCTGATCTAATGATCAGGGTTCCTTTGGTCTGTCTCCACACCTGCAGATTGGACTCCTGACAACTATGAGTACAGCTATGAGGATTTCGCCCTGGAAGAGAACACCAGCAGTACTGCCCACGACCCCGAGAATCCTGAGTGGTACTACGAAGACGACGGTAGGTACCAAAGCTGCGTGGGGCCTCCCAGGAGGAGGGCAGAACACGTGCAGGAGAGTGTACACGTTACCACATGCGAGGGCCTCCCCCTCCTCCCGCTCTCTCAGGGCATCGCGGAATAGTTATCGAAGAAATGATTTAAATTGGCTGTTTTTCCAGCGAGAATTATAGACCGTGAGGACTGGGGAGGTTCTCAGAGACCATCTCTCTCACCCTCAAATGACAGATGAAGAAAATGAGGCCAAGAGAGGAGCTGACTTCGCCAAGTGGATACAGCAAGTTAGTGCCTCATCATCTAGGTCTCCTGACACTGAATGGGAGGCATATTCAAAATGATCCCCAGAGCTGAAAGAGTACCCTAATTAGGAAGAGTCTGCGTGAACATTCAGTGTCAAGCTGGCATTCACAAAGTTGGCGTTAGGACTTCTTCCCTTCCCTTCCACCTGGGCTGTGATTTTCTTTCTCTTTTCAACTCTTCAGAAGCCTTGTGTGGTTGTTAGTGTGTGTGTGTGTGTGTGTGTGTGTGCGCGCGCCCACGCTCACACATGTGTGCTTCTACCGCATTTGCTTTTGTTTTTGTGGTTTCTTAACTGAGCCATAGGACAGAGAGGAAAATGAGAAGCTGGCCCAAGCAAAGCCGTGTGACTAACACAGCAGAAGAAATGGAAAACACTCAGCCGCTGGAATAAAAGCTGTGTAACTGTGCGAAGTGGCCTGGAAGGCAGGGCTAAGATATGGGGCATCGGGGGAACATCAGAAGGGACCATCAAAACAAGAGCCAGGCCCAGGGATCCTGGTTCCTGAACCAAAGAACAATGTGTGTGAGCAGAAGGATAAAGAATTCCCCGAGGGAAGATCCATTCAGACAACCATGAAAAGCCAAAGGCACAGATGAAATATGACAAAATCTAACTGAACAAGTAGTTGAAGAAAGATGAAGGCCACTGGGTCATTTCCTCCTTGCCGTCAATTTTTCTGTCACCCTCTTGCCTTTGGTCTTCTTGCCTGATGTTCAGAAAGCTTGTGTTTCATTAGGGGTGGGTTTTCTTTCCCCAGGCCTGACCTCCACCCCCGGGCACTGGGAGTAGGGGAGGTCTTCAGGCTTGTGAAATGCATTCAGCATCAGAGACAGACCCCGTGGCACTCCCAGCGAGACTGGGAGGAGAAAAACACTGATGATGGAAAGGGGGAGTTTCTCGATGAGAAAGGCCCCGTCGAAATCCAAGCCGAGGGGAGCTAGTCACAATTTCTTCTCGCCTGTCCCTTTTCCAACCTGAATCCCTCTCTCTGGCTGCAAGACTGCCGTTCTCCTTGCTCTGTAAGGGCCATGCACGCTCCCCCCTTCCCCCAATCACTGGGTATGTTGTTGCTTTCTCATTTGCACAGGACATGAAAGTTTAATGAGCACGTAGGGGCTTCTCGCCTGCTGTTCATTGCACGCATTGCCTTCTGCCCATGTGTCTTAGATCCTTGCCTGTCCAACCCCTGCAAACACGGTGGAGACTGCCTTGTCCATGAGGATACTTTCAAGTGCAGCTGCCCGGCCCCTTTCTCTGGAAGCAGGTGTCAGGATGGTGAGTGCACCTTCATGGGATTCACTCTCCCCTCTGAGTTGGACAAGAGGCAGTTTCCTTCCCCAATGCTAGGGGGTAAAGAAGGGTTGAGTGATCCCACAAAGAAGGTTATCACCATGCACATTATATCACGCATAACGGGCCCCTCAACATGGTCACAGGCAGCATCTCACTGAATCCTCACCCCTGCGTGATAAATAGGACCAGTATGCCCATTGTACAGATGAGAACATCGAGGCTAAGAGGGCATAAGAGCTGGACTCTGACCAATTTGCATTCCCAACTCAGGACTTTTTCTGTTTTCTTTTGAGTGTTTAGACTAACTACAACAGAGAAATATTGTTCTCAAAAGGGAGAGCAGAAGGAATCTCAGGGCACATAACACCCAACTTAGAGAAAGGGAACAGAGAGAGTACAGGGGACTAACCCAAGGTCACACAGCGAGTTAAGAAAAGAGCATAAATTAGGGCCCTGGCACCTCATCCCTGGCTCCGTGCTCGTTCTTCCTGCTCTCCTCACTCATAGAGACTCTGATAAAAGCTGTGTCCACCTTCGGTGACTTCTTGTGGGCATACCATAAGCATGAGGAATGAAACTCTTGTGGACTAATTGCACCCCTAGAGAGACACCTGGATTCTGGTCCATCTAGCAACCATCTAACGGGGTGAGGGAGGCAGCCAGGGTCTTACATAGATAGGGTTTTATGGTTGACTTCTTCCTCTGTGTCTTCTTTATTTATTCCTTCTATTTTCACTCCTACAAGTCCTTCCATAAATGTTTTAGTATGGTTTTGGATATTGATATAAACCTAGTATCTGGGTTTATCCTTCAACTTCTCAGAAGGATGGGGAAAACTGTAAATGGACTGTAAAATCAGCTACAAAATGGAGACACTCAAATTGTAGCTCTATTTGCTTGCTAAAGGTGTAAAAAGTATTAAGATTTTTTTTCATCAAGATAGAATAATAAAGACCATGAACACTGGAAGGAACTGGGAAGCAATCATCATGACCCAAGGAGTAGAGAGAAGCCTGTCTAGGGGGTAGTGGCTCTTTCAGGACCATGGACAAGGGCACACTCTATCAACCATCCTGCCCCCAAACATTCTATTATACAGGTATCCCTCTAGGTGAAATGTGCCCCCAATAATGTCCTGTACTTTGGGCCTTCTTCTCTGTGGATCTCCTGCAGTGCAAAACAAGTGCCAGGAAAACCCATGTGGCCTGGGTGAATGCCTCATTATTGAGAGTCCTCCTTACTACCGCTGTGCCTGTAAACACCCTTACGGGGGTCCAGACTGCTCCACAGGTAAGTGCTGGCAGCCCCTTCTATGCTAGGCTTTCTCTACCCTGGCCTGTGCCTAGGGTCTCTGCGCCCTACAGTCCAGATACATTTGATGTGTTGGTAACATCCCAATGGCTATAAAAGTCCTATAACTAGGACTTTTTCAGATTCATCATCCCTGGCGAGTTACTGAGAATTGACTGTTCTGTGGCCCTTCCCATCTGAAAAGAATCATCTTAAAAATCATTTCCTCCAGGATCGGCCCTAGCCTATTCCTGGAATGACCATAAATTTATACTGATTCAGTGCTAGGAGTCAGGCATTATCCCAGGCAGTTTATATTTTCTCTCGCCTTGTCCTAAAAAACACGGTAAGGAAAAATTTTACAGGTAAAGAGATTAAAGTTCAGAGAGGTTGACTAACTTGCTCGCAGTCACACAGCTATAAAGGGGCAGAGCCTAGTTCCAACTGGGCTCCGACTGATCCCAAATTCCTGCCCAGTTCATGCCTCCTGCGACTTCTTACTGCGTGACCCATCAACTTACATACACTTTGTCTGTGGCCTGCATCACAGCGCTTCATCCATGTTGGCGTATGTCCTTAAGTTTATGTGCACCCTTACCGGTGCATCGGTGGGTCTGTCTTTCCCCTTGGGTGACCCTTCTTTTGTAAAAGGAGGGACAGCAGCAGAGTGCCACCAGTGTCTCCTCGTCGTCTCAGACGTGGCTGCAACTCCATCTGAAGAGCTTTCCCGGCCCCACTTCCTGTGTTCACAGTGGTTCCTGCCTGCAGGCCGGACCCCTGCCAGAACGGCGGCACCTGCTCTCGGCACCGGCGGAAATCCAAGTTCACCTGCTCCTGTCCCAGCCAGTTCAAAGGCAAATTCTGTGAAATAGGTATGAGTCTCTCCCACCATTTCAGCGGAATCCCGGGGCCACCAGCCAGGCCTATGGAATCCTTTTCTCTTTGGGGTGTGCATCCCAGAACAGAAGTCAAGTCACGATTCTCAAAATCTGCTATTGCCTCAGCCTCCAGCCTGAGGGCACTGGGTGTGTCGGGCTCCATGCAAAGGAAGTAACAAACTGGGGTGTAGTGCAGACAAATCAGATCCACCTGGGCTTCTCCCGGGCCTCACCCCACCACCCACCAGGTCCTGCGAGAGCCAAAATTAAGTAACTAAGTTCCCACCCACCCACCACCACTATATTTCATGTTTTTAAGCTGGGTTAAATGTGGGATGTTCAAGGTACCTTCTTTCTGGGCCTTGGTAGTAAAATCTCCGGGTGATCAATATTCAGGCCCAATCCCCTCGTCCCCGGACACACCCACCGAGCCCTTTCGGGAGCAGCACGCCAGTTGCTCTCAGGTCCCTGCCTGCTCTCTCCAAGGTTCTGATGACTGCTATGTGGGTGATGGCCACTCTTACCGAGGCAAAGTGAGCAAGACCATCAACCAGCACGTGTGCCTTCACTGGAACTCCCACCTCCTCTTGCAAGAGCATTACAACACCTTTATGGAGGCTGCTGAGGCCCACGGGATTGGGGAGCACAACTTCTGCAGGTAAAACTCCCCTTCTCCCCTAGACTCAGTCTTGGCCATTGTCCATGTAAGGGTTGGTCTTTCTCTTTCCCCTGCTGCAAGTTTTCTGGGACCAGCTTAGAAATTTGGGGACAGGACCCTGAAACTCATCAGCTTTCTTTCTAGGAAGATTTTCAAACTCAGGACGGGTTAGGTTATGCTGCTGTCACAAACCCCCGTGGCTTGAGCACATCAGAATTGATTTCTCGCTAATGCTACATGTGTTATGTGGAGTGGGGGTGGGGTGGGAGATTCTGCTCCACAAAGTGACTCAAATACCCAGGAAGGGCAAGAAAGGAAGAGACTGTAAAAATGGAGCGAGAGTCTTGCTTCCTTTTTACTACTTCAACCTAGAAATGATACGTCATCTCTGCACACATATGTCATTGACTCAAAAGAGTCACAAGGCCCCACATAGCTTCAAGGGAGAAAGTAGAGGAGGAAATGGGATGACAGGTGAGCACCGCAGTCTCTGCAACAAGGATGTCCAGGTTTTCCCAAGTAAAGATAATGGCAAGTTTCCTTCTGGTGCCTCCAGACCATTCTGCTGGCTTCCTCTCACTGTTTATTGTCTAACCCAGGCCACGGGCATTCAGGAGCTGCATGTAAGAGACGGGGGTTCTTTGTATGGCTTTAAACTGGTCCCACTGAGCAAGAGGGACCTTCCGCTTTCACTCACCCTTCACGGAGCCGTCTTCAGGGTGACCCCGCACGGCCCTTCTCAGAGAATTCCCATGCGTGGCGTTGGGAGGTCTGGGCCGAGGAGCCCTGTGCTCACCGTGCTTCTGTGGCCATTTCACGTTCCTGACCGGGGAGGATCTTCAACAGGGATCTCGTTCTTTTCCTGCAAACAAGTGGATGTGTCCCCTAGCTCTGGTTCCAGGTTTGGGAACCACTTCCTGGTCACTGGGATTCTCCTCTGGACGGGAAGGTTTCGCCAGGTCACCATAACCACCCTTGTGTGCCAGAGTCAATATGTGTCCTCAGGGGCACACAAGAATGTGTTGCTCTCCTACCCAGAGGTCCTGTGACGGGGCCCTGTGGGTTCACCAAGTTTTGACCCTGGGTTATTTTGTTTTTGTTTGTTTGTTTTTTTCTAGAAACCCTGATGGAGACAAAAAGCCCTGGTGTTTCATTAAAGTAAACAGTGCGAAAGTGAAGTGGGCGTACTGCGATGTCTCAGCCTGCTCGGCCCTGGGTAAGGCCACGGCTGTCCGGAGGCCCGGTGGCGGGGAGGGAGTAGTCCACAGACAGAGGTTTCTGAACCCGCCATCCCTCCCACCACATCTGCTTCACTGACTCCCATCCCTGTGGCGACCCGCCTGCCCGACCCTCTGCTCGCCTCCTGGGACGCCGAGCAGGCCGAGAGACATTTGCAGATTCGGGCCAGTGGCCCTGCTGTAAAGCCATGTTTGCTGACCAAGTCAGTGCCCCGAGCAAATACTGGTTGATTGTTTGCTGTGCTCCAGGAACTAGGTCAGGCTCGGGTGTACAGCGGTGACCAAACAGTGGCTGGGCCCCCATAGCCTCTGGGGATGCAAAATGGTCTGAATTCCAGCCTCACCACCTCCCATCCAGGCCACCCTAGCCCACCTCTCTACCCGCCTGAGCAGGGCACCCTCTCGTCCTGATCGATAGGACTGCCTCCCTGGACCGTTTCACTTCTGTGCCTTGGCTCTTACCGCCACCTGTGTCTGTAATCCTGCATGGACATCGCTCTTGTCCATATGCACCGTGCCTCAAGTAGCCCCTCCTCCAGGAAGTCCTTTATGATCTCCCAAGTACAGCATTGTCTCCCCCTCCTTACGAACCTCAGGGAATGCAACCAGGCACCACCTTTACGACACATCACTTTGCATGATGGTCACCTCTGCCAATGTCTTATTTCCCCCACGCTACTTCATCTGGATCTTTCCCTGTTCACTGAAAAAGGCTCCTAAATACATGTGTGCATTAATAGAGAGCTAAGTACGTAGACAGTGGTGGATGTATAGATTTACACACACATCTTTGTGTGTGTGTATATACATGTCAAAATAAGAATGAAAAAGCAAAAACTTGTTAGTTTTATATACTTGCTTTACATTAATCAATGTAGTCCACACATATCACTTATGTACCTACTACATACCCGCCCTGTGTGTACCAGTGTCTTAGCTCTGGACATTGCTAAGCTGCTGAACTCAGGGTCATACCCCTAACAGGGTCCTTCCGAGGACCCGGAGAAAGCGTGGGGGGCGTGATTTGTCTTTCTTGTGTCCCACAGACATTACTGACCCCACAGAGCCCCTGACCAGGCTGCCGGGCTTTGACTCATGCGGGAAGACTGAGATATCAGAGCAGAAAATCAAGAGGATCTACGGCGGCTTCAAAAGCACGGCGGGCAAGCACCCGTGGCAGGTGTCCCTGCAGACCTCGCTGCCACTGACCGTCTCCATGCCCCAGGGCCACTTCTGCGGGGGGGCACTGATCCATCCCTGCTGGGTGCTTACCGCGGCCCACTGCACTGAGTAGGTGCCTGCTGGGAGCCGAGGGCAGGGTGACCGAGTGTGCGGGGGCGCTCTCCCCTTCCCATCTGGGAGGCCTGGCAGGATCCCTCCCTCCCTCTCCAAGGGCAAAGAGAGCGGCTCCTTAAAACCAGCTGGAAAAGGGCCACCATGTCCAGAATGCTGACCTTTGAACTCCATGTGTTTGTGACATTTAATCCTCAAAACAATCTACCAGAGGACAGGGGTTTTTATCTTTCATGAATTAGATGTCCCCACTGCCTAGGGTCTTTTTACGGAGCAAGTGCTCAGTAAATATCTGTGCGGTGAAAGCTGATTGCTACTCTCGTTTCATAAATGAGGACCCCGAGTCCTTGGCAGGGTTAGCGCCTGGCCTTAAGTCACGTAGTGAGGAAGTAGGTCAGTGAAATGTGAACCAGATCTACCTGCTTCCTCAGCCTCTTGAGTCCTTCCCTGGACAAGAAAAAAGTTACAGTATGCTCCTTTCTGGTGCCTTCAGCAGTGAGCCTCCTCAGTTGGGTGTCCTCAGTCGTGTGTATGCCTCAGAGAAGCCAGAACCCACTGGGGAGCCGGGAGAATCGCTGCCTCTTCTGAGTTCCCGAAGCTCACGGCCAGGCTGGTGCATGTAACCCGGGCTCTGGTAGTGGCCTTGAAGGTCTTCCAGCCCACCCTGTTCTTAAACAATTTCTTCAGGGATTCCAGGAGGTATTTATTCTTCAACAGAGGCCAAACATGTGAACATTAGCATCTACCAAGAATATCTGTTCAAGATGTGCACTGGCTGCTCTTTAGCCAAAGCCGTGGTAAATGAGAGGTCTCCCGCGAGACACAGGACACAGGTTATAGCTCACACTTCGGGACTGTTCCGCGAATAAAACAGTTTCCTCATCTTGTCTCATTGAGACCACAGAGCAGAACTCTGTGAACAAGACGATGATTGCAGGTGAGGATGCCAAGGCTGCAGAAGGTCAAATCATTTGTCAAGGTCACGCAGTTCCCCAGGAGCAAAGCCAGGGCCCGGTCCCAGTCTCCAAGTGCCAGGGCTCATTTCTGACCATCTCGCTTTCCCCTGCAGCATAAAAACCAAGAATCTCAAAGTGGTGCTAGGGGACCAGGACTTGAAGAAGACAGAATTACATGAGCAGAACTTCGGGGTGGAGAAGATTGTCAAGCACAGCCATTATCACGAACGAGACGAGGTTCCCTATAACGATATTGGCAAGTCTTCTGGCAGGGGTCTCCCATGGGCTTGTCCTGGGTGCAAAGCGAAGGTTGGGTCCTTCATAGACCAGGGATCTCCCATGGGTCTTGTCCTGGGTGCAAAGCGGAGGTTTGGTCCTTCATAGACTCTATGAGGTAGAGAATTTATTCCAGAGCTTTTTAGTCCTTAAAGGTCAGTGTTGTGGATACATGTGCACAAGAGCTTAAGCCAGGGGAAGAGATGCTAGGAACATTGTGTTGTGGAAAGAGCTCGGCCTTGAATCCCAGCTCCCCCACCTGCTAGCCAGCTTCACCTCTCTTAGCCTCAGTTTGCTCTTCCATAAAATGGGGACGCCGATGACAACTCTCAGCTTCCTGTGTGTTAAGTGACATCATGTACATGTGTCCCCTACCTCACACCTGGTAGACAATGATATGCTTAAGATGCTTCCTGCCCAGCTTTCCATTCACAGTACCTCTCCCTCTCCTTCCTCAGTATCTTTTTATGTCCCTCTTAAAGCCTGTGTTGTTTGTTTTTTTAAATCAATTAGAAATGATTTCGAACTCGACTATTATTTCTTGATATGACTCTCAGTCTGAAGTGTTACTCCTCCCCAGGTGGAAGTTGAAAGAATGAAATGATGGAGGAAGAAGTGTTTTGGGCATTGGGCATGGGGCTTTGCTGTGACCACCTTCCAGTTAAACTGAAGCGGATGCTTCTTTGACAAAGAGGATAGCATCACCCATATTTCCCATTTCCCACTTCCGCTTTCTCTCTCTACCTAGCTTTGCTCAAGCTGAAGCCCGTGGATGGTCACTGTGCTGTGGAATCCAAGTATGTGAAGACCGTGTGTTTGCCTGATAGTCCCTTTCCCTCCGGGACTGAATGCCACATCTCTGGCTGGGGTGTTACAGAGACAGGTGAGTCTGGCCATGCATTCTCCTGAGACTCGGGCGAGTTACTTTAACTAGAGAAGAAAGGATCAAACTCAACTGCCAGTTCTGAACTTGAAATCAGTGTTATATTCAAACCGTATTATCAAAAGAAAGGGCTCCCATCGCCTCTCAAACTCTGAGTTTCATGACCTCCAAGAGTATTCCCTGATCTCCACACCTGTCCCTGGCTCCCACCCCAGGATCCTTGACTTTCCCCAAGCACTGACCCTGTACCCATAAAGACCTATCGCCTTCCCTTGGTGGCCTGGAAGGAGGATACATTGGGGAAAAGATGGATTGTGGAGTCAGATGTGTTCGATTCTTGCCTTTGTCAGGTGGAGAGCTGAGTTTTAGTTTCCCAATAACCATGATAATAGGAGATGACAGAATTCTATACAGATATTAAGTCAGCCCCTGGAGGGTGGGGTCAAGTCTCATTCATCTTTGCCTCTCCAACAGTCTGCCAATCTTAGTAGGCATTCTGTAAAGTTTTGTTAAATGAAACTTTTGATTGGTCTCTAGGGTTTGGTCTTATCTAAGAAAGTAACCAAAGGGCTACTTTCCTCACAGCACTGACAAGATTATATCCTCTAACATGTGAAACTCAGAACTGTATCTCAAGTCTCTAGTACTTGGTGGATTTCTCTTCCCCACAAATCATGCCCTTAATAATGGAAAGCAGGAATCACCTTGAATAGGCTTGCACTCAAAGTGACACATACAAAATTATCAGAAGGAGTTGGGGGAAGAAGAGTTCTGGCTCATTGGATGTAGGGTCAACCCTGTTTGTAGCTGCCTTCATTGTAGTCTATGTAACCCTTTCAACATCAGCACGCTGGCTGGAGCGGACTGAGCAGAACCGGGGTTCTTTAGGGGAGGAAGTGTCTGCTCTGGGGAACAGGTGATCTAGATGATCAACTAGGGAAACTCGTCCATCATTAAGAATGTTCTACATGCCAGCCCTCCGCTAATCATGGAAATTAAAAAATAGTTAAGACACCCTCCCTGCCCTCCTGACCTCACGGTCGAGTTGGGGAGACAGGAGGGAGTATATGACGCTGCTGCACTGTGACGAGCACAATGCTGCTGGTCCCGAGAGCCATGTGCAGGCTGCAGGCAGAGCCCCTGGCCTGGAAAGACCCTTCCTGAGCTCAGAGCCCGTGGCCCTCTTCTTACTACTGCTGGCTTCTGGTGGGGTGGGTGCCACCCTGTTCCCCACAGTGGCGACCTCTTTTCTCCATCCCAAAGGAAAAGGCTCCCGGCAGCTCCTGGACGCCAAGGTCAAGCTGATCACCAACACTCGGTGCAACTCTCACCGACTCTACAACCACACGATCGACGAGACCATGATCTGTGCGGGAAACCTTCAGAAGCCTGGACCGGACACCTGCCAGGTCAGAGTCTCCAACTGCACTTGGGGAGCGAGAGGCTGGCAGGACCTGACATGGGCACAGAGGCCCCGCAGAGCCCTGGGCAGGGAGGCAGGCTCGGCGGCCCACCTGTCCTTAGGCAGGCACTGGTGGGAGACCTGTCCTCTGCAAAGTCTGAGCCGAACCGATCCAGGATGACTCCGCACGACAACCATAGGGGTCACTGTGCCTGTGTGGCTTCATTCATTCTCGGGACACTCGATTGACAGGAGCTGAGGATGTTATCTTGGTCTACAGCACCTGGGCAGTAGGGGGAGGGCAGGGATTCGAACAAGCCTGATCTGTGGACCTAACCTTCTGCCATTTCACTCCACTGGGTTGAAGGCATTGGCCGCAGAGCTGGGCAGTGTCTGAAATCCCAGTGAGCAGGGAACTGTCCAGATCAGTGTCTAGGAGAGAATGAGAGGCCCAGAGAAACTGCAGCCTTAACTAACAAGTCACTGAGACCTAAATGTGTTCGCAGGGGCGGGGAGAGGAAGCTCGACCTAGTCCCGGCAAGCTGAGCCTCTGACTGGCTCCTCGGCAGCTCCCGCCCACCTAGCGACTGCCTGACACCCCCACAGTCCAGGACTTTGGGGGACCCCAAGCTGCTGAGGCCTGCAGTGACTCACAGGCTGCCGGAGAGTCTGCTGATGCCGAAGTGACCTCAAGCCCCTACCCCAAGTCCACTTTCCACAGGTCCCCTCCCTGTAGAGGTCACATCACACAGGAAATGTCCTTCCCAGATGCCCAGAAACACCTCAGTTCAGCATTTCTTGCTTATTGTCTGCATAAACCACCCAGCCGGAAAGCCCAGCATGGCCACATCAAACCCTAACTTCTCCCTCCAAAGGGTCCGACAGTCAGCTGCTGGCCTTGCGCCCCCCTGGGGATGGGTGATCTCAGTCACTCCCTGCAGGCGGTGGCTCTTCTCTGTCCCTTCCCTAGGGGGCGCCAACATCCATGTGCTCCAAAGAGGGGCACAGGCCAATGGGAAAGACAAGGGAGAAAGCAGCTTCCTTGGGTCCCTGGGAGTTTTCTTTCTTTCTTTTTTTTAAATAATTTTTTGTGTATTAATTTTAGAGAGAGGGGAAGGGAGAGGGAGAGAGACAGAAACATCAATGAGAGAGCACATCGATTGGCTGCCTCCTACATACCCCCCACCGGGGATTTGTCCCACAACCTGGGCATGTGCCCTGACAGGGAATCGAACCGGCGACCTCTTGGTGCAGGGGTCGATGCTCAACCGCTGAGCCACACCGGCTGGGCCCTAGCAGTTTTCAAGGGCTTCACTTGCAGGCTTTGAAAGCAGACTGTTGTGGGTTTAAAATCTTGTTCTGTCCTTCATTTTGTGACCTTTACCAATCACCCAGTGGCTCAGGCAGCTCAGACAGTTACAACAAAAGACTGTAGACGGTGGGTCTTAAACAACAGGAATGTATTTCTCACATTCTGGGGGCTAGAAGTCTGAGATCAGGGTACCAGCATGGCCGGGTTCCAGGGAGACCCTCTCCGGGTTGCTTCTCGTGTCTTCACATGGTGGGGAGAGAGCGTGCTGGCTCTCAAAGGTCCCTCTAACGAGGACATGAACCCCATGCGGGAGAGCTCCACCCTCGTGACCCCACCCCCTCCCTAAGTCCCCACCTCCTTATCCCGTCACCCAGGGATTAGGTATAAATTTGTGGGGGACACACACATTCAGTCCAGTAAACCAAAGTAATTCTCCAGCCTCAGATGCCTAATCTACAAGGTGGAAGTGATGTCTCCCTGAGAGCACAGGTCGTAGCCAAGAGAAGATACCTCTTTAAAATCTATCGGTTGTGGGTGCGAGCAGTCGTGTGTGGTTGAGGGCCGTCCTCCTCGCCACCGTCACCGGGGGCCCGTAGAAACCAGGCACTGTTTTGTGTGCTTCACAGACCTCAGTCCTCACGAGAACCCCGGGGAGCTCCTCCTGCTCGCCCCAGTTCTCCATGTGCGCCCTCTGAGGCCCAGCTGGACACATGCCTGGCTGGGGGCCCAGACCTAACCCCAGGAGCCATGCTGGGCCCCACTTCCCCACCCTGTGTGGGCCCTGTGGGTCCTGGAAGGGCTCGAGCCAATCAGGGCCCGCCCGCCCCCCAGGGCCCCGCTAGAACGAGAAGTCGAGGGCCCTGAGAATGAACAGTAGTGACACCTGTGCTACCAAGACACACGCCTGCATCTGGATGTAAGGCTGCGGCCACGGTGCTGTGGCCCCAGCCCTGTGGCTCCTCTGCCAAGCCTCGCGGACTCAGGGGCACGGGCTGGTATCGGCTTCGGAGCTTTGCATCTCATGAACCGTAGGAAGGGTCTTGTCACCGCTTTCCCAAGCAGCCCACCCCATCACCGGCTGGCAACGCCCGGTGGGTGGGGGAGTCTCCTGATGTGTTCTGATTCACAAAGCTGAGCTCACACGTCCTTTTCCCTTAGGGTGACTCTGGAGGCCCTCTGACCTGTGAGAAGGATGGGACCTACTACATCTATGGGATCGTGAGCTGGGGCCAGGAATGTGGGAAGAAGCCAGGGGTCTATACCCAAGTGACCAAATTCCTGAAGTGGATCAAAGCCATCATCCAGAGGGATCCGAGCGTCTAAGGTGTCTTCCGAACCTTGGAGCCCATCCTCCTGAGCACCCAGGCGAGGCGAGGCCTCGTGGGCAGCCATGAACACCCCTGGAGCCTCCAGGAAGCCACAGGCCAGTGACCATGCTCTGAGCAGAGACAGCTACTGCCCGGCCTGGGGCATCCCGGACCAGCATCTCCATCATCAGGCTCCCTCCCGAGCCACCCAACAAGTGACAGGATCTTCCCGAAATACATTGTTCGCTCCCCTTCACACCGTGGCACCTTCTAGAAAATCAGTGTTCATGGACTGCCTCCACCTCAGACATTTGCAAATGTGGGATTTCAGAACGCTCGGCATCCGTGGGGGTCACCTTGACATCTTTATTCCTCGTCCCCGCCACTCAGGGTCCACAACAGAACCAGCCATCCGCTACTAGGTATTAGATAGAGGACCCAAAAAATACAGCATTCTCCATCTGCTTTCACGGAGCTGTTATTTAATAAAGGTGGAGCGGGGACGAGTTGCTGCATTTCGCACAGCACGCCCCAGCTGAGGCCGGCTAAGCATGCCTCCGGCGTGCAAATTCCTCTCCAGCCTCTTCCGAGAACCTGGGTGGACATCGCTCGCTCACAAGGGCACAGCCTTCCTCCTCTTGACGTGCAGAATCTCCATGGCATCTGGGTTCACATCCCCCCTGGGGTGATCTCCAGTCTCCGTGACCTCTGCCCCGCTCTGCAGAAATCAAACGTACCTCCCTGAGTCCAAATGAAGCTTCCAGCCTCCTCCCACAGGACAAGCTGTCTGAGATGCCCCAGGAGCATTTAAAACGTCCACCCTCCCCCTCCCTCCCCCTCCACCACCCTCTCCCAGAGAAAGGATCCTCAAGGCAAGAATGAGAAAGAAGCAAAGCCAATCTCTCATCTAGATGTGGTGTTTTTCCTCTGAACGAAGTAGGGTTCAGAACCCAGACTGCTGTAGCCAGCGAGTGCCTGACCCATTGTGGGAATGTAATGAGCAAGCAGGGGGCCAGGCCCGGGATTGATGTGGCCCCGGCAGGTTCGTCCACACAGAACTAATGGCTGTGACTTCAGAGAAAACCCTGCAGGACGTTTAACCCAGGAGCCGTCTGCCCGGTCAGCTCAGACCCATGGAATGAGGCACCTTGCTTGAGATGCACACTCTTCAGAGCCAGCTCACCTCTGGCCAAAAATAAAGTTTGAAAAGAAACAGTGAGCTTGCCTTTCCCCGTGGCCCCGCCAGCCGGGCGGGTTTGCACCTCGCTACTTACGTAGGCTCCCTGGAGAGCCTGGCCCCTTGCCCTGGCCAGTTCTGCAGCCCGCCGAGCCATTTCCACTTTGTAGGAGCCAGGAGGGGTCCAGCCCATACCTCTGGTCAGGTTCAAGTCTGATTTGTACTTGACCTTGGGGGAAAAGGGAAGCAAGAGGGGTACGTCAGCAGGTTTGGGGGTGGTTTGGCAACAAGGCGCCTGGGCTTACAGGTGGTCATGAGATGGAAAATGTGTTGTCAGTAGAGCAAGGGAGCAACCCCACCAAAATCAGGAGCTCCCTGAGCCTGACCTGACCCCACGTGCTGTGAGCCTGGCCAGCTTGTCACTGTCCCTTGCTCCTTTCCCTTCAAGTGACGGGAGCGGCAATGAGCCGTGGACGGGGAGACCTGGTTCAAGTCTGAGCTCCTCCCTGAACTTGCTCTGTGGCCTTGGAGAAGTCACTTCCCTTCTCTGAGCTTCAGTTTCCCCCCAGGGAGTAAAGGTCAAGGGCTGGGTTGGGTAACTACTACGATCCCTCGGGAACAGTCTCGCGTAGCCATCAAGAGCTTGGGCGCTCACATCCAACCAAACGGGGCTCATGTCCCAGGTCTGCCACTTATTTGCCGTGGGACCTTGAGTAAGCGACTTAACTTTCCTAAAGCCTCGGGTTCCTCGTCTGTAAAATGGGGCAACAATGGGGTGGTTGTGAGAGCCACACGTGGCACAATGCTTGGAAAGCACTGGGCACCACAGCCTGGCCCACAGTTGTTATTTCTTTGGGAGCCCATGCATCGAGTGGCCTGGATTCTAGCTCAGCCGGCTCCTCCCAGAGGTTACGGCCGCCTCTTTGGAACCGGCACCAGAGGCAGGGCCTGGCCAGGTGGGCGGGGCAGCTCACATCACTCTGCAGCTGGTGGGCCTTCTGTGCGTGCTTCAGGCCCAGCTGCTCCGGGTCGCAGGTGGGCTGGGGCAGGGGCTGCCGGTAGCACACGTCGCTGGCCAGCTGCTGGCTCCTCTTGGCCTGGACGAAGCCGGGCTGGTCTGGGCGGCTGTGAAACTGGGACCGACTCTTAGCAAAGTCCTTCTTGTACTCGTTGTCACTCTGGAGTTTGCCGACGCTGAGGAAATGCCTCATCCGCGGGTCGTCGTCGATGCTGCGGTACCCGACCTGCAGGCCCCGGTCCCGCAGGAAGGCCTCTTTGTACCGGAACTGCGGGTCAGAAGAGCAGAGCCATGGCCACCAGCCCACCCTCCCCCCAGGACTCCCAGCAGGACTCCCAGCAGTGGGCTAAGGGCACAGCTTAGATCCAAGCAGACCTACCATCTGTCTCCCTCTCTGCTACCTTCTAGCTGTGTGACCTTGGGCCAGTCACTGAGTCTCTCTGAGCCTGTTTCCCCATCTGATCAAATGGGAGAATGGACCTCCACCCCATGGGATATGGAGAAGATTCCATGGCGGGGAGTTAGCTTCATGCCTGGCACTGAGCGGCGGCTACGGGTATTACTGCTGCTGGAATTCATAACCCAACGGGAAGAGAAAGACACCCCTTCTCCCAGCAGCTACTCTTCCTCTGATTCTCCCAGCTCCGGGACCCAGTCCAGCGCCCCTTGCACGCTCTACACTGAAGGGCCGCATTCATTTCTGATTGTGTTTTTAACATGCAAACCGCCAAGGCCCAGTCGGTGGTCCTACCGCATGCAATCCGTGCATACTGGCACCATGTGTATCTGAAAACACCCGTTCCCCGAGAGGAGTCCACCGGTCACATGCGTGGATGTCACATGTCTAATTGCTAAAAAATCTTTCTGAATGCTTGCTCTTGATTTCTGTACGTATATCCGTGTGGGCCAGTGCCGAGCCGTTTGTGGGTGATCAGCTATCCAGCCCCATTGCCTTCCTCTGCGGTAACAGCCGCTATGTTTGGAACACCTGCTCTGTACACCTAAACCGCTGGGTTTCCATTCCTACTGCACCCTAGGAGACAAGCATTAGATCCCTACCTCACAGACGTAGAAATTTGAATTCGGAGAATTTGAGCAACTCACCCACGACCTGAGAGCCAATTCCTAAGTGACTGAGCCAGGATCGGAACTCGAGTCAATGAAGGGGAAAAATGCAATGTCTTTCAACCTCCCCACAATGCACTTCAGCTAAAAGAAGTCCCTTCACTGCAGCTCGACAAATCAATCACGTGCTCACCGACTACTTGAACGCAAGCCCTATTTTTTTCTTTCATTTGAAATACTTGTTCAGTTTTGGTTCCTGGTGGTTTGCCTTTCAACAGAACTGGGGAGACCAGAGCGACACCTATCAGTGATAGAGGGAGAGGGGACATGAAGTCTTACATCGCTGGCGATATCCCTGGACGCCCGGGCGGTCTGGAACGGGATGGCGTCCAGCCTGAAGTCATAGCCGCCAGCCCGGGTCTGCTCCCAGGAGTTTCTGTAGACTTTCTAGGCAAGGACGACAAAGACATGAGTGAGCAGGGCTAACTCCGTGTCTGCCGTGTTGCTGGCTCTCAGCAGGACCAGTTTCTAAGCACAAACCCTTGCCCTGTTGGTGCCCAATGGCAGCACCCATGGCCCCAGTTCTGGGAGCTCCTTCGCTCTGGGGCTAGTGGGGCTGGTCACCCTGGGCTGCAGCTCCAAGTGCAGCCTGAGTGCCAGGCCCTGCTCTGGTGGGTCTGGGGGACTGGGGTCTGGTCCACTGGCCACACCCTGTTGCTGTCAGAGGCCCCACCTCCACCCTCCCGTGTTTCATTCACTCCGGGGCCTCAGCTCTGCAGCTTCTGGACGGCAGAATTCGCAGTTGAAGAGCTCTTTCTTCCCACGTGCTCAGGGTGCTGATCCTTGGGTCCTCGTGCCCTGTGTTCATGAGCTGCACAGACTTCCTAGGGGCTCCCCTGCTGCCTCTGAGGCCACGTCACCCCATCGCTGGGGGGCCTGCTGCACCCCACGTGCACCTTTGGTGGCTGCGCTGTGAGGGAAGAGCCTTCGCCTGAGTTAAACTGATTGTCAAGACCCTGACGCAGCTCCGACCCATGGATTTCACATCCCTCTTTCATTTTCTTTTTCCCCCTTTTCATGTTGTGCTCACGCCCCCTCCGAGGGTCTGTCATCACACCCCCGGTCCTCAGGTACACCCACGTCACCGACAGGGGCATCGGACCTCCTGTGCCTTCGTGCAGCTAACATGTGTCCCAGAAGGGACGGCTCCGCGGAAGGAGCTGTCTGGAGGTGCCGGCGGAGGGTCCCTGTGTTCCGCCACAGGGCAGGGAGACGGCGGGAGCCACACAGCCTCTGGCCAAGGGACGCCCAGGGCCTGCCGGCTGCCCACTCACTGTCGGGGCCACAGCTGGTCAGGGCACCCCGAAGAAGCTCACTGTTGTCACTTGGAAACAGAGGTCAAGGTGGGGGCTCTGTTCTGCAGGGGACCAAGGGGGCCTGGCCCATCATGGTGGAACCTTATCGTTTTCATGACCTGCTGTCTGTCTTCTCCCGCGTCTTAGCCTCCAGCTCCAACATCTAACACCAGAAACCAGCGGCCAGAGGTCTTGAAAAACAGAACTATCATCACTGGCTAATCACCTAATCGATGGGTCTTGATCAGGGCCCAAGTGATTAGATTTACTGGGCCACTAGTGCTGAGCAGGCCGACTGGCAGCCACAGAGGAGAGGCATTCAGAACAGACAGACTGACTCTCCCCTTGAGCACTGTGCTTCCTGTTTGGGGGGGTGTCCCACAAATATCAGAGTAGCAGATAGAGCCAGACCCTTATCCTTTCCTGGGGGTGGGGGGACAGTCAGCACCCCCCTCATTCAGGAGCCTGGTCTCCATCCGACCTGGGCTAGGTAGTGACAGCATCAAACTCCAACGTCACCCCAGTTTGGTGTCCACTGCCCCCCAGCTTCCGAGTCTCTGTAACTGCGGGTCAAGGAGAGCACGTGACCCAGATTGGGGTTCTCCCCAAAGCGCCGGCCCCCTTCCTCCAGGTCACTTCTCCCTGGACACTGTTTGCTAACGGTCCCCGCTTCCTCCCTGAGCTTTTCATTCCGCTGAGGTTTCTGCTGCTGGGAGGCTTCAGATTCTGCGGGCCCTTTGATTTGGAACCCCGGGCGCACCTCTTCTCTGTCACAGTGGGCGCAGTTTTGTCCTCGTCCTCACACATTAGAGTCATTTGATTTTTAGTTATTTCGGCTGCCTGACACATCTCAATGGCTCTCGTTGCCCAGAAAGGTCACCTTCCCTCCACACCCTCCGCGCCGAGCACTTGATCCGATTGTGCGGATTGCACACGCCCCCGAGGAAGTGCTCTTTCAAAGGAGGTGCGTGAGCTCTCCATACCCACGTGCCCTGGTGGCTAATTTCAGCTCCGGGACTCTGCAGACGGCGTCCCTTGTGGGAGGGAAGATGCTCGTGTCCCCAGCCCGGGTGGCTGTCCCCTTAGCTGGGCCCTGCACGGACCGGCCGTCTTCTCCCGGCTCCCAGGGCCGTGCGGGCCTCCAGCAGCTCCCCACCCGGAGGCAGGCCTCCCCTATCCTTGAAGCATTAATGAGGTGGATGTTTTGTTCGGGCTCTGCTGAGGGGGAGGTCCCGCTTCCCTAGATGGAGGTCAGCCCACCAGCGCTGCGTTCTAAAATTATCCCCGGCGCATCCCTCAAAAGCCGCGAATGGTCATAATAACTCCTATTTACAAAGCACCGTCGCATTCGCCGCGTGGGATCCCACAGGGCTTCACAAACGCAACAAACTAATATACACGCTAACTAGAAGGCGCCTCTCGCCAGCCCCTGCAAGGCAGCCACCTCTGGGGTGACCGGCAGCAGCTGCTCGTCCGCACGGAGCCCCAGGACACAATGGCCAGGCCAGGGAGGGAAGAATGGCCGACTCGGGGAGGCCTGGCGCAGCCCCAGGCCGACACACGCGGCCTGTGTTATTCGGATCCGACAGCGTCTTTTCATTCTGCCGCCTCACTACCTGTTATCCCTGGATCACAGCTTTGCTGGCCGAGCGGCTGCCTATTCTATTACAACCAGGGCCTCCAACCCCTGCTAACAGCAAGCCTGGGCTTAGGAAACAGCGCCTTGGTTATGCACGCAAAGGGCACACATCCAAGGGAAACTGAAGTGTTGGAGGCCACAGCCCACGCACAAAGGAGCAAACTGTATTCAGACCCGAAGGGCCACAATCGCAGCATCTTTCCGAATGGCGGGGTGAGACGGAGCCGCTGTTTCTCTGAAGTCACCCTCTGAACGAGTATGGAGGGGTGTCCAGGAAACAAACAGAGCAGGTGTCCACACCTGCCAGGGCCCACTCCGGACTGTAACCCGCACACACTGAGGGCTCTGCAGCCACCCCTGAAGCAGGATTTGCGAGTTGGGAGGAACAGCAGCATCAGCAGAGCTCCATCCCCATTTTACAGTTGAGGAGACTGAGGCCCAGCGGGGAAAGGGACCAAAAGCCACGCACACATTCTGTCCCACTCCCAGTCCAGAGTTCTCCTTCCTACGGCCTCCTTCCTAGCACATTTGTTTTTCACAAAAGAAACCCAGTTCAGGTGCAGATCATTTGACAGAGAGGCACCCCCTCCTCCCATGAACAGTCCGCTCACTTACATCGCTCAGATGCAGCGCGTTGAGGCGGGCTCGGGTGAAATCGGGGTGGTCGGGGATCGGGGTGTATCTGTGCAGGGATTCCGCGTCCCCCGACCTGTACAGGCGCTGCAGGTAAGACAGGTTCACCGTCAATGTAGAACTACGCCGGCTGAACACACAGGTGAGGAGCAGGCTCATGCCCGCGCCTGCCCCTCCCGCTCGGTGCCCATCGAAGGGACAGAGCCCAGCCTGCACGTGGACTGCATCCCCCAGAAACCCCCCAGGGAAGTAGTGCTCAGTGGTCAGGACTTGTAAATAGACCCTGTTTAAAATATTCATCAAGATGTGCTCCCAACAGGCCCCAAACCAACACCCTGGTGGGCCACACCTGTGTGCTTCACAAACAGTATCGGGGTGCAGACACTTCAGGGTATCTTTGCAACTGAGCAGTGTTCAAGCTCTTCACTAATGAGAAGAGGCTTCAATGCCTCTGTTATTTAATGTTCATAAGAACACACAGGAGCTAATTTGTCTTTTATTATAAAACACTTAAAGGTGTGCTCAGAAAATTACAGTTTTCATAGTCATCTGGGTCCCAGAAAGACACAATTTTAAAACTCAATCTTTATCTTAGCTGGCATGTTTAGAGCGCCAGTTTAAGAATCTCAAACAATTTCAAGAAGCATTGGCATGTCGTCTATTTTAGGGAGGGGAATGTAATATTTAATATTCCGATCCTTTCCCACATTCGGCCTGGGCTCTGCCGATGTGAACAGGGGCATTTGGATTCTGTGTGAGGGCGGCATCGCTTTGTCACTGGTGTGCAGAGCTGAAACCTTTGACAATTTTAGAGAAATAATATTTAACTTCCTGTTCTTTGAAATAAATAGAGGAGAGAGGAAATGGGGCTAACCCATACAGAGAGTAAAGAGAAGGACACGTTTAATATAGCTGTTCTTTTCTGTTCTAACTGGGTTATGTTAAGCTTATAATTCCATTACCATCCATCAACAATTAAGATGTATCTGGTTGCCCTCGCCAGGTGGATCAGTTGGTTAAGTGTCAACCCCAACTGGGGCGTGTACAAGAGGCAACCTAACGAGGCTTCTCTCTCTCTGTCTCTAAAATCAATAAAAACTTATCTTCACATGAGAATAATAATAATAAAAAAAAGGATGCATTATTGTTATGATTATGAACCAGACCACAGTAACAATAAGGGACATTTATTGAGGACTTACTATGTTCCAGACATGTGCTAAAAGCTTCCCATACTTTTATTTCTTTAATCTTCATTTAATTCAATTCATCTTATGAAATGGGTGCTGTCATTACCCTACTTTCTTTTCTTTTTTCTTTATGTTTTTTTATTGATTGATTTTGGAGAGAAAGGAAGGGAGAGGATAGAGAGATATACAAACATCAATGAGAGAGAACATTGATTGGCCACCTCCCGCACGCCCCCTACTGGGGATCTGGCCCACAACCTGGGCATGTGCCCTGACCAGGAATCAAACCGGTGACTTCCTGGTGCAGGGGTCGACGCTCAACCACTGAACCACACCGGCTGGGCTACTCTACTTTCTAATAAAAGCACTGAGGTTAGAACAGATGAGACTGCTGGCCCAAGATCATCCAGGAGGTTGACAGAGGGTTTTCACTCACATCTATCCTACCGGGAGCCTGTGTTGTGCAGCACTGCCCACAGAGTTCACTGCCCCCTACTGTGTGCCTGGGATAAGGGATGAGAAAACACCCACCTCACTGCAGTGCATGTAGCTGTTCTTGGCATGAACCAGGTCCGGGGAGTCAACCACCGAGGTGAACTTGATACTGTCCGGTTTTTTGCGGTATTTGGTCTGCAAAAGGAAGACAAAGATTCCCACACAACAGTCAAATGTGGTACATTTTTCTGGACACAGCTTCACACCGCCTCATCAGCCCCAAATATGCCAATGACATTACTGGAAAACAAGTCTCTCTTCTCGGGGGGCTCGTAACAAGAATACTAAAGACACCCAAACTGCCTCTGTGATGAGGAACATTTCATCAGTATTTACATTCCCGAAAAAAGGAGGCTTCACCATATGCCAAGGAAATCAGTCAGGGGCAGGATTCAGCTGGGACCTGGCAAGCAAGGGCCATTAAGAAGCTGGAGAAGGCAGTGTCACCATGGACAGGGTCCCAGGGCAAGAATCCCCGGCCATCAACATGGTGAAATTATCCCAGGGGCAGAGAAGCCCTGGACACTGGACACTCTGAGTAAACTGAGCAGGTGCCCTGTACCATGAAGATAAGGGGCCAGCTTAGGTCATAACTGTTCATAATGGATCTATTGAGAACCTTCTAATGCATCAGCCATGTTTCACTGCCCAGTTTGGAACATGTTTTTAACTTCCCAGCAAAGAATTCATTTGGAGAGAAGGCTCGTTCCATTTTGGGATTTGGTGGCCAATGGCCCTGGAAGAACACGGGGGGGCCAGTGGCCATGGGGACCTCCTGGGACCCCTGCCCCATACGCAGGTTCCCTCTTCAGAAGGAAATTAAGGTGAGGCTGCCATCACGGTAAAGGCGGGTTGACGGTACCTCACTGATGAGTTCTCCAGCCTTCCTTGCACTCTCTATCTGTGGGGAGCTCAGCGCCAGCCATCCGGTGCCCTTCATGCCCATCAGGTCTGACTTGTAGCGCAACTGCAGAGAGAAAAGCACTGGGTCCCAGCCTGTCGGGGCATTTGTCATAATGTTCCATCACAACATTCTGACGTCGTCATTAGGAGCCATTTTGCGTGCCAGGAATTACACAACGGACCATGCACAAGATGCCATCAGAGCCGCCAGCAAACTGGCAGGATCGGAAGCAGAGGGGAATGACCTCTGCGAATGACCACCGGAGGAAAGAGCTGAGATGTGCTCCAGCCCGAGCCCCAGCCCCAGGACTTGGTTTCATTCTGGCGGCCACGTGCTCGGACAACCGCCCGAACTGAGCCGGTCCACACTTCAGCTGATAGAAGTGCTTTAAGCTCTGGGCCAAATCTGCCGTGACTTGGACCAAATCACTTTACCAGTATGTGACTCAGTTTCTCTCTGGGATGCCTGAAGGTCGTAACAACCACTCTGTTCTCGCAAAAACACCTGAAAGTATTCGGGGCCAAAAGCCACTCTATACGCTAGATTTTTTTTTTTTCTTTTTCTTTCCTTGTGGTGGCTGGGGGAGTGGAGGTGACCACTCTGAAAACTGGAACAAACTTACATAGAGCTGGCTAATAGTGTGTAAGCCGTTTTAATCTTCCTGTGCCTCGGTTTACCCCCTCCTCCCACTGTGATTCCTGATTTGTTTATATTGCAAAAATGGTGTAAGCCTTTCCTTTTTTTTGTTGTTCATCTGAAGGGCTCAGAGGATTAAAACTACAGCATCATTCCTGGGACAAAATCAGTGGTGCCTTAAGACAATGGGTCTAATGAGGGGGTCTCCTAAAACCTTCAACCTTACCACTACTTCCTGATGGGCCCCCCGTGACCTACGCTGAGACAGCCGCTTTCCTTGCTTTTCTTCTTCTCTTTATGGAAATCAGGCATCTCTAAAGAGGGAAAACGACCCTCTAAGGAAATCTCAAATGAGGACCTCAACAAAGTCGGTAGCGTTTTTCTAATTGAGATACAAGCTCCGCTGCAACACAAACTATCACTCCAGAAATAAGCCTGTCGGCCGCGTCCGCCCTCTTTCAGTGCAGGGTTCACAGGGTTGCTCGCAGCTGGCCTCAAAGAGGGTCCGCGTCTGATCTACTGTCTGCCGGTTAATGCCCCCGTGCAAATTCGACTCCTGCTTCCAACTGGTGCAGGAGACATCACTCGGGCGCAGGAGCAGGTTTCAAAACCCCGTGTCAGTGAGATTGCTTTTTAGACCGCGATCTTTCGGTCTACACCGGCAACGCTTTTGCCTTCCACTCTGATAAAGAACAGAGAAAATTGGATAAATTTCTAAGTTAGAAAGAATAATCCTGCGGGGCCCCTTCACAGCCGGGCCTTGCTCCTTTCATAAGCAAGATGAAGTGGGGGGCGCTCTTTCAACTCGCCTTTTGTGGAGCTGAACAGTACAATTGCAGGTGAGTCAGAAAGCAAGACGCGGGTTCCCCAAAGATCCGACTGCGCCTCAGACTCTCTCATAAATGGATGGTCTATTAATATTTCAGCTCCCAGCCCAGCTTTGACTATTCACGCAGACCCTAAAAACAACATGCCTGCCCCAGACTTGACGATACAAAAGGGGGAAGGGGGAGGGGCGTCGAGAAGACACGGCTACCCAGAGATGGTTTCGAAGAAGGATTCTAAGATTATAAGAGACCTTCTCAAGCTGCCCTGCAGAATCTGGCATCCCCAAGGGGCACCCTCGCTACTTTTCCTCGCATACACGCAGGCCTGGAAGCCACCTGCAGAGTCACACGCAGGGTTACCCAGCACCCCCATTTTGGAGCACTGTGTTGCAAATGCACAAGCTACGTGTTTTGGTCCCTGATTTCTAATAGCAGCATGTTAACAGTTGCCCCCAGGAGATGGCTAAGGAAAGGGTATATTTGTCATTTTGATAAGATTCATTATAATCACTGCTTTGCATAAGGTGTGCGCTATTTTAGACTCATCTCGTTCCGTTCATACTCCATCCTGCAAAAGAAGGGTTCTTATTTCCATCAACAGGACAATTCTGATGTTCAAATGATGCTCAGAGTCTCAGGAGAACCGCCCGCTGCTATCCTCTGCTCAGCCCTTAAGAGAACCCTCAGGAGCTAGAGCACCTGGGTTTCCCAATCCAGCCACCCGAGGGTGCCAAAGAGCAACAAACCTGGGGTCAAGAGACAAGTTTCCCCCTTTGCTTCTCACTACTGTATGGCCTTGAGCAAGTCATTTCCCTGCTCGTGACCTTGGGCAAGTTTCTCAAGATGACAGGTGTCTTAGTGGCTTCATCTATAAAAATGGGACTAATACTAGTACTGCCCAGACAGTAAATGAGATTTTGGTGTAAAATATTTAAACAAATGCCTGGCCCAGAGTAAGTGTTCCATACATTGAAGGTCTACTGTCCACAGCATCTTGGAATTGGGGCCCTCGAATTAACAAACTTGTACTTTAAAAATCAATGCATGAAGCATAATATGGTAATTTAAAAATGAAGCAATACATTCTCAGCACTCAAAAATTTAATACATACCCTGTTTCATAAAAGGTCAGCCTGAGATGATCAATTACTATTTCTGGGGAAGGACTCTTCTTTTTAGACTATTTTCCCTACTTTTTAAAAAATATTACAATAACCTTTCTTTTCATAAATAACAGTGATAGCTTGAGGTACTGTTTAGTTTTTTGTTGTTGTTGTTGTTGTTTTGTTCTGTTCTTTTTATTTTAGTAGTAAAATTAAAATCTGACATTAGGTTGACTCCGCTGTCTTAAAACCAAGGAAGCCTGAAACCCGAGATTACCCATCAAACTGTAAGTCTTGGCGTTTGTGGTGGAGAGATGGTGGCCTGGAAGGGGAAGGGACTGCTCAAGGTCACACAGCCTGTACAGGACAAAGATGAGTTTCCAAAGTACATCCTCAGGCTCCCAGGCGGCCCCCATGTCGTCCCCAGGGGACTGCCCTGTCCCCTCTCCCCGCCAGAACAAGCCATTGGCGAGAGCTGCCGAGTCAGGCTACGAGCTGTTCTTGGGGGCTGCAGGGCGACCTTCCAGCCCGCTGAAGGCCTTTCTGAATGGGACCTGGGCTGTGCTTCAGTAATGACACCCCTGTGGGGCGCCCAACGAACTCACCCTGCTCCACACTCAACCTGATGCTGAACAACCCAATATGGTGGTTCCAGGAAATTGTAATAATAACTAGATCATAATTAATTCATCCAATCATTGAATCGTGATTAATCATCAACTATGTATTTAGAGTGCCCAGCCTGTGCCAGAACTAAACTACCAACAGTCCTTGCCTGAGGGCGACCGGAACTGGGAGGTTAGGAGCAGAGAACGTCATCAAAGCCGCTGATTTCTATCGGGGTGGCTCTACGGACCACCGTGCTAGGTGCTTCATACCCAGTTCTCAGCAGAAAACTGGAGTCTCGGTCGCGTGCAATTCTGTCCCCAAGGTACATTGGCAATATTTTAAGACATTTCTGATCGTCACACTGGAGGAGAGGGTGCCAGTGGTAGCTAGGGTGAGAAGCCACGATGCTGTTGGGACAGGCCCCCAGCCCCAAATGTCCAAGGTGCCAGAGTTGAGAACCCCTGACATGGATGATGAGGGTTAATGTGACAACAGTCCCGTGGGCTGTGCTCTAAAATGAGACCGCCTTCCTCCTGGGCATGCATGGGGCCTAGAGCGACGATATGTGCACGGCCCACAGATGCTGCCCACACAGTACCTTCATCACCACGACCCGCTGAGGACCTGAGGCTCGGAGGGGACAGGGGCCTGGCTCGAAAGGAGTTAACTCCAGAACCTTTCACCGTGACCTGGGCAGGGCTGGTGCTGGCACCAGCCTGTTTGGTGCCCTTGCTCAGGGGGGGCCTCCCCTTCCGGGGCCCCAGTGTCCGCCTCTGAGCTGGAGGGAGCAGGACCCCCGCAGCGAGCTCCCTCCGGAAGAGCAGGATGGTTCAGAGTGGGGTTCTGGAGCCAGCCCTGCCTCGACACCGCCCACGTCACTTCATCTTTAAAAGAGCAACAGCAAGTATCCCTACCTCACAGCATGGTGGCAAGGGTGACAGCGGCGGCAGCTGCGGCGACCCTGACTTTTCTGTCATCACCATCACCCCTGCCGTAGGTGGTCGAGCCCCTCTTCTCGCTCAGAACCCGTCCCCTGCGACCCTCCTCGCTCACCCACAGGCTCTACTCTGGCCTCAGATATGCTGAGGCTGCTCCTGCTCTGGGCCTCGGCTTGGCATGTGCTGTTCTGTTTGCTGCAGTCTCTGAGCCCTTTCTGCAACTCCTCTGCCCCTGGCTCCAATGCCACTTCCTCCGTGACCCTCCGCCCATTTTCTTCTTATCTTTTTTTGTTGTTGTTGTTAATCCTCACCTGAGGATATTTTTTTCATTGGTTTTTAGATAAAGCGAAAGGGAGAGAGGGAGAGAGAAACATCAATGTGAGAGAGACACATTGACTGGGTGCCTCCTACACAACCCTGACCAGGGCCAGGGATCAAACCTGCAACCCAGGTACGTGCCCTTGACCCGGACTCGAACCCACGCCCCTTCAGTCTGCAGGCTGATGCTCCATCTGCTGAACCAAACTGGCCAGGGCACCCCCCCACCACCACCATTTTCAATTGCATGTGTGCATGCCCACACATTCCCACCCTCCTACCCCACTTCCCTGCTTGACTGTCTCCGCAGCAGGGTCACCATCTGACACCCTAAGTATTTACTCATCATATTTTATCTTGTTCCCACATAATGGAAGCTCCAAGAGCACAAGCATTTTTTTTTTTTTTGGCTCTTTTGTTGACTGCTGTCTTCCCAGAACCTAGAATAATGCGTGGTACATAGTAGGTGCTCAATAAATCTTTGTTGACTGACACAGATTGAATAATTCTAACCCAGATAACACATGCTGAGCAAGTTGTTGTTGGGCCCCGGGGTTTCTGAAAGACTCAGGAAGAAGCAGAGGTTGTAAATCACACACAGGCGTGGTGGGAGGAGGGAGGTCAGGGGCTGGTGTGACCAACAGGCCCCCTACCTCACTCTGCAGGGCATGAGCTTTCTTAGCCCAGGCCATCTTCAGGTCCTCGGGCAGCGCCGTGAACTCGTGGCACCGTGTCCTGTAGTCATGGTCGCTGGCCAGGGCCTGGGCCTTCCTGGCGTGGACCAGGTGCACCATGTCCATGGGCAGGTGGTACTGTGCTTGGCTGCCCGCTGCCTGCCTCCGGTACCAATGCTCACTCTGCAGCTGGCCCATCCGCTGGCAGTGCTGGAGCCGGGGGTCGTCACTGACGCTCCGGGCCCCGATCAGCCGCCCTCGCTCCTTCACAAAGTCATGTCTGTAGAGAAACTGAGGGGAAGACCAGCCGGTCAGGGGCCAGCATTCGGCCAAAATTCCATCGGTGCGTTTTCACTGCAGACCCTGAAAAATCACCTGTTCCTACACTTGGAGGTGGTGATTGTGAGAAACATCACAGTGAGGCTGGCCTGAGAGCATGCTTCCTCCCTGGGGGATGAACAATTGAAACATCCCTCCATCCTGCCTTTCTAATTACAACCAGATCCTCAGAACCAAAGCAAGGGCCCCACCCCCGTATGTGTCCTGTGGCCAAGGGGAATGCAACAAAAAGGGTAAAAAAAAAAAATGTATCCATTCGCACTTGGCAAAACATTACACCCAAGAGACGGGACTCGTTTGTTTGAAGTCCACATTTTCTGTGATTTGTTTGTGGGGAAGAGAAAGTCACCTTCATGTCCCAACGCCACGGACGTTATCAACAGAGCGATAACGCACACCCTAATGCCAGCGTGTGAAACTGCAGGTCCAAGAGGACACCTAGGGCTGCCGGACGGTTTCTACCGCGACTTTGCTTTCTAATTCTGGGCGGAGCTAGAAAACAGGCAGTTCCAGGGGGCTGGACACTGCAATTAGAGAGAAATCCTCATTTCCTTCCTGCCCAGACCTTTGCCTGATTCGGCTTCTGATGAACAAATGCTTTCTTCCCCTCCCCCGTCAAAGAATCTCATTCACGACTAATATATTCTGCAGGTGACATCCTGGCTCACATGGTGATAGATTTGCTTTAATTCAGGAAAACCCGCCATAGACATTGTTTTACATGAAGTTAACAGAAATTAGGCAAGAGGGAAGGTCACAGCCTTCAGCTCACATCACTGGCGATATCTCCAGAGGCCCGAGCCGCCTGGAAGGGCAGAGCGTCTATCGTCAGTTTGTAGCCTTGAGCGCGGAGATTATGCCAAGACTCCTTGTATTTTGCCTGCAATAGAAACACATGTAGATTTTCTTTAAAAAAAAAAATTACACGAAGAAACGAACCAAGGCCACCCCTTCCATTTCGTGGCACGGTGCTCCGGAATCTCTGTCTGACAAGCAGAAGCTTGCTTTCTATTCCGCAGAGGGAATCTCATGAGCACCCCCCGTCATGGGCTCCGACACGGTAAGTGTGCTACACATTGGTGAAAAGGTATTTTTAACCTGCGCATCTAAAAGACACTTTTTTATTTTTTTTTTTTAAGTGTCTGTGACCTCGGGGAGGGTCCCTGGTAGATCACATCCCAGGCACACCTGGCTTTGGGGTGTGCTCGAACTTCAACAAGAAAGGCTTACGTCACTCAGATTGGCTGCATTCGTTTTCGCTCGGACAAACTCGGGCAGACCTAGAGTCATTGTGTACTGGTGTCTCGCATCCTCCCCGGCCGCTTTATAGAGGCGCTGGGCAAACAGAAGGAAAGAGAGAAAAGATGAGTCTGTGCGTCTGCGGTGCTGGAGGCCCCTCCCTCCTTCGCGGTCCCGAAACACGGCCGGAAAGGCCACTCGCTGAACCACCCCTTCAGCTTTGGGGAAGATGTTTCTTTCGATGCAGACAGTCTTGCATGAGTCAAATTGAGTGATAGGAAAGGAATACGTAAGAAATTGCAAGTTGCTTTTGATAGGGTTCAGGAAGTGATACCCCAAAACAGGGCACCTTGGAATATTGACTCTTGAGTTGAAGGAATTTGAAAAAAGCAGGTACTAGAAGGACACCCTCTGACTTCCTCCTGAAGCAGGCCATGAGACCCTCCAGTGAGGGGTGCCCTCCCTGTACCCGAGGAAAGGAGCATCCTTATCTCCGAGGACCAAGGGGCGCAGGACACAGAAAGGAATCTTTCTTGCTAAGTCCCCCCACTTCCCTACACTTCGCTGATACCCCTTGTCCCATCATATTTTCCCACCACTTCCTACTCTTCACCAAACCGAGTATAAAAACACTCAGGTGGAACCAAGTATTCATTTCCTCATGAAGGCTCCCCTACCACGTAAGGCTTATGCTAAATAAACTTTTCTGCTTTTCTCGTTAATCCGTCTCGTTACAGAGCCCCAGCCCAGACACTAAGATGGGTAAAGAAAAAGACAGTTTTTCCTCCCCTACACTCTGCTCCATGACAGTCTGAGGGAAGAAAAGCACACACAAGTTCTTCCCTTTGGGCTTTTCCCTCGCAGACTCAGCGCACAGACAAGACTCACACCGGGGAAGTTTAGGAGAAACTCTGCCCTGTGTGAGGGATGTTCCCAAACCATGGTCTGCATTCTTTACGAAAGCCCGGATCCTTCCACGGGCAAAACCACACAGTGTACCCTGTGTGGCCTCAGCCAGGACCAAAACATTTATTCCCATGATTAGAAATGGGCCCGTGGCTGCTGACTTCTTTCAGGTCAGGGGCCATCCTAAGAGGCTTTGTTACCCCATAGCATCCATCACAAATCAAGCAAGAAAGGTTCAAGAGGAATTGAAAACTGATAGCATCATTACATAAGCCCGCTGGGTGTCCTTGTCCCAAGGCTGTTTGCCTTGGGGTGAGAGTGGAAACTGAGAGGAACAGACAGATCTCAACTGACTCCTAAAAGTTAGAGTTCGAGGGAGGATCGTAAAAACGAACGATGAAGCAACATTTAATGGCGTGCCCAGCTCATTTACTATTTCAAGCTTGTTCGAGAGCCACTAAGAAGAAGTGTAACTGAAAAGATGGTTTTATGTAATGAGCTTCCTTTCCCCGCACCTCCCTCTGAAAGAAACAATGACGCGTAAACTGGGTGAACAATGAGGAAGATGAGGAGGTGGAAATTCGAGAAGCCTGGCCAACCACATACTCTAGATCTGCCCTTGACTAACCACAAATCCTCCCTACACTAACCATAAGAATGGCGGTGTCAACGCGGTTGGCCAGTGTTTGCTGACACAGAACAAATGAATGGCAGGATGAATGGCAGTGTGCTCCCGGTGGGTCTGGGCGGGGCCTGAGGCTCAGCATCTCTGAGCCCGCCAGTCCGTGGCTGCTCTGGGGCAGGACTGCAGACTTACCCCGATTCCCACCTGGGCCGTCCCTCCTTCTGGGAAACACTTCGGCTCTGTATAATGACGTTCTCTTCTCCTGACCTTCATGCAAACACGCAAACGCGTGTGCTTTCCACCACCTCCCCAAACCCGCACACGGTTACATGTATTGTTAACAATCTAGCAGTTTTTTTTTTTTAAAAATCCCAAAGCCACCAGGAGGAGCGTTTACCTCGTTCGTAATCTGGGTGCTGAGTTTCGCCTGGAGGAGGCTGGGTGTGTCGGGCACGGCTGTGTACCTGAACGTCTGGGGGTGCTGACGGTATTTACTCTGCAGTCACACGAGAAGAGACGAGAGGACGCGGTGAGATATGAACCCAGAGGAAGAACCAGCTCTTGAAATGCTAGTTTTTAAACCCCATTTCGCAAAGGCTGTTAGTCTGCTAGCTGGAATCTAGTCTCTCACTTGCTCTGATGACCTCAGAACCCAGTGGGGAGGAGAAGCAGAGGGGAGCAGAGGACAGACCGACTCAGATGCTTACCACAGAAAACGGACAGCTAGTCTTTTGTCATGAACATAACTACTGAAATGCAAGGTTTGCTCCCAACTTTTGTTCACTGCGGATCCGGGGCTCCCCAGCTTTGGGAACGTACCAGAAACACCTGTGCAGCTTAAAATGTGTAGACCTAGGCCTGTACCCACCCCAGGAGATTGGGATTCAGTCAATTGTCGGTAGACTCCAAGCTCCGAATTTTTTTTTTTTTTTTTTTTTGTGCTCCACAGAGGATTTGGATGCACCACAAGGTTTAGAAACCACTTGCTTTACAGAGTTCATTGGAAAAGCAAGGCACAAAGTTAAATCTAAAACTTAGGCTGATTCCATTTGCCCAGAGCACCTAATCGACATGTAAGCAAGATGTAAGCCCACCTGATGCACCCGGGCTGGCCACTGACCACCTTCACTTCAGGGCCTCCCATTATGCCCTCCTGTCCTTGACCTAGCATGAAGGGAAGTCCCAGAGCCCTCTCATGGGGGAGCAAGGTGCCTCGGGGTTCAAAAAGCTTAGAAATCTAGACTTCTGTATTTTTACCAGAAATGATTACCAAGGTTAGAGCAACCATTTCATTTGCATCCACGGTGCTTAGATCATTGCTAATCCTCACTAAAACTAAACAAAGGACGCATGAGTATCCTCATTTGACGGATTAGGAAGCTAAGGCTCAGGGAGGTTAGGTGACTGGCTTGAAGTCACACAGCAAATGAGTGCCGGTCTGGAATTTCAGCCTCCATCCATCTGTTGGTCTCCAAAGCCTACCCTCTTTACAGGGAACCACAGGGCCAGTCTCCTAAAGGCCACGGGAAAGTGCATCTCATAAATCAGTGTGACCAGTGGATAATTATTATATGTCAATAGGGGAGCTGTCTTTAATGACCTTTGGTCTGAATGGAGAACCCAGAGAGAAAAGAGGCCGGGCAAGAGGTTCCCCACAAGTCGCCAGTGTTAATCGTGTGACATGTAACTCACTTCCCCAGTAAAAAAACAGAATAAAGTGATGGCCGTGCAACAACCTTTGCTGTAGAAATACACTCGGCACCCCTCACCCCTGCCAGTCCCAGTTACCTCACTGATGAGTTCAGATGCTCTCTTTCTCCCTTCAATCTCTAATGTGCCTGGAATGACACAGGCAACACCTCGCATGAAGTTCAAGTCCGACCGGTACACGTTCTACAAAGAACACCACCAGGAATCAAAACAGGCAAACTCCCAGAACAAGGAAGCAGAGAAGCCGGAGGACCCAGGGCAGGACAGCGCTGCAGCTAGAGGCTGAGGCCTAACCAGTCTCTCTGGATGCCTCATACCAGCCAACGCACTTCAGAAATGCTCGTGGGGAGAACGAATGCTGGCTGGTGGTTAGAAAGTCAGCTGTCTAGGGGCCAATGTGGAAATGGTCTAATGGGTGGGGGTGCGTGTGGCTGCCTGAGTGATTTGGCCTGACGGTTTAAAGGGTCCCCGAGCACACTCCCCTCACCCACAGAGGGACTGCTGGGCACGATGCCTTCGGAGAGCGAACACGGCCAGAGGCAGGGCAAGCGAGGGCTTGCTCCAGTGGCAAAGGGCCCCCACGCTGAACCTGGCAGCTCCCCGTTCCCACAGCTGCTCCGCGGTTCCTGACAGTCTCTGTCACTCAGTAAGCGCTGTCCATGGCACGAAATCTGAGCAGACGCCAGATACCCAGATCTGGGTGCCGCTGGGCCCGCAGGCCCTGCCAAACCAGGAAGCAGGGCCGGTGGAGCCACCTTTTCTGACACGGGCCCATTGCCGCACATCTCCCGCACGAAAACCCAGCAAGCTGGGGAGCCAGCTGAGTGCCAAACGGGCTGCTGCTGCCCGTTGGGGTGAGGTGTCTGGTATCTCTCCGGGAGTGAGGAGATCCTCAACACCTCCGCCCCGGGCCGGCCTGCTTCAGAAAACGGAGGTGGGAGCCACAGATACGCATCCACACTTGGGACCCCCTCCTTACAGCTGTGCGGCCGCGGGCCAGCTGTCCACTCCTGTGAGCCTCACTATCCTTTCTCTGTAAAATGGGACAAAGACTACTGGTCCAGGGTCATTCTGGAGTTTAAATGGATAACGCGTGAAAACACCATGCTCAGAATTCTGCAGAAATGCACCGTGAAGGCTGGTTGTGATTAGATCTGTGCAGTTGCGCTTCTTATTGAGAGCTAGGCGGGAACACAGGGGTGGCATTTCAAAAGAAACCCAGGATTCGGATTTCTCTTCTCTGGAGCACCCCTCCCCCACCAAAGGACCTGCCAGGTCACTGCCTTGTGGGCAAATCGGAGAGGAAAGAGGCCTGAGAGAGAGGCCAGGTCTCCCTACCTCACTCTGCAACTTGTGAGCTTTCTTGGCGCAGCTGAGCCTCAGGTCTTCCGCCAAGGACGTGTGCTGGGGCAGCGGGCGCCGGTAGTCCTGGTCGCTGGCCAGGCTCTGAGCCTTCTTGGCATGCACCAGGGTTACCATGTCCAGTGGCAGATGGAACTGCGCCTTTGAGCTTTCGAAGCCTTTCTTGTAATTCACCTAGAGGGGCAGATAGAGCAACAGTGGCTATTTCAAAGCCACCATTCACCTCAGGAACATCAGGGACAGCGATGGCCATGCCACTGTCCTAGGTAAGCCTGTGGGACATTCTTGGCAGGGCCAGGGTTCCTCTCTTTGAGGACCAGCTTAATAAGCTGGACTGTCATCTCCAGGTTCTAATGCTCACCACTCAGCTCCTGGAGTTCCCTCATGTGGGTGACAAAGACCCCTGGTTCCCCCAGTGGAGAAGACACAGAAGTTCAAGGGACAGATAAAATGTCAATCATTTCCTTACTCCAGACTAGCTCTTCCCATTTTCCAGAGGAAAGGCGATGCATGGGTATCTGAGCCCTCCTTCACCTTCTCTAGTTCAGGTTCTAGACACAAGGGAGTTTCCTCTCAAGCTAGCTTATGAAGAGCTTCTTACAAGCATCAGATGCCCTCCTAGCAAACCCAAGAGCCAGGGTAGAGCCAGTTCAGAGGGGCAGGTATTCCCAAGAGCCCAATATGCATCCCGAGAGAGAAAGGGAGAGTCCCGTTTGCAGACCACAGGCTCCTAACGTTCCCGGGATGAGCTGTCTGCAGGTCTGGGAAGCTCACTCCAGGCTTCTTGGGAGTCAGATGCATAATCGCCACCTCTTCCTTCTCCATCCTTCCCATGGATTTCCCGAAGCTCCTGCCACTCCTGTCTAACCCCATAGTCCCATCTCCATGAACCCTCCCCTCACCCCTACCAGAAAGCCAAGGGCAACTCACACCCAACCTCATACTCTTAGGTCAGCATCCCAGATGGAACAATGTTAGAAACGGGGACACTGAGGCAGAGACTATGTGAAATCATGGGAAGAGCATGAGATGCGGAGCTCCGTGTCCTGACTCTGCCCCCTCCGAGCTGACCTTAGGTCTAGGTCCCCTTATCAGTAAAGCCAGGATGAATACACAGATGAAGTCCCTAGAGATAGTCTGGTGATTAAAAGAGACATTGCATGTAAAAGTGTTTGGTCCTCTGTAACATGTGGCCACGTATTAGATTTCATTGGCATGAGCCAACTCACACACATATGTGCCAGGGGACAGGGCGTGCACTTGTGCCGGCATCCAGAGGGGTGAAGTCAAGGGCTACAATCTGAGATGCCTCCAGGAGCCAGACAGGCAGCAAAAATGAGTGGAGGAGGAAGCAGGAGAGGAGGGAGTAGCTGCATGACCAGGAGGCATGACCTCTTCCAAATGGATCTCTCCGTAATCAATGGCATCATGTAGCTTTGAGGACTCCGGGTCCCGTTCTGGCCAGAAGTCCAGAACTTTTATGTAAAAAGTTCTGTTTTTAAAAGCTTGTAATTAATTCACTGCAGAGCAAACAAAACACTTCTGTGGTCTACGTCCAGACTTCGGGTCTCTTTTTGTGGCCACTGGACAAAATCATAGAATACCCGGCCTGGAAGGGAGTCAGGGGTCCGCCAGCCCAACCTCTCACTTGATGGAGGAAGAGGTGAAACCCAAAGGGACCTGACCATGCCAGAGAGCCAGGACAGAGCCAGCCCCCGCCACCCGCCACTGGAAGGACAAGGGGCAGCAGTTGGTTGCGCACAGAGGGGGCGGGGCAGCGCGGTTGCGGTCCCTCCCACTCACTTCACTCTGCAGCGAGCTGGCGTACACTGAATGCGCGAGGCTGATATCATCTTCCAAGCTCCGGGAGCCGAGCATCTGCCCTTTCATTTTCTCAAATGCCTCTTTGTATTTGTACTAAAGAGAAAGAGAACAGGAGAGAGTAACAGCTCGGGGACAAGGGACACGGAAAGGAAGAGGTGGGTACTGGGCGAACATGTTTTGTTCTTTTGACAGTCCCTGGGTGAGTTAAAAGAACCGCGGAGGAGTCGTCCAAAGGCCTATTCTTTCATATGCAAGACTCCCAATGACTAAAGGGCTGGGATGTGAAACGGCAGGACAAGTTCACACGTGGGCGGCCCCCACTGGAAGAAGGTGGGTGCGTTGTGAGCCGTCTCTTCACATGGACTCGCTGTAGGAAAACGCTTGGCGGAGGTGCATTTCCTCGGCCCAGGGTCCATATTGACAAAGCCTCTCGCTTTGTACCCCGGCCAGGGCGTTTTCTGTTGTAAGCTATGTTCTGTCTCACTGGTCGTTATGGGATGGCCCTAACACAGGCGATTGGGAGAGGAGCATATTATCCACAAGCAAACGGAGGCCGGGGTTAGGGGCAGAAGCATAAAGATCGATTGGTTAGTTCAACACCGTCTCAGTAATGGGGATGGATGCTCACGTCGCTGATGATTTCACCAGATGCCTTCGCTGCCTGGAACGGGATGGCGTCCAGTCTCAGTCTATACCCGCCGTCGCGGAGTTTGCTCCAGGACTCCTTATACCGTGTCTGTTGGGAGGATGCGAACACATCAAGACCTGTGACCTGGTGGTTTCCCAAACCCATGACCAAAACGGGAATCTGGTTGCCTGTGGGTTTTCCTCCCAGGTGGGAGTCAGAAACCATCGGGGCAGAAATCACCAAAGAGCTGATCCTGCCTCCCGCCCACCCTTGGGGGGAGGGGGCATGGGTGGGACATTAAAAAGCAAGAGCTTTGGAGGCAGACGGACCCAGATTTCTCTGAGCAGCAGGCTGACTGAATGGAGGCTTGGGGCCCTGTGTGCACGGCTCTTTATGCCGGATAAAGAGAACTCCGCTGTCTCTATCACAGCACAGGAGGGGCCTGACAGAGACTGTGGAGGTGAAGGCTCCCATGTCTCCTTGCCACAGCTGCTGGATATACTCACCTGTATTCTGATGCCCACATACCAGCTCCATGGTACAAATGCCCTTTGCACTAAGGCATTTCTCCTTGAAAATGACCTCGACTCTCCTGCAGGCCCAGCTACATAATTTGCAGAGCCCAGTGCAAATGAAAATGCGGGGCCCCTTGTTCAAAAAGATCACACATTTCAAGACGGTGATAGAGCATCACACCGCGCAGGGCCCTTCTGAGCACAGGATGCGGTACATCTGAGCAGGTCCCCTGAGGTCCCGTAATGAAAACCCGTGTCCTTCCACCAGCCTCACCTCACTGATATTCATGGCATTCAGCTTGGCCAGCAGGACTTCAGGGAGGTCTGCTGTCTGCGTGTAATGATGCTTTATGTTTTCTCCTTGTTCCCTGTATAACCTCTGTAGGTGGAGAGAGGTTTTGCATGAAACCCTGAAGCTTCCCCCACACAGCCATCAGCCAAGTTAAAGTCCAAGGGACAAGGGCGCTGCACCTGCCACCTCCCCACAGGACAGGATCACAGGCGCCCTGCCTCTGTCTAGATTTCACAGCTAGCACGGTGACATGTGCTTCGTGCTCTCCCAAGTTCTGCATCCCCGCTCAGACACGGCAGGCTGAAACTTCGCCCTGGGTTAACGCTCTACCTGGAGCACCCTGCTGAGATGGGTGTCAGACGGCAAATGAGGTCTAGTTAACATCCATAATTTTGTTATTAACTATAAGCTAAGAGAGGGCATCAAAATTCAGGAGGCCTGAGAGACGATGGCTCTTCCACAGGTGAGGTTTTCCCCGGACTTACTTCAAAATACTGTGGGATGCACCCCCTCCCATCACAAGGATTCCCGTGCCAATAACTGCCTCCTGAGCGGGTCTGGGGCACTATTCACCCAGAATTCTGATCTGGGCTACGACATTCTACTAGCGAGCAGTGATACATGGAGTTGGCATCAGCCACCGGAGAAAGTTTCTAAACCAGGCCTTTTTTCCATCCCAAATCTTATCTGGTGTGTCCAAGTTTCTATGCATCACAGCAGTGCCCCCTAGAGCTGGTTAGGGTAAGGAAGAAGCAGGTATTGTTTTCCTTTATACAAAAGTTCTTGTTTCTCAGAATTCAATTGGATTCTGATGAGCGCATTATCAGGATATGGTAAATCCCCAAACCTATACATTTAGGTCAATCATCCCAGGTGTATTCTGATAGGTGCTCGGGGCCCTTTCAGAATAGCTGTCGGACAAGGCACAGCCAGAGCCGTCGGGAAACAAGGGAGAGAACTGTGAAACCTCTCCCCGCACAGTTGTACATCTCCCTCGAGGCAAGCTGGACGATTTGGAGATATTTAAAAGGCGTATCTGCCCTGCACAGAGATCCACGGACCTTTCTCAGTAGAATCAGCCGAAGCAGGCTGATTCATGTCCTGACGTGACTTTCTATAGGACTTCATCATCCAAACTGGTCTCCAGTGAACCCTGTGCTGACAGGGCAGAAGGCCACACCTTGGTGCACCTCCATTGAGAATACGGGAAAGGGCTTGATAGTTCAGTCTAACGTACGCACACGAGATCCAAAGCACTTTCAAAGCCTTTGGGAAAGTCCAAGAGGAAGAATTCCTGCCCTTGGGTCCCAAGGAGCCCTGAGAGTAGCTTCAGTGTGCCAATTACAGAGAATTTCACCTACAAGTTCCAGTTCTGAAAACAATGCTTTAAAACGAAAGGAGCGGGGGACAGGCCCCACCACAGACAAATCTTCGAGACACACAAATAGGAAAAAATGAGCACAGGGCAGTGGGGTGGCGGAGCCCCAGTTGGCATCCTAAGAGCATAACACCCCACCTGCATCCTAATGAGGACGCACCCCGCTAAGGTGAGCCTCGGTGAAGGGCAAGAAGCTCCTTCATCCTTAGAACAGCAGAAGGAGCAAGCCAAGAACCCTCGGCTTCAATCACAGTGTTGAAAGGCGCGCCCACTCTTAGAGTCATAATGTATATACATTATCGCTTACATCCACTGCTTGGGTATAGCTAATTCTGGCCTGGACCATCTCCGGAGTGTCTTTAATACTGGTAAACTTCAAAGCATCTGGATGCTGACGGTACTTCTTCTGTTGAGCAGAAAAAAGATCAAAGCTGTGAATTTTGTGCCTCTCTTTCATGCCATTTGAAAGAGAAAATCATAGGTTGCTTGAGATTAGAGTGAATTTGTGAACATAATTATTATTCGGCTTCCTCCATCTTTATATCCTCGGTGACTCCAGGTTAATATTTGTTTCCATTTAAGAATAACCTCGTGTCAATTAACATTAAAGTATGTCTACCTGGTGCAAAGAAAGCATCTCAGAATTAGGTTACACCAGTAAAATACCGCGGGACGCACACTTAGGGAAGGATTTTTTTCTATAGGCTTCAAATACCGTTGTTTACATATCTTAGCTGGAGTCTCCCAAGCAAGAAAGAACAATCAGAGTTACATTTATCGCCTGAAGCTTTCTAATTTTCTTTTCACAGAAGGACTTTATCAGAGACGATCACAGTCAAAACTTCCGCATTTAACAGTTAGTGACTGTATACTAGCTGGTCACTTTTACACCGGGTTCAGTTAACATATGCAGTCATTCCTAAAAACAACAAGGAAAAGGGTGGTAGGACTCATTCTACGGTTTGAACGACACTGAGACACCAAAATCGCAAAAAACTCAAATGCTGGCGGAGACCTATACACCCAATTTTGCTTCTAAAACCAAGTCCTGTTTGAATTAATTCCTGTCTGTTTTTTCAATCAAAGTACCTTTCCAGGAGACTAGAGCGGTTGCCACCTTCCTGGAATTGCCAAGTGCGTCTGTTCTCAAATCAAACGATTACTAAACACGTCCTCGTTGGGTTTTTGTATACTGGGTTGTCTTAAGAAGACACGGCCCAATATCCACCACCTGTCTTTGTAAATAACGTTTTATTGGAACATGGCCATGCTCATTCATCTCTGGACCGTCTGTGGCCGCTTTCATGCTACAGTGGCAGAGTTGAGCTGTCGCGACAGAAACCGCGCAGACCACAAAGTCAAGCATAGGTAATATGTGGTCCTTCCCAAAAATGGTTTGCTGACGGCTGCTTGAAATGACAGGTGCGTGTGCATCTTGGGGCTCTTTCGACAGAGCCTCACATTCTGTCTGAAAGTTCAGAGGTCAACCCAATTGGACACTGAACCGGAAGCACGCCAACCTGAAATGAGATGGTTGGGGAAGGTTGCGGAGAGGTGTCTGGGCTTCCGGAAGCTTGAGGACACGTGGGAAGCATGGAAGGTGAGCGAATGTGTTAGTAAGTCCGCAAACCGAGGCGAGACACTAAGACCGTCATAGGATAAACAGTCCCAGCACGATCCCTTGGCTGCCAGGCTAAGAGGCACGAAGGCATCGCCGTGATGTCTAAATTACGTGTATAACGTTCTTTAGTCTTTGTGTCTTGTTATGAGTGGGCCCCATACACAGAGTCTGGGACCGTGAACCCTCACACCTACATGTCTGTTCCCGTGAGTTTCCCACGTGCGTCCTCCTGACACGGCCTTTCCTAATTGGCCTGAACCACCCAGAGCAGTACAGTCTCCACCGAGCCCAGGGTCTTCCGAGCCTCGCGTGTTGACTAACATTCCTAAAAATTAGGCCCATCAGAGTGAGCCCACTTTCGAAATCTGCTGTGCCATGTCACGTAACTAGAAGGCTCTTCTACTGAAAAATACCAATGCTGGTAAGTGTGTTTCAAAAGTCAACAAAGGTGTCTTTTTTTTTGTACGTGCCCCTAGCAGAAACTGAACCTGGGACTCTCTGGTCTGCAGGCCAACGCTCCAACCGCTGAGCCAAACTGGCCAGAAAATATAGGTGTCTGTTTTAACGATACATTCTGTCTCCTCCTGGGTCCTAGGTGGCTCATTGCTGTGGCTGAAGTCTTCTGGGGACATGGCCACTATGATCCCCATCCAGAAAAGCCAAGAAGGACCAGGCTACTCTGAAGGCAACTGAACAGCCGCTCACTGGGGCAAGTCCCCCTCCCAACAGACAGGGCGGGTGGCTTTGGGTTGTTTCGGGGTATGCAGCCTCCGGGAGCCTGAGCCCAGGACAGCTGCCCGCCGTGTCTAGTCCAGTGGGTGGCCACCTCTCGGCAATGTCTGGAATTATTTTTAGTTGTCATCACTGCGCAGCGGGTGCCACCGGCCTCTAGTGAACAGACGCCGGGGATGCTGCCCAACATCCTACAAGGCCCAGAGCAGTCCCCACAACGAAGATGACAATGTCAATAGCGCCGAGGCTGAGAAACCCTGATCTGTTCAATGATGCCGTCCTAAATGTGAGGACGTGCCCCCTTTATGAAGCCGGAATGCTACATATATAGGGACTCCCCAACAGGAGAGAACCCTGTCACATGTTTGACACCTCATGAATATTCAAAAGCTGTTTACATGATGGCAGCAAGAATGGGAAAAATGTGCGTAAACTCACAAAAGGGCTTTCTGGGAGCCATAAATGTGTCTTTTCATCATCTCTCCCGCGTGTCCCTTCATTAAAAAGGTAAGTTAGTGGGTAGCCATTGAGCCCTCGTTTGATTGTCATTATTATTCATAATATCACTTGTCACCCACTTTGTTTTTGCCGGGGCTGTCCGGGGGGGCCCCCACCAGCGTGTGTTTGGTACGGGGTTTCTCTCTAATTGCCAGCCCTAGTCTGGGGCTTGCGGTCTTTCATGTAGCTTTGCCTTCTTCTTTGCCGTCTGAGTGGAAATTATTTTAATTTCATACAGAAGTGCCGCGTGCCTGATGCAGCCAGGCCTGCTGCCCGCTGTCCGCCGTCAGGAAATCTCACCTCGCTAATGAGTTCTCCTGCCTTCTTCGCCTGCTCCACGTTTAACGACCCGGTGGCGACCCAGCCCGCGCCTTTCATCCACTTCACATCTGCCCTGTATTGGTTCTGACAAAGGGGGGGGGAGAAAGCAGGCCATTGTTGGTACGCAGACATTTAAAGGGCTATTAACAGCTCCCGAGGCAGCCTTGGTGACAGCTGAGCCACGCGACAGGCCACTTTTGTCTTGTCCATTTCTGCACAGTCACAGGTAAGGCTCCAAAAGGTAAATTAATTTCCCCTTTAATTGGAGCCGGCCTGCAGGTGGACGGTGGGCCCCACCCAGCTGCCAGGGCTGGAGAGGGAGGGGCTGAGCCAGCCCGGGCCCTCATTAGGGACTCCAGTCTACCTCGGAGGAAGGAGCGTTCCCCTTGTCTGCTGTCCCCCATCTCCTTGTTTAAAATGACATGCCGGGGAGAAGAAAATGATAATTCACAACAGAACCCAGGTGGGGAGCTAGTTGAGGGAATTTCACAAGACAGCCGGGGCTCTCCACGGTGCCGAATCCTTCCGCCGCACCTCACCTCGGGGCGGGAGGGTGGGGGTGGATTTCTCATCTCCTTGCTTGCCAGGGAAGGAGTAGTTTTAATGAAAAGCCATTAAATGGACACTGGTCTAAAACCAGCGTACCCCTATCTATCCTGAAACAGCTCTACCTGCAAGGGTGCGTCCACAGAGCACCCAGCCCACCCCGCGTAACCGCTGCTGCTGCTGACCTGCCTTCTCAGTTCACCCCCTTTCTCCCACAAGCGTCAACCGGGGATGAAAGAAAACAGAACCAGGTGGGGAATACAAGGAGACGGGGGAGAGGGTCGTTGACTATTCTAAAAACAGGGGCTCCTAACGTTGGAGTGAGCACCAGAGATGCCCTCCTACAGGATGCCACGGTTAAGAAGGGCACAAAGACATCTCTCCTCCTGGCAATCAAAAGAAACATGGAAAACGCATGCAGATCAGAAGTCCAGGAAGAAAAAAGTAGCTTCCTGATTTTCTGTTTAGTCACAGTGAATTTATAATGGGCATACCTGGCATGAGTTAAGCCACCAGGAAGCTGACCGAGGGACCCAGAAACAGGTATCCCGTGACTATGAACCATTGTCTGGGAGGGTCTGGGGAACCCTCGCACCAACCCTGGGAGACACACACCCACGGAGCTTACGTCGCTCTGTAAGCTGTAAGCCTTCTTGGCCCATTCCACCTTCATGTCCGTGGGCAAAGCCGTGAAGTGGCGCGACGCCGTCCTGTAGCCTCTGTCGGTGGCTAAATGCTGAGCCTTGCGGGCATGCACAAGGTGGACCATGTCTAGGGAGACGTGGCACTGGGATTTGGTGTCCTCGAATCCCTTTTTGTACTCCCGGTCACTCTGCAGCTTGGACATTTGCAGCGAGTGGCTCATCTGCGCGTCGCCCTGCGCACCCTGGGCCCCGATGAGCCTCCCTCTGGACCTCTCATAATCCTCCTTGTACTTCACCTGGGTGAGGGGAGGAGACCAGAGGGAGATCAGGATCTCCTACCGGAATGGGGATGCTTCAAACCACAGCTGGGGGAGTGGAACACGGCCTAACGGGATCCTCACAGAATTAGTGGCATGAAAGGTCTGCCCCCTCGGAACAGCCTGAGATAACATCCGCCTGCTCCGACTGCTCGTTATCCCCGTTCCACCGGCTGCCAGAGAGCTCCCAGCCTCAGAATGCTCGGCCCCAGACCTGTGTTCGCCCAGCGTCTGGGTGCACTTCCATCTTCTGTCTATATTATTTGCCACCACTCTCCCTGGATTTATTTATTTACCTATGTTTATTTATTGTAATGTTTTTATTTATTTTTTAGAGAGAGAGAAAGGGAGAGATAGAAACATCAATTGGCTGCCTCCTGCGCGCCCCCTACTGGGGATCGAGCCCGAAACCTGGCATGTGTCCTCTGAGCCAGGCTGGGCTGGTCTGTAAAGTGGCACCCGCTTGTGTCGGAATGTAAGTCAGCGGCATCACCGAGCCCCTGTTTGGTTCAGCTGATGTCTCTCTATATGTGTGTACATATAACACATGCATAACATACGTGGATATAGAGGACATGTAGTGTGTATCCATTGATGATGTAAACGGCAGGATTCGTGGGGTCACGTACAAGCTGGGGACCGACTCACCTCGCTGGCCAGGTCCCTCTTGGCTTTGGCTGCCAGGAAGGCCAAGGAGTCAAGTCGCAACTCAAAGCCTTTTGCCTTCTGGTTTTCCCAGCTGCTCTTGTACAGTTTCTAAGGGGTTTCGAGAAAAGAGACCATCCTCACATGAGAGGGCTCCCCAGACTCTGTCACGACCTCTCCAGGAGGCAAACACCGATTAAGTCCTTCCCAGAAACCCTGTAACCTGGACACCACCAGGCCTTCCTGTTCCTTCCTTAAGGCCTCTTGCTACACATGGCTTCTACCAAGAGAGGCAGACATTAACTCCAGAAGCCGTGAACACTCTAGGAGTCTTCGTGGGCGTCTCGTACACGTGCCAAAGGTGGAACACCGTGGCCCAGCACGCAGCCACGGTTCTGAAGTCGTCCTCCAGCTCCGCCCGCACCCGCCCTCCTGCCGTGCCCGGTGCCCGCTCCTCTCTCCGTCCCTGCAGCCTAGCCCCCTGGGTCTCCTCACTTCTCCCATCCCCTCTCCGGCCTCCGCCGCCAGGCACCAGTTCTTTCTCCTGGAAGGCTCCCCTGCCTTTCTGTGTGTGAATCAGTGCATCCTCGGCTGCTCCCTCTAATTCTTTCCTCTGCCCATGGATCAGATCAAGACGCAGAGACCTGGGAGCTGAGTGAAGAGCTAAGGCCCCTCCTCAGAAGACGCAGTCGGGGAAGCTGGGACGACACATCCTTTTGTGCATAAATGTAGAGCTACCCTGCGTGCAGTCCACCGAGTGCTTTCTGTATATGATCAGCCCATTGCAGCTTCATGACAACCCAGGAGGAAGGGACGAGTGCTACCCTCAGTCTGCCAGTTGGACAACTGAGAGCAAAGGACTTACCCAAAGTCACACACCTAGTAAGGATCAACCCAGGTGGTCTGGAGCCAACACCCGAGCTCCTCCTCACGCCCCCTATGCCACTGCTCCAACCCCGAGATGACCACTGCCCCCGCATCATACCAGGAGGCTCAAGCCCCCACCCGTTCATTCCTACAGAAGGTTGTCCTCCCCGTAAGACACTGGTCAGGAACAAGTCTGCTAGACGAGCTATTTACGACGACCAGGTGAATGCCACCTGAGCTGACACACCGACCCGGCTGGCCGGGCTTGCGCCCAGGTGCCTGCACGGAGCAGCAGGCCCGCGAGCCGTACCTCGCTGAGACAGGCGGCATTGGCCCGGGCCTGCAGGAACAGCGGCTCGTCTTTGCTGATGCTGTACTGGTGCAGCGACTGCTCGTTTCCTGCCTTGTAGGCCACCTGTCGGGAGAGAGAGCTGGGTCAGGGGCAGGCGGCGGGCAGATGGCTGGCGTGGCATCACTCAACGGCTCTTCACGTCTGCTTGGCTCTTCTGTGACTTGCCTGGGAGGTCCTTACAAAGCCACCCAGACCAGACAGTGGCCGGAAGGACACAGTAAAGGAGGCTTAAGGTAGGAGAGATGACAGGAGGAGGAGAAGCAGTGAGGAGTTGAAAGAAGAATGTGGCCCAGGAATGAACCCAAAAACCCCTCCAAGGTTTTTGTTCTCATCTTTTGTTTCCCTTGAGAAGACACTGACTTCCCCACGCTGTTCTCAGTAAATAACCCACTGGAGCCCGGCCATTGTGGCTCAGTGGCTGAGCGTCGACCATGCACCAAGAGGTCACCGGTTCAATTCCTGGTCGTGGCACATGCCCAGGTTGTGGGCCCGATCCCCAATGGGGGCACGTAGGAGGCAGCCAATCGATGTTCTCTCTCATCAATGTTTCTATCTCTCTCCCTCTCTCTTCCCCTCTAAAATCAATAAAGAAAAGAAAAAAGAAAGAAAATAACCCACCAGAGAGCTCAAACGAGCACGGACTCCTCAAGTAGGAAAAAGAAGCAGCACGCTCTGCCTCCCGCACCCCCATAATCAACTCTAAAGCATTCACAGGTCTGACACCTGCAAAGTGAGCAGCGGCCAAAACGACACATGAGCCAACATCTCCACGGGAAACGTATTCACACTCCTCTTCCTCTCTCCCCTTCCCTCCCACCCCCCAACATGAGTTTCCCAACAGGGGCTTTCTGCTGCCTCGCCCTGTTGGTAGCATCCCTTCTGGCGGGTGAACCTGCGCCCGCGGGAGGCAAAGCCAGGGAGTCCTGACCGGACCATGGCGACGACGGCACCTGCTCGGTGCAGGCTCGCAGCAGTGTTGAACACTGGTGTGTACATAACACACGTGGACTTCCGCTGCTCTGCCCCCATGTGGGAGCCCACGTGGGCATGAAATGCACACAACCCACAGGCAAACCTCATCGTCCCCCGAGATAATGCTCTACTGGCTCCAGAATTACGGAGTGTCTGATGAGAGAGAGAGGAGAAAGGAAGAAGGAAGAAGGAAGTAGCAATAATGCAAGCTGAATCTAATCAGTTGGCCTCTCTCCCAGCAGCAACCAGGGAGGAGCGTGGTGGGCGAGGCAGGGAGGCCTGGTGCCCCATTCCCAGAGACAGCCGGGAAGCCTGCACAAAACCAGGCCCAGTCTATTTAAAGGGATGATTCTTTGTCGGTTGCTGGATCCCATCTGGGCAGCACCTGCTGCTGTCCCCGGAGGTTCCCAGGCTCATGACACAGCAGCTTGGTGGAGAAAGGGCAGCTGGGTACTCACCCCGCTCTGCAGCTCCTGGCTCCTCTTGGCGTGCTCCATCTGGGAGCTGTCGGCCACGCTGGTGAACTTCAGCTCATCCGCCCTCTGCCGATAGGTTTTCTGTTTTCAAAGAAAAGGGACCCCGTAGCATTAGGATCGGGCTGTCCCCCCCCCCCCCACACACACACACGTATACTCTCTGCGGCCCAAGCATTTCCTTGGGGGGGTGTTTCTGCTGGTCCTGCAGCTTAGACAGCACCACAGCCCTGAGACTGCCGGCCCCGGCGACACGGTGTTAGTGGCTACTCCTTCGTTGCTAGTCTACCATGTGTCCTGGGACGGGTCCGTTTCATAAATCTAGATCCGACCCGGGACAGGAAGTGTAGAGAGCTTGGACTTCACAGTTGAAGACCAAGGTCCGAATCTAGCCTGCTCCTCCTTCCAGCTCCATGACCTTGGGCACGTCACTTCATCATCTGAGCCACTCACGCGTTGCCCGTACAACGCAGAACCCGAGAGCAGCTGCCAGGCTTCCCCGAGCAGAGTCCGTGGACAGAGTAGGTGTCCACGACATTAACCATCACCATTATTCGTGGTGCCATCGTGACCATTAAAAAGCATCTGCTCTGCCCTGGCCGGTTTGGCTCAGTGGTTAGACCGTCGGCTTGCGGTCCAGAGAGACCCGGGTTTGGTTCCCGCTGGGGGCATGTACCTCGGTTGCAGTTTGTCCCCGGCCCTGGTTGGTCGTGAGGGTGGCAGCCACTCGATGTGTCCCTTTCACGTCGATGTTTCTCTCTCTCTCTCTCTCTCTCTCTCTCTCTCTCTCTCCCTCCCTCCCTCCCATTCTATCTGTACAAAAAATGGGAAGGTGTCCTCCGGTGAGGATGGAAAAAAAAAAAGCATCTGCTCTAAGAAAGGGACACACCAGGAGCCCCGGACAGAAGGCTGGCAGTCAGGGGCATTCATCCTCACAGCTTCTCAGTGTTCAAGGTCACCGAGGTCTTGTCCTCATAGTGCCACAGAGTAAGTGGAAAAATTTCAAATGTGCTCATTCCGTCCTCCCACAACCATAGAGGGAGCTTCTTGTCCTTCCTGGACGTTAGTTCCTCTGGCTTTTCCACCGGAGTTGCCAAAGTTGACGGGAAAGTGGTCGCTGGGGATGGCTCATTGCAGCCAAAGCTTCACATGGTGGGGAGATCAGAGAGGGCCAAGCACCCAGTGCTGTTGGCAAAAGGTTATAGGTACCAATTTTGAACCCCAAATAGGGATTGGAATATTCAAAACTCCAAAGCTCCTCCCTTTAGGGCAATAAAATGTTAGAGCCAATATTCCAGACACTTGCAATTTCCTTTCTAGTTCCATTGTGTTGAGTGGAAAACTCCTTCCCCACATAATTGAAGGAAGTGGCAATGCTTTTCCATGGTTGAATTCCCACTGATCCCAGACTCGGCGTTGGTCAAAGCACGTACTGGGGAGCCAAGACCCAGCCTGCACGGGCACAGCACAGACACTGAAAAGGAGACGGTATCTGCATGGCCCTCCGGGAGCTTAACAATTCATAGGCACCAGAAGTAGATAGAAACAGAAATTCCTCAGGCCGAACTCCTTCCTAAGGCTGCTTGGGGCCCCTTCCTGCACCCCTGTCCAAGACAAATAGGACTTTGGTTGATCCCCCTATTTTAGCTGGTCTCCAAGAATCCAAGTACTAGGACCCCGAAGGGTCATTCTCGCCTCTCTCCCTTCCTTGTTCATATACTCTAGCTGTAAACGTGTCTGGGTCAGAGAGAAGAATCAGTGCAGTAGGAAAATAAGAACAGATTACAAAACGTGATTTGGGGGTGCAGTACTGCTTAGTGGTCAAGAACCAGGGTGTTGGATCACACACTTGATTCAGAAGACAGCTCTGCTCCTCCCTGGAAGTGTGACTTCACGCCTCACTTTCCTCGTGTGTAAAATGGGAGATCAGGAGAGTGATAGTGTCACTCACCTAGCGCTGCTGTGAGCACTGAACGGGCAGTATGTTTGTAACATCCTCAAGGTGGTCAAGGAATGACAGCAATGAGTACACAATTCTCAGCGCACACCTGGCAGCGATGACTACTACTGTTACTACCATTTGCAAGAAGGATGCCCACTCAGCCTTCCTGGCTCCGATGCAAGAATCCCCTTTAAAGATCCCCAGCAGAGATCCTGAAACAGTCCCATTTCCAAATGAAATGCCCTTTAGAAGTCTTCCTCTGCCTGCTGCCAAAGCCAGCTGTACTGGGTGCAAAGAGAAGCCGGCGGGGAGCCCCAGGGGCTCTGGAGGGGAGCCTGTCCATGCTTCTCCTTTGCATGTGAAAGGATGGGAAGGGGGTTGAATGGCTTGCTCCAAGTCTGCAGGAATTTAAGGCAAGGGCATAATGAGAACTCTGACCTCCAAATGCCACACTCTAATTCAGAAGTAATCACAAACCCTACACGTTTCCTTGTGCTAACTGATGGTGCGTTACAACCTTTCTGAACTATTCTTTGGATGCTTCCGCTACGTAAGGTAAATGAGTGGGCTTCGTACACATACCTTCCCCAGGAAGTTTAAGGATGTAGAGGTTAGTTCAGGTATGCTACAGATACAAAATAAAGAAGGACTCCTATGAGTCATACCCCAAATAATCCTGGGGTGAGGGAGGGAGAATCAGAGCAAAAGCTCACTACTAGAAGCCAGGGGCCTCGGCTCAGGTTACCTCGCTGACCAGCTGTCCGGCTTTCTTGGCCTGTTCCAAATTGAGGCTGCCCTCGGTCAGCCACCCCACGCCTTTCATCCACGCCAGGTCAGCTCTGTACTGCAGCTGCAAGAGAAAAGCCAAGCCCGAGCAGATGCATGGATGCACACTGGGCGAAGCCGAGGGGGGAGAGGAAAGACCTTGCTCCTGCGTTCACCTTCCTGGAAACTGCTCCCGACGTTTATAATCTGGCAGAACTCGGCCCATGTGGGGAAGCCACCGGGCCCACTTCATAACCATGTTCTACTGTGGCACAGAAACGTCGTAACTTCACCAAAAGGTGGGCTTTTTAAACTCTTTGATCAAGGACCTTATCTTCCAACCTGCTAAATTTCCAAAATGTATTTACCATTTTCAACATTTGATTCTTCTTTGCCCACCTTGATTGTTATCATGGCTCTGAGCCCCTGAACTCCATTCTCTAGTCTCTATTATCTCAGCTAAATCTGCACCTCTACCTCCCCATCCACCCTCCCTGGCCTGGTCCGTCGTCAGCAGTTCTGCCTAGTCCTCTTAGCCATGTAACAGATGCCTGCACAGGTTCAAAATCACTCTCAGTGTCCCTGTATCCCACTGCAAGGGGTGCATGGAAAACTGTCAGTGAGGGGGCTCACCTCACTCTGGAGCCCGTAGGCTTTCTTGGCCCACTGCGTCTTCATGTCTTCGGGCAGCACAGTGTATTCGTGCAGTTTTTTCCTGTAGTCCAGGTCACTGGCCAGAGCCTGGGCCTTCTTAGCATGCCTGATGTTCACCATGTCCATGGGCAGGTGGAAGTGGGTCTTACTCTCTTCAAAGCCTTTCTTGTATTCAACCTTGAAGGCACCAAAGGAAGACCCATTGTCTGAAGCCTATGTTTGCAGGAGTGATGTGGAAACACAGGAAGGAAGCCTACACGTCCCTGAGAAACTGGCACTCTGGGCAATGGCCCTCGTCGGTCAGAAAACTGGGACCCCGTTTCCGGCTCTGTAAGTGGCAGTGCAGGGAGCTGGGGTTCCACAAAGTTTTATCTCTGAGAAAAATGCCTCCTTCCAATCCTAAGTCATTGTACCTGGTTCCCTGAAGAGGCGCGCACTCTATTCGTGGTTTATGTAGAGGCTTTAAAAGGCAGAATAACAAAGCTTAGGCTCCAGAACCAGAGCAGCCTGAGTTCAAACCTGATCTGCCCTCTGCCTACTGGGTGACCTCTGGACAGATGCACCATCTCTCTAAGGGCTCATTTCCCTCGGGGACTATTGTGATAAGTAAACAAAATAGTAGATGGTACCTGCTTGGTGCAGGGACTGGTATGTAGAAAATGGCTTGATAAATGTTAGCAATAAGGATGACAAGACAACGGTGGTCATGGTGATGATGGTGGTGATAGGAAAGATGGTGATGATGATGATGGTGGTGATGGTGATAATGATAATAATGATGATGATGTTGGTGATAAATGATGATGATAGTGGTAATGATGATGTTGGTCATAGTGATGATGGTGGTGATGGTGGTGGTGATAATAGTGATGATGGTGGTGATGATAATAGTGATGATGATGTTGGTGATGACAATGATGGTGATGATGCTAATGATGGTGGCGATAGTGTTGGTGATGATGGTGTTGATGGTGGTGATGACAATGATGGTGGTGATGGTGTTGGTGATGATGGTGTTGGTGATGATGGTGGTAATGGTATGGTGATGGGGAAAGCTAGTGAGCTACAGTAAACAGGTTGTGGTGCCAGTAAGAGTTCTAGGGTCTAATTCTCGACCCCTCCACCACTACCATTGCCTATCTGACCTTGAGCAAGACACAATCTTTTTGGTCCTAGATGCTCCAACGGCAAATATGAAATACCATTTTGTTCTCTATCTAACCGGAGCCACACTTTCAATGTCTCTGATGCTTCATGACTATGCACTTCAAAGGGCTTGTTCTATCGGCAATCCAAAATGGTGACTGCGACACCAACCCTCTTACTCTGTTCAAGCTGTGGCTCCTTAAGGACTCACCGGGTAGTTACATCTGACTGCACCTCTGGCAGTATCAGCTGGCCTCACCGCGTGGTGCAGGCAACTGCAAAGCCGAAACCTGCTACTCAGGTGCCCTTTTTAACTCTTCAGTATCAGCAGGGAAGACCTGGTTAGAAACCACGCCTGACCCTTCTATCAGAAATGACATTTACCACAGTTAATCTCCAGCCGTTAACTACAGTTGTTTACAAAGGAGCATCATTTTGATTGGTTAGAGCCTGGATGTCCCAGTGGTTTGCTAAATATTTTGAATATCTGGGCTTCTGTAACCACAGGATTCATCCAGGACATCGCCACAGTGAACAGGGTACTTACTGTCCAACCCTCCCAGTAGAATTAAGCTACATCAGGGAGGCACCTGTTATGTGGTGTTCGTTCTTATAGCCTTAGTGTCTCTCACACAGGATCTTGCCTATAGTAGTTGCTTGATAAACATTTTTAGAATCAATCAACGCAGCTGGACATCTTTGTACCTTGACCAGGAGCTGCTGGTCACCCTTCAGGGACACACTGTTCATCTATTTTGAAAGAATAGCTTGCTTTGGCAAACTAAAGAAATGGCACAAACTTCTCATACGCCAGGGAAGAAATCATAGGTGGAAATCAATAAAAAGGTAACAGTCCCAGGTGAAGGAGGCCCAGGAAAAACTTTAAAGTTACACAACTCTAAGGGTGGGGAATAAAAGGGAATTTACCTCGCTGCTCATCTTGGCAACCTGCAGGGAGTGCAGAAGCCTCGAGTCTGTAGTTCCCATGGCTTTGCCTTTGGTTTTTTCATATTCTTCTTTGTATTTAATCTTGAGGGGAAACAAGAAAGTCTACTGTGAGGGAGAGAGACACTTTGCCATCTCCGGGGTTCTGGTTTTAACAAGAGCAAGGGGAACAATTCTGCAAAAACACCTCCCAGTCTTCCGCACCCAGAAGATGAAAGGACTGTGATGTTTACAGTGTTAACAGTCATTATTTTTTCTGCAGGGCCACTGACATGTTATGGAAACCGTTCCTTATGCATTTCAGAGTTAATGAGAGGAAACCTACATTGCTAGCAAGCTCTCCGGAGGCTTTGGCGGCCAGCAGAGACATGGCATCCAGCTTCATTTCGAATCCTTTCCCCTTGGACTTCTCCCAGCCTTCTTTGTACTTAACCTGACAAACAAAGACACAGGCGAATTAAGAGTCACTATCCCTATTCCTGCCAAAAGCTGAAGAGAAGACAAAAAACAGCGAAGTCGGTGTGTTCACCTGTCCACAGACCAGAATCTTGGTGTTATTATCAAAATGATCACAGCGATGATTAAGCCAGTCCATCGATTCCTTTGCTGCTGAGCCATGCAGGGCAATGGTGACGGACAAGACAAAGAGAAGACCCATGCGTTCATCCTAGGTCTTGTTTCCTGGTCATGGGGCCCTGGGTAAATTACTTTCTCTCTTTAGGCCTTCGTTTATCATTTGCAAAAAGAATATGCTACTACCTGTCTCAGGATTGATGTGAGAATAAGTCGGATGTAGTAGATGACAACAGATCTTAAGCTGGTAAAGTGCAGCATAAAGTATTGATAATGATATCGCCATGGTAATAATACCTACTGTTTACTGGCCATTTTCTATGTGTCTTCTACTCATCAACTCTAAGTCTCTGCATTTAGCTCGTGAGGCTCAGAGACTAAAACCTCACGCAAGGTCATGGGTCTATCTGCTACCAAAGCCCATGCCTGTCCCTACAATAACACCTCCTGAGGGTTATGACAGCTGAATAACTCCATACATAAACTGCTTATCCCAGTGCCCAGCAAAGAATAAGCATGCAACAGACATTAGTTCCTTTTTTCTTCTTCTTTTGCCCCACAAATCCCGTCTCGAATGAGAAGCCTAATCACAGCGCTTCTGTGACTCCAGGAAGATTCTGGTGATTAACGTCGACATTAAAACTTCACTTTTCTCCACACAACAAAGCTCCAGCTAGAAGCGCCAGGATGGTGATGACGATGGTGATGGTGATGACAGTGTGTGTGTTCATGCATATACTGCACACATGCTCACGTAATGAGAATGAAATCGCTAAGCTTAATTCACCCCCAGTGAACTACCACGTGCCATGAGACAGCAGAACTCGAGTGACAACATGGCGGGAGCCCTGCACAAGGCCTTCTCAGGAGCAGCACGGTCCCAGCGCAGGGGACGCGCATCATCGGCCTGACCTGCACACAGAACCTCCGCCAGCTCGCACCACGCAGCCTGCTCACCTCACTGAAGAGCTCGGCGTTGGTCCTGGCCTTCACCAGCTGAGGGACGTCCTGGGGCAGGGTGTAATTCAACTTATTTTTCTCATAGTCAGCACGGTAATTCACCTGTTGGATTTAAAATAAACCCACAGGGTAAACGCAAAGATTTTACACGGGCAGAAGAAGTATGGAGCGAGAACTCTGTTTTTCACTTTCCCTTTAGACTCACAGCAGAGGAGTTTCTGGAAAAAGGCACTGGGCAAGGGGGCCTGTAATTTTGTGAATGTTTTAAGTCAACAGACTGAAGAAGCCAGATGAAGAGTGCAAGCCCTCAGGCGCTCAGAGTCCGGAGCCCGCAGAGGCTTTGCCCGTGGGGACCTCACCACCTCTCCTCGGAAGCACTCCAGGGGACGGAGCTTCTATCCCGCCGCCGTGCTGAGTGTCGTGCTATGTGCAAGGTGGATGCTCAAAGAATAATTATCAAACATCTGCCCACATTTTTTTTTTAAAGCCATCTTCAATCCCAAAGAAAGAGCCACCCAGACGTTAGGTGATTCCCAACAGAAGAACACGGCGGCTCTGAGTAGCAGCCTTGCACAGAAACGAAACCTGAGCCCGGCTGAGTCTATAGACCTCGCTACTGTTTTATAGGACATTTGGAGGCTGGAGGAACACGTGGAGTCCACGCTGGGCTGCAGGCGGTAAAGCTCAGACTGTGGGAAGTGTTACGGGATGAACAGTCCAGTTTCTTCAATAGACAACTTGAGAGAAAAGAAAAGAGATTTGGAAAAACCGTTTAAAGATGAAAAGAGTCTCGCCCTGGCCGGTTTGGCTCAGCGGTTAGAGCGTCGGCCTGCGGTCCAGAGAGACCCGGGTTCGGTTCCCGCTAAGGGCACGTACCTCGGTTGCAGTTTGTCCCCGGCCCTGGTTAGTCGTGAGGGTGGCAGCCACTCGATGTGTCTCTTTCACGTCAATGTTTCTCTCTCTCTCTCTCTTCCTCTCTCTCCCTCCCACTCTATCAGTGCAAAAAATGGAAAAATGTCCTCGGGTGAGGATAAAAAAAAATAATAATAAAAAAAAAAAGATGAAAAGAGTCTTAAAGACGTATCAGCCAATCACAAAGTGTGGTCTTTCTTTGGATTCTGATTCAAACAAACTGTAAAAAACTTACAACCTTATGAGATAACTGGAATGCTGAATGCTCATTAGCACTGGTGATATTAAGAATTACTGTTAGTTTTTGGGTGCAATATATGAACATTTTATAAATATGTTTTACAAGTTTTTATCTTTTAGAGATTCATACTAAAATATTGATAGATTAAATTATATAATACCCAGGATTTTCTTCAAAATAACATGGGAGGGAAAGGGAATGGATGGACATAGAGATAAAGCAAGACGGGCCATGAGTTGATAGTCGGTGAAGCTGGCTGAGGGGTTCATGGGGCTTCATGACACTATTCTTTTTACTTTTGAATGTATTTAAAATTTTCCAGAATAAAAAGTTTAAGTTAAGGGGGATTCACTTAGTTGTAATGAGACAAATGTCATCATTAAAGAAAGTCAAATGCTCGGGGAGCCAGACCTCCAGAGGCCACACAGCCGCCAGAAGTCACCCACGCCCAGCTCGGCTTGTCGGGGCACTTACGTGACTCAGCTGCTGGGCGTTGATTTTGGCTTGAACGATCTGAGGGGTGTTGGTCACGGAGCTGTACTTCAGCTTGTCGATGCTCTGCCTGTAGTTGACCTGGGTACAAAGAGGCACGGGAAAATGTCACTCGCTCTTGTCTCTAAGATCTGCTTAGCCTCCGCCACCCAAACCCAACAGCCGTGATTCTCAAATTACCAAAAGGAGAATCAAAGACTCCAATTCAAGACCAACAGACACTCTGAGCCCACAGACAGAGAAACAGCGCTTTGAAGTGACTTGAAGAGGCAGGTCATGAAAGAGGTCACCTAAATGGCCGGTGGAGGCAGGAAAAGGTGCCCACCCCCACTCTTCATCAGAGAAACGCACATTTAAACCGCAGTGAAGTACCCGCCCCACTTGCCTCAGACGGATAGTGATCATTCCAACCGAGGGCAATGCCACGTGTTGGTAAAGACGCAGAGCTGTGGGAACCCGCAGAACACCTGCCACGACCACTTTGGCAAACTGTGGCATTTCTGCACATACACCTGCCTTAAGCCCCAACAATGCCGTTCCTCGTGGCAGGCCCACCGAGAACACACGCACAGGTCTCTTTACAGGCATTCGCGCTGCATAGACACACGGAGCGCCCTTCTTTTTTTTGTTTTGTTTTATCCTCACCCGAGGACATTTTTCCATTTTTTGTTCAGGTAGAGTGGGAGGGAGAGAGAGGAACAGAGAGAGAGAGAAACATCGATGTGAAAGGGGCACATCGAGTGGCTGCCACCCGCACGAACAACCAGGGCCGGGGACAAACTGCAACCGAGGTACATGCCCTTAGCGGGAACCGAACCCGGGTCTCTCCAGACCGCAGGCTGATGCTCCAACCGCTGAGCCAAATTGGCCAGGACCGGAGCGCCCTTCTTTATGACCATGAAATGGTCTCCCCTTGATCGAAACGTTTTAATCTGAAAAATGTCAGATACATGCAGAAGAGGAAAGACCAGTGTAACGAATTCCCGTGGACCCATCACCCAGCTTCCCCGCCCATCCCTGTCTTGCATCACCTCGATGCCCACCCACTCCCCTCCCCTCCCACGACACTCTGAAGAAAATCCCAGGCATTGTATAATTTAATCTCCATACTCAGTGAAGCATATGTCTTATACTTCAAATTAATACTTTTAAAGAAACAGAAAAACGGAAGCGGGACAAATGCCATGGGAAGCCGCACGTGTGTCTAAGTGGGAAGCAATGGAGCGTGCGGCTGGGTGTGGGGGGCTCCTCACCCGTGATCATGCTGCACCCCCAGCCCGGGCCTGGCCTCGCGGCTACCTTGCTGGAGCCTCCCAGGAAACTGCCCTGTGCTGGGCACTTCCAGAAAAGATGCGGGTTCAGCAGAGAAGGAGGGGGGTTCTCCAGCTCAGCCCGGCGCACCGACTGCCTGGCATCCCAGTTCCTTAAGACACGGAAGGCCAGTGACTTTCCTCTTTTGAAACTACAATTTGTCCTTCAGAAAGTTAAGGATGATTAGCCACCTGCACAAGACACAGGTTTATCCAATCGTCCTCCTTCCCTCCATCCGTGCCTAAGGTCTGCTGCAAACAGAACGGGAACTTGAGCAGAGAGGTGAAGGCATGTGTTCGAGGCTTCGGGGCCGGGGCCACCTGAGTGGGAGCCCAGAAACCGGTACAGGTGGAAGGGGAGCCAGGATGCAGACGGGAAGGGAAAGGGGGGGTGGCGCCTGGCAAATGGCCTCTCCCACAATTTAACCAAGGTTGGCCCGAAATCCAGGTAAAGGGGGAAAAATGAGCTCGTCCCTAATCCTGAACTTCTTCCCTTCTGCCTGCCTGACCCCCTTCATTCATCGGTTTGTTCAGGCATTTAAACCTCCGACGAACAGTCAGAGTGTCTACCCTGCAGGGCGAGCAAACTCAGACACAGCCGTGCCCGGGGGGATATCTCAGCTGTGTCCTTGCTCCATGGACCCCAAAATGGCCCAGCCCCTCGGACCCTGAGCCTTTCCACGCACAGACTCCAGCTTGGCCCTTCGTAAGCGGGGCTCTGGCTTCGTTCACAGCAATCAGGTCACACGGGCCACCCCCTCGCTCACAGCCTTCAAGTCTCTGTTTCACTGCCCGAAGCCCAGCACCCCTCACACTGCTGAAGCTTCTTGAGGCCCAGGTTCTGCCTAAGAGCATCCCCACCATCTACTGCCATCTCTGTCCTAACGTCCACCTACCGCCTCTGGTCATACGTCTCTGGCGGTTGGTGCTGCCCACACTCCTACTTTCCTGCCATTTCCTGCAAACTAGTCTGGTGGCCCTGGCCCATATGGCTCGGCGGTAAGCGCATCACCCCCGGACCAAAGAGTCCTGAGTTCGATTCTGGCCAAGGGTACATCCCTGGGCTGCGGTTCATCCCGGGCCTGAGTTCGAGTTGTGTGGGTGGCAACCAATCGATGTCTGTTTCTCACATCAATGTTTCTCTCTCTCTCTCTCTTCCTCCCCCTCCCCCCACCAGCTCTATTTGAAGATTAATGTAAAAATATCCTCGGGTGAGGATTAAAAATAATAATAATAATAAAATAAACTAGTCTGATGTCTTTGCCACTCCATCTGCCTGCTGCTGCTGCTATCTCCTATTGCCACCTCCCAGGGTGACAGCCCAAAGGTCACGAAGTCTGTGAGAGCCAAAGAGACTGCTAGCTGGATGCGAGGGGAACACGAGTCCGGGTCAGGGTTTGGCCTCGTTGCTGGGGAAGTGGCCGGAGGGGTGGGGCCGCGGCGAAGGGCAGCGGCTGCTGTTCAGCCCTGAGAGATGGGAACGGTGCATTCATGTGCAGCAGAGTGGCCAGACTTCCCAATTATTCCAAAGAAACCAGAAATCCATGTTATTATATAAAATCTTGCCTTTTTTAAATGTTGGCAAATAGTTCAATACTTTTAAAATCCAGTGACCCAAGTGAAATAGCTCTAAAGGGCCAGCGCATATGCTCCATCTCTTCCTTGTACTCACTCCACTCTTCCTTGTCCCAACATTGGCTAATAATAATTACGGCATTTAAAAAAAAAATGCACTTACCATGAGCCTGTCACTATTTCAAGTGCGTTATGCATTTAACATATTTAATCCTCCTCCTACCCTGTTGTTACCTCGACCTGACGGTGTTGAAAACTCAGGCACAGAGACCTGAAATCACTTGCTCAAGGTCGCCCAGCTCATGTCAGAGTTGGGATTCAAACCCCAGCACCCTCCTCCCAAAGGGGCTCTCAACCTATATGCTAGAAACCTGCTTTGCCAAAGGAGGTTGCCTAGAACAATGCATGACTGTTCTTTGCAGGTGGAAGAGGGCTCCCATAGCCAGAGCCAGCGCTGTTTAGACAGGGAAATGTTCCGCACACAAATGACTTGCAGATTAACTTCTAGAACAGGATCTAGAAAAAGAACAGTGTCCCTGACACGAGGCCACAGAGCATTCTGTTAGATTTGGCGATAAAAGACGGCATCACTTTGGGCTTTTTAGCTAATGATTCAAGGAGAAAAGTTTTTGCACATTCTGAGTTTTGGACATGGGGTATGTCAGGAAAACTAAAAAATATAAATTCACTTCATTGTCAACTATTAATGAGATTAGAGCGCAGTGGCTTCCTACTGCATTAATTCAGAGGGAAAAATTATCATCTCAGAATGAAGAGTCTGTTAGGATTCAGAATTATGCACGATGCAAGGTCACAAGAACAATGTTTTTTTTAAATGGCATATTCCTTCCCGATCATTGTGCATTGTGTGTGTGGCAGAGCACAGTCACTTCTCTCTGTGGGACGTACTTGTCAGTCTCCATGACTAACCCCGCCTTTGCCACATCACGGGGTGCTGACCACCGCCTCAGTCTACGCTCTGAAAGGTGTCGTCGCTGAGCCTAGCGTCCCACTGCAATGCTGTTAGTGTCTATAAAATCCGTCTAAGGGAATCCTCTCTAATCGAGGGCTGTGCTTGTCCGTTAAATTGCAGAGCTATTTGACCACCATTCCGACTACCAGACAGAGACAGAGAACACGGTGTTCTTGGAATGGATTCCCCAAACTTCCTGAACACCAAAGCCCTCGCATTAGGTGGTCAAATAAAAATTACAGGGAGCCAAGAAGGTAAAAACAACATGAGGACAGAGATCGGCTACCACCCAGTCCCAGCCAACGGCTGCCATGCAGGGACTAGGGCACAGCTCCCTGAGTTTTCCTATTGTTTTTTTTAAAAAGGTGAAAATATAAACTTTTATGTGAACTCTTACAATTTCTATACACTGGTTCAGTTTTTTAAACACTGTGTGGCCAAATACAACACCTTTGCAGCCCGGATCTGGCTCACGGGCTCCAGTGTGGAACTACCCTCTGCTCATTTCTAACCCAGTCTACTTTCACTCTGTTCTCAGACCTCCAGGGGTGAGCTGGCTCCAGCGAGGGCCTGGTTTGAGCCAGTCTTGTACAGATGCGTGTAATAGCAGGTGGTGTTATGATGGCAGTATAAAGTTGCAGGAATCCACCTCGTTTTGCTTGTGCTGTTAAGCATGACTTCTGTGATACTACTGCAAGAACACACACTTGAATCTGAATGAAAGGTTCTCGATCCTCGAGTTTCCCAGGTAATATACGCAGCCAAACACGAAGGGAAGTGGCTTTGATAGCCAAGTTTAAACTTGGGTTTCTCAAGGGTGAAATGAGCAAGTCAACCCAACCAAACTTCCCCAGAAAAACAGAGGCAACGTTTAGGCCCCTTATATTCCTCTACCCCACCCCTTGCTTTATCACATGTTTGAAAGCCCTTTCATCCATTCAACTATCATTTGTCAGTGATTGTCCTTCATTGCCCTGCAAACTGTTAGACACTGGAGATACCCAACTCCAGCCAACACCACTCCTACTCTGAGCAGAAGACAGAGCAAACAGTAAAACCCAGGTCAACTGCTGGAGCTGTGCTGACCCCAGAGTCGCACTGGGCATTTATTAAATACATGTTGAATTATCTGTTAAATTACTGACTGATTGATGATAACCTTCGCTGACAAATAGCTATGATATCAATTTAGCTCTAAAGCACCTTAAGTACTTTTTAAGATAGAATATGACTTTTATCTTTTTCTTTGTACTTTTCTGTATTTTCTAAATTTCCTGTAATACACATGTAGTAAAATTCTTACAATTAGAAAACAATACATTTAATTAATTATGCATATTTTATTTGGGACCAAACTATAAAGCCATTGATGTAATAATTAAGAGTTACGTATTATTCCACGCTTGTTTCCCAAGTGCGCATAAGAAAAAGATTTGAGTTGTCATTACCACTTCCTCTCAATTTAGAGCCACTCTGTTTTACTTCCTTCAGTCCTTAAACATATCACATTCCAAAACTTTAAAAAAGGTCATCATCACTAAGGAACAATTACTTAAATGTGCCCAGCAGCCGACACCAAATTCTAAGAGGAGAAACTGAACCTCAGGCATTTTCAGGATGAAGCCAGAGCTGTTCCCACCTTACACTGAAAACCTACGTTTCCTTGGCCCTGGCCGGGCAGCCCAGTTGGTCACATTGTCATCCCAATATGCCAAGGTGCAGGTTCAATCCCCAGTCAGGGCACGTACAAGAATCAACCAATGAATGCATAAATAAGTGCAACAACAAATTGATGTTTCTCTCTCTTCCTCTCCTTACTTCCCCCCTCTCTCGAAAATCAATAAAAACAACAACAACAACAAAACGAAGCCTTTCCAAACATGCATCAGTGGACTTCCTAGTTGAAAAGAATACCCCTTTCCATCCCTCCTTCCATTTCCTATGCATCTTCTTTCTTTCCATCTTGCTGCCTGGTATCACACCAAAGGAGAGAATGGACAAGAACAAAGCAGAAAGGGCCTTGGGAAGAGGACTTACGTCTTTCAAGGGCACAAGTTTCACCACCGTCTGATAGGAGGGCGTGAGCGTGGCTGGGTAGTTGTAGTCCACAATGTCGTGTTTGTAATCGGCTTTGTAGGCGATCTGAGCCACAAAAGGACAAGAAAAGAGAAATGAGCCCCCACTTCCCTTTGACCTTGTTCGAATGTCAGAGGAAGTATTCTAAGAAGTAACCAGAAACAAAACTAATTCAATTTCATCAACTCCAAGGAAAATTAAATTATGTTCACACTTTTGCCTTTAATTAATTTGAATTCTTCTTCTTAATTAATCCAAAATTCATTAACTTCCATCTGTAGCACATTTATTTTATCTTATTAAGGATGGAACCCCTTGTAGTTGTTGTTTAAAAGAAGCATTTGCGCCTGAATACATAATGGAAGAGCTTCTTGGCCAACTCCTGGAAAGTAAGTGAAAAACCCAGTCTTTAGAGTGTTTTAAATTTTTTTTAAAAGATCAAATTTAACACTTTCAAGCAGAGGAAATTTGACATTTCTGTGTTTGAATAATGAAATTGTTTTTTTATAAAGTGTCCTTTACCTCCAAGATTTACAATTTGGCATTTGCAAACCTACAAAGCAGTGGTTCTTAACCTTCCTAATGCCGCGGCCCTTTAATACAGCTCCTCTTGTTGTATGAGGGCGTATCTGCACATGGGCATATCTGCACATGGGCGTATCTGCACATGGGTGGACCCACCTAGAGACGGATAGAGGAGCGGTGTCTCAGTTCCTAAGACCATCGGAAATATGTGTTTTCTGATGGTCTTAGGCGACCCCTGTGAAGTCCCCAAAGGGGTCATGACCCACAGGTTGAGAACCGTTGCTGTAAAGTGAACTGACAAAGCCAAAGGCAGACTAACAGATTACAGGCTGTGGTAAAAACAGGGACCCGATCTACTTTGAAGACCAGTGCCTTCAATGAACAGGAGGTCTGCGATGAACTCTGGGATGGAATAAATGAATCAATCAATCACCCAACCACCCACGCAACCAACAAAGTCCAGATAAATCACAAATGCTTTGGGAATTTGAGGGATTTCAAATAGGAATTATGTTCACCCATTTCTCTTCATCTCTCAGAAACTGAACCTTTTTCTCACACCAGATCGATTACAGCAGATCTGACTACTCTTCAAACCAGAGAAAGCTCAGACAAGTAAATTGAAGTTATTGAAAATCTCAAAGAATTTTACCTAGCCTTGGTTGTATCCGTTCACATTTAGACACTCCTACGGGTCAACCTTTGCACAATAGAAAACCGATTTTTTAAAACGGGAGGTTGAAAAGAATTGGCTAAATTACTGATGCCCCGCCTCTTTCCCGCCAACAGATCCCCAGGAACTCACGTTGCTTGCCAGACTTCCAACTTTCATGGCATGGAGAGTCCGTCTGTCCATACCCACTCCTTCATAGCGGCCTCTCATGTGGTTCTGGTAGTCTTCTTTATATTTGTTCTACATGGGAACACAGAACGTTCAACAAAAGTTCCCCCAACCTGTTGAAGATTAACTACTCATCTTCATGGATTATGGTGGAAATATAAATGACTAAAGAGAACCTATTTAAGTAGTCAGTGTCTCAGTAAATAGAAAGCATAGCACAAACCTATGACATGTCAGGCAAACACAAGAAGTCGGAGCAAGACAAGCACACTGCACACAAGAAAACATCAGATCTGATGAGCCTGAGACAGCACCACACAGACCTGATTTTTTAAAAATATTTTCAATTGGCGTGGCCCATGTGGTTCAGTGGATCTGAGCATCATCCCATGGCCTGAGAGGTCCCGGGTGAATCCCCAGTCAGGGCACATGCCCAGGTTGCAGGCTCGATCCCCAGTAGGGGGCATGCAGGAGGCAACTGATCAATGTCTCTCTCTCTCTCTCTCCCTTCTTCTCTCTCTAAAAATATCAATAAAAACGTATTTTTAAAAAATATTTTCAATTACACACAAACCAGATCTTTTTCGATGTGAAAACCTACCGTGAGAGCGTGAAGCTCTCCAACGGACGAGCCCTGAGTGTGCGGGCAATGGGTGCAAAGCCCCATGCTGGGGGTGGTCCAAATCACTGCAGGCTACTACCTCCGTGTCCAAATAGATGCGGAATAAAACCTGCGCTCTGCCAAAGCCTAGGAACTTTACATCTCAGACTGATCTATTGCAACCATGCGAAATAATGATGTTCTGTCCCAAATGCAGTTTACCAAATAACAAGAACCAAAACGGAATGACAAGAAGCCATGAATAGGAAAATCTGGATAGTGTCTAATGAAGCTACGTTAAAATGACCTATCCTGGGAGGTCATTGAGTTATTAAGCAGTGAGAGTATTTAAACAGAATAATATCACTAGATCACTAGATACCGAGACACGGTTCTACTTATCTCCATTGACCCTCACAAGCACTCTATGAGGACAGGGATTATCATCATCCCCACTTGCGGATGGGCAAAATGCCTCGGCGAGCTTAAACAAGTTCCCCAAAGTCGGCCACCTGGTTGACTGTGAAGTCAGGTCCACCTGGTGCTCTTCACCGCTCATTAGGCAAAATAAACTCCTCCATGAGCTTTAGGAAGTGCTGCATGATTTAAATTTCTACGATGGTGTGCAGCTAAGCAGAGGCAAAGCCACATAATCTAGTCCAGATCCTTGATGTTCTGAAGGATGCATCTCCAGACCGCCTCTGAGAATATCCAAATTTGCAAATGCCACTCCAGCAGATATCCGCTTCTCTGTGAAATGGGGGATTAATATATGGCTCCCTGAGTTTCTGTGCAGGTCAAATGAGAGCAGGTACCCAGTTAAGAAGCACAAAGTCGCATTGGGAGGATGCTGCATGCTCCATCACCGGCCTTCGTCACCGGGCACCAGATACTGCCATACACGAAGGATGCGAGATGTCAGGCAGGTGCTGCCCCGTGGGCTCAAGGTCAAGGATGCATCGGGGGATGTAACAAAATGTAACGCTCCGTGGCCCCATCCCAGCAGACAGTCTTAATCACACCTATCAGGATTGAGCCTAAAAAGCCATGCTTCTCCAAGACACATAAGTACATTCACACAGGCTGTCTCTTGGGAGACCTAGAAATGAAGGTCATAAAAAAGCCCAAACAAATGCTTAGGCATTAAAACTCACATCACTGGTGAATTTTGAGATCTTGCTCACGTTCCTGAATTGAGGTGTCTCACAGTAGTTGATACTGTGACCTTTACTACCTTCTAGGTCCTTCTTATACTCCACCTTAGAAATCAAAACACCACTTGCACAGTTGAACCAAACCCGAAGTCACTCTAGAAAACGTCACCAGGACTTTACTAAGGTATTTTTAGGAAACTTTCAACCCAAGGTTTAAAAATACCAGGCCTAGCATACTGTGTATTAAGAGTACTTGCTTTCCTGTGATAAATAAGTGAATAATCAATTTGGTTCTAAAAATTAAAAAGAGTCCCTTTCAAGAATAAATACTGTAAGATTCCATACCACTCAAAAAAGGCAAAACTGGTTTTAGGACTCAGGACAGTGGTTCCTCTTGGGACAAGTGTCGGGGGCGGGGAGGGGGGGGACAGAGTGCGGGGGGGGGGGGGTCCTGGAATTCTGTCATGTTCTGTCTCTGGATCAGGGCACTAGTTACAGAGATGTATCCACTAGTGAGAATCCTCCCTGTTACCCTTAATGATATCTGCACTTCTCTGTATGTATGAAATTTAACCAAAAAGCTTAGTTTACCAAAGTGTATGATAAACAATACCATTCATAGATTCATAGAGTGTCTTCTAATTTTAAATGGGTTGGCTAGCTGAGTCCCCTGATAGCTGGGTGTAATGTGAGGCTATCTTATTAAACAGACTCCCAGGTAATTAGAGAAGGAGCTGAAGACTGATTACTATTAATAGAAGTGTGGCTGGTTTGTCTCACTGGATAAACATAAGACCTCTTACCAAAGGAAATACAATGTGTTATCCTATCATAGAAAATACGTGGTGGGAATATGCCTTCTAAACTATGCAAGTTGTCAATGCTCACAGTAGAATATAAAATTAAAATTAAAAAGTACTCGTGACCTTACTTATAAGAGTAAAGCTACTTTTAATGGCTTTAATTCTTCCCCTCTATGAGATGTTGCCAAGTCCAGTGCCGTCGGGGTCCAGATCAGTAATGCAAACGAGACTCTAGTTCCCCCTGTCCTTGTCATGCCCTAGAGACCGTGGGAACCACACGAATCACCTTTATCTTAGAAGCTGAACTGGCTGCCAGTTGGTGCGTTCTGTTTGTCCTACCCGGGGACAAGATTTTTAGAACTGTTAGAACTCTTTGGCAAGGACAAAACAAAACACACCCTCTGGCAGCCAGTTCAGCTTCTAAGACAAAGGTGATTCGTGTGGTACCCACGGTTTCTCGGAAGCCTGGCTACAACGATGACAGAATGGGACAGGCCCACGTGGGAAACCCTTTCTGTTCTTTGATTTCCGCTCATGCAGTATTCTGACAGCTAGAAACCTCTTGCCTGGAACTTCTGAATATCAGCCCTGCAGGAATTCAGGACAGGACTTTTGAGTCACCGGAGAAATTGGATGTGTTTCCATTGGACTGGTTCGATTCGGGGTTCTCCTGTGAATTACTTCGCACATTTGTTCTTTGGGAACCGGCAACCCGTGTGTAGTCTATGTGACATCACATGGAATTTTTTCCGGGGTGGGCCCCACTCACTGCCTTTATGGGGTTAATGGAGATGGCCGCAAACAGAAGTGACTGTCCCCCCCATACGCACCTCGCTCACGAGCTTGTTCACACTCTGAGCCCGCTTCAGAACCAAGTTGTCCTGGGCTGGGAGGGAGTGATAATGTGTGGCACCTTTCATCCTGTTGAAATCCTGCCTGTATTTTATCTGAAAGAAGCACACACAGAGGGTCCGGAGTTGCTGTCTTCATGCCCCACGACAGAACTCACTCCCAAATTATCCCACACTTAATATCAACATGTACTTCTCACCATTTCCTGGAGGAATAACATCATACGGGTTTTCTCTCCATAAAACCCACAAACTACTCAGTCCCTTTCGTATTAAAATGCTATTAGCACTTCTCACACTTCACACTCCACTTCCGCGCAAAGAAAGATCTTAAAGCAATCGTGCAAAAGCATGTAGTCCCGCACCCGGTCTGCCCTTGGTTTCAACGCTTCCTACCTCGCCAGCTGGGGAGGGGCAAAGAGACGAAAGGGTCTTTTATTTTCCCTTGGGGTAAAAGTGCACCATTCTGGGTAAACGGGTTTAATAACTGAATAGTAACCGAGTGAAGGGGAAGGGCAGAGGGGGTGTGAGGTGAACGCTTGGCTTCTGATTATAGACCAAGTTCAAGTTCAAGTTGGTGCGTTGGATCTACAGTGTGTGTGTGTCACTTTACCCAGTTTAATTATAGCCTGTCTTTCACGGATTGCCTGCTGGCCAACCTTCTGCAAACACGAATCATTTTATCAACTGGGCTACACCCAGTTTCACAATCATATGGCTTCTTTTAATCGGCTATTAAAAGTGCTCCATGTCTAGATGGGTTGTTTTGCCAAGAGTGTCCTAACCCCAGCGTGTCTGGCTGGTGCATTCACACTTGCTTCAGCTGACCCAGAGCTATGCCATGTGTCCCCGTCAGTCTCCTTTGAAGCACATGTATGTGACCAAACAGTCTGAACAAAAGAAGCAGAAGCCAGAAATTGTGGGCTATCCTACTCCTTGGGCTCAGCGCTGATCAGTTTATCTGTGAGTAGGTGTCAGTAAGCACAGTCTCATTTCTCCTCTGCCTCTGTGGCTCTTCGGGGTGTCCCGTGGTGATACTTACATCACTAATGAGTTCGTTGGCTTTCTTGGCATTCTGATAAGCTGGGGTGATCATGGCGGGGAAGCTGCCCTTCCCTCTGTGCTCCTCACATTCCTCCAAGTAACCCTGCTGAGTCGATAAGAAAATGTTAATCAGTAATGTTCCCCTCCCTGCACGGCTGGAGACTAGCAATGATTTCTCCTAGCGCCTGTTCCCACAGAGGCCTGTCCACATTGGACACTCCAGTGGTCAGACTCTGGAGTTAGGGCTCCTGCCTGATGCCCAGTACACAGTCAACACTAAGTAAATGGTAACTATTCTCATCATCATAGGCATTTCCACCAGATTAATCAAGACAGTGCCAGTCTCCCAGGCCCAGGTATTACGGCGTGTTCGTTTCTGAGCAGACGCGAGGAAAGTCCCTCTGTCTTGCAGTAGCCTTGAGTGCCACCTGTCTCAGGCCCACTGGCCGACTGATGCAGAGAAGCGCGTTGATGTCCCAGAAACTGTCTCCCCCCGCGGCGTATGTCATTCTAGGACTATCTGGATTTTTGTAACTGGTGGAAATTTTCAAATTGCCGTAAGAGGATCTGAAATGGGACTAAATGTATATTTCAGGCTAAGCAGTATGGTCTGAGTCTTAATTTCTCCCTCCCTCGCCCCACACCACCTACCACTCCACAAGGGAAAACATTCTCTCTCAAGGAACCGTCATCACGTCACGCGTCTACACCTTCCCTGGCGGCCGGATGTCCTTCAAGACCCCGCCAGATGCTCCCCTCTCTCTGGGGAACCCGTCCTCACTCTCAGCCCTGCCCCGGGCAGGATCAGCTGCTTCCTCATCTGTGTTCCCCCAAATATGGACCGGCCCTTAGCACGTCCCCTTGGGCTCATGACTCGGTTCCCTGCTGGCTTCCTCCAGGGCAAGGGCCGCCTGCCGCAGCTCCAGGTTCGCAGTCTGGTACACCCATTTTCTCAAAGAAAACAGGCCCATTAGAACGTCCAGACTCCCTCCTTGTCCAATAATGACAGCTGTTCAGTGAGTGGTCCCTCGCGCTTGGCTGCCAGAACATTCTGGGTCAAAAGTAACAAGAGAAAAAAAAATTAAGTTAAAAAATAACAATGATAGCCCTGGCCAGTTTGGCTCAGCAGTTAGAGTGTTGGCCTGCGGTCCAGAGAGACCCGGGTTCGGTTCCCGCTAAGGGCATGTACCTCGGTTGCAGTTTGTCCCCGGCCCTGGTTGGTCGTGTGGGTGGCAGCCACTCGATGTGTCCCTTTCACGTCAATGTTTCTCTCTCTCTCTCTTCCTCTCTCTCCTTCCTACTCTATCTGAACAAAAAATGGAAAAATGTCCTTGGATGAGGATAAAAAAAAATAGTAATAGTAATAGTAATGATGATAAAGGCACTCGAATTCTTCGGTAAGCCCCTTTCCATTCTGCTCTACAGTTTGGGGTTGGTTTGTAGGGTGTTTTAACTCCCCTGCTTTCTGTATCTACGTCGTGTGTGTGAATCTGTGAGACACCCAATTCTACTGGCAAGTTGACTGGTTACAAAGAATGGACTGGTTTGATGGCACAGTCTGTTTAACCGGTAAGAAGAGTGACTCGTTAAAAAGAAGAAGGAATTGTTCGGCATTTGGGGACACTACAGATATTTATGGTTTACGACTGTCTGCCTGCTTCTCTGTCACTCCCTCCCTCCCTCCCGCTCAGGCCCTGGCCAGTCCCGCTGAATCCACAGTGACAGCCCACCCACGACGCATGCTCCCGCCAGCTGCCAGCAGAGCCGTCAACGACACCCGCTTTGATTCCTGCATTTGTTGTTATCACGACTGGAAACTTCGACCAAAATGTCCTAATAATCAAGAGCAACCTGTGCTCCCATGAAGCTCTATTTCGTCGATGTGTGCAGACAGGTCTGGAAACACACGTGGAAGTATCTGTGTCCATTGACTACTGGCAGAAAGCACCATCCTCATTTAGTCGTTTTTGCCAAATACAGAAACCACGTTTTTTAATAAACTGAGTTTTGAAAGCTGTGCGGAGCCTTCTCATCAACATATTTAAAACACGAGACAAAATAAAACGTATTTTCACTGAGTTTAAAGCACTAAGAGACCATTTAACCAACAACATGCAATTCCATAAAATGGTCTTTTTCATTCAAAACCAAATATTTTTGCTCAGACATTTGCAATGGAGTCGCAAACTATCTTCACGTGACTGGATCTGCACGTAGGCAACTGTCTGTCTGAAGAAGAAATCGGTCACCTATTTTCTTTTATAAATTATGTATGTTGAATAAGTCACTTATGTTATAGAGTCTACCTACTGCCAATAATTCAAACAACTGCTCAATTAAGAAAAAACTACCAACTAAACCCATCGAACATACTGTTCCAGTACACGCAATTGGTCTTCCAATATCCTTTACTTACAACATTGAAAACATAATGTCCCCCAGCCTCCCTACCATACCTATCTAGTGCCAGAAAATGGACAGGAACGTGCAAATAGAAATGAGCTTGTCATTATCATCTCAAGCTTTTTGCACCCTGCCAAAGTGTAGTTCATTTAAGAAGAGAAATTGGGAACAAGGTTTATGTCCTCTGGAATATTGTTTTATCTAGCATCCTAAATAAGAAACTCCACTTTCTAAGAAAACGAGCCATGCTTCTCGGTGACTTGCTCAATATTTTCAAGACCTGTGTTTGATCCCTTTGTGCTTATTCGCCGGGTTAAAAGTAGCCAGTCTTAGTCCTTGAGACCGTTCTTCCGGGAGTAGATGAGATTGCTGTATTCCTGGCAAACCTGCCATCTTGGTACACGTCCTTCCCTTAAAAGAAGTACTTGGCATCTGTTGACCCCTGAGGAATTGCCCACTATTTTCCGGGTTGGAAAATCCACCTTTCATCAATAGCGCAAAGATAAGCCATGGCCCAACGACATGGTCACAGGCTGTGTCACAGGCTAGAGAGCTGACCATCGCGAAGGGCGCTCTCCCAGGAAGTCATTCATCACATACCTGGCCACACTGACCCGCAGAGTCCTTCGTCCACGTGCCCTCGGCGGCAGCGGCCGAACCGGCCATTCCTTTCACTTCTCTGTGGTACTGCTGATGGTACCTCACCTGCGTGAAGGGAAAGGGTGCACCCGGTGGAGTTAGCCTCCTCTGCACACAGGCCAGAGTGGAAACTACATGGCTGGTGCAATGTTCTTCGTAGGCCTGGGTCCAGGGAGTGTGCGTAGACACAGAAGTGCCACGATCATGGTAAAACTGACTGAAAACGATGAAGAAAAGCTACTTCTTGGACCCACTGTGCACACACAAGTAGACAGGAAGTTGGGCTTGTCAAGGCCACGTAACTCCCTGCTTCCTCCCCTCACAGGACAACGTTGCTGGGGCCGCTTACATCACTCGCCAGCTCATTGGCTCGTTTGGCTATCTGATAAGCAGGTGTGATCATAGCAGGAAAACTTCCTTTCCCTCGCTGATGTTCATAGTCCTCCGTGTATATCACCTGGAAAATGAAAACGCACTTTGACTCACAGGTCGCCAGCCTGCTGTCTGTCAGGCCATCTGGGTGAGGAGCCTTGCTAAGGGTCCTGTAACACCTGCAATCTCCATCACAGTCCTTTGGCAGTGTAACGGCTCATCTCTGGAGGACCCTGCACATCTTATTTGCCTTCTTATTCCCAATACCAGCACAGTGTCCGGCACAAAGAAAAACTCAGTGCAAACTTCAGCACATACGTGTGCAATGCCTGGTGTGGGCCAGGGGAAGGGGCTGGCAGAGGAATAAGGCTTCTGCCTTTGGGGAGCTGTCAGTCAAGTCTGGGAAACAAGAGTGGCTTCTCAACCCAGAAGCCACTTGCTGAGCTGAACCTGAATTTGTGCTTCAACTTCCCACTCAGAACAATAATAGTTCTTGGTCTTACGCTATGGAGCAACCAGACGACGAAGAAGCAAGGGGTGGACATTCTTTAGAAACCATGGCCTATAATTTGCAGTGACAAGGAGCCAATGAATCTGAAACAAATTCTTTGGGATTAATCAGATACATCTGATTTGTCACTAATACCATTCTAACGTTTTCTCTCTAAAGATGAGTTTTCACAAGGTCTCTGGGAGCTGACCCATCTGATCGGACCGTACCTGACCTTAGGAAGTGCTTCCTGTACACTGCGAAGGACTGACATGCCTCCTACCTTCTCCCTCCCTCCAAGTAGGGAAAGGATGGGGACTCTGAAATGAGAATCACTGAGCCTTGGCCTTCATCATTCCTTACATCGCTCTGAAGCTGTCCCCCAGCCTTGGCCCGTAGCAGCTCAGGAGTATCCGCCACCGTGGTGAACCTGGAGACACGCTCGTCATGCCCTCTCTTGTACTCCACCTGATGAGGAGGCGGCACAGAGTCAAGGTCATGCACAGCCTGAGTGACAGCCTTTCCTTAGAGTTCTCCTGACGCCACACGGCCGACACACACCTGTGGTGAGTCTGTATGGCTTGCCTTACGACTCCACTTCAAAAGTCACGGATCACTGTGGCTGTGCGACATGAGCAAATTACCCAAAGTCTCTGTTCCTCCCCTGTTTTTATGTAAAATAGGGAAAATAACTGTCCTGACTCGTGCAATTGTTATGGAGATGAAGTGAGTTAACATTTGTTCATGTTTAGCAGTGTCTGGCACTCTCTCAGGCTCTTCACATTAGCAAAGAGAGCCAGGATTCAAATCCCAGCATTCTGGCTCCAAAATCTGAGGTCCTAACCAACAAGCTCTGCTGTTCTTCAGGAGGGTCCGCCACCCACTTTGTAAGAACAAGTGTCCTTCACGCTGAAGTGACCTGAAGAACTTATTTGGTCTAGCCCTGGAGTGAGCTGCATGTTCCTCTCTCCATTTGATGGATGGGGCCCAATCAAGGCACAGAGGATAATTGATAGGGGAACAATGAGAACACAGTTGTCTCCTTAATACCACACTAATGGCACCTACTGCCCCAAAGCACTGTCTCGTTGGACTTTAACTGGATCCCAGGGGTACGCGAATAACAGAAATTCGCATAACTAATGGTGACTAAGTACTGAGACACTCACTTGGCTGGCCAGCTGGTTGGCTCTCTTGGCCCTTTGGTAGGCAGGCGTGATCATGGCTGGAAAGCTCCCCTTGCCCCTCTGTTGTTCATAGTCGTCCGTATACTCCTGCTGGTCAGAGCCCATGTCAGCATAAGAACCCAGGTGGTCTCAGAGGGACTGCTAAGACTACAGCAGCAAGCATGGCATTCTGAGCCAATGCAACTAGATTTAGGAGGTCCCTGGAAAAGAACTCAGTCACCTGGAATGAATCTGAAAATGCACTTCACATTTTGTGAAACTTATTCACAAAGGAAGCACACCTTCAAATAACATTCTCCGGGTCCAAAACTTTCCCCTTCAATGTTGACATCATATCATGTGACACCTGGCACAGCCCAGTGGGTATCCCTTTGACTCAAAGGTGTGCATGATGATGTAGCCATTAATACGCAGGCGATGTGCCTGTAACTTGTCCACTAGAGATAGTTCCACAGCATGGGCAGTAACACGTCTGCTGCTTTTTCCTCCTTGCTTTTTGAGGACCTCTACTGATTAGTTTCCCTAATGAGACAGACACTTAGCATCTGCCTTTCTATTCTTTCCTTTCCGTGTGCTAAAAGAAAAGTCACTGGACACTAACAATATTTTCCAAAGTGATTTCTTCGAAGGACAGATGGCCTGGGTGTGTGGAGAGGATGAGGACATATTCTGTGCAAATGGTTAAGGATTTCCACAATCTGGCCAACAAATGCCTTTTTTTTTTCACATGAAAACCTACGAAAGTAAGTCTCTCCTGCAGTGCGAGAGACCAGAAACCTCAAACGGGCCGTCAGGACTGGCTCCTTCTGGAGGCTCTAAGGCAGAATCTGTTTCTTCGCCTTTTCCAGCTTCTAGAAGCTGCCAGCTTCCTTAGCTTCTGGCTCCAAATGGCTTCGACCTCTGCTTCTCTGGTCATGTCCCCTCGTCTCTGACTCCGACCCTCCTGCCTCCGACCCTCCTGCCTCCTTCCTTATAGGAACCCCAGCGATTACTGTGGCCACCCCAATAATCCAGGGTAATCTTGCTATCTCAGAATCCTTAATGTACTCACATCTGCAAAGTCCCTTTGGACATGTAAGTTTCACATACACAGGCTCCAGGAATTAGGCATGGCCATCTTTGGGGGAGAGGCCAGTATTCTGTCTACCACAATCTTAAAATAAAAGAACATTCAAACTAGTGGATAAAGTAATTCCTACGGCCCTCACCTCACCGAGAGTCTTCCGAGCCTCGACCATCCTTACGATTTCAGGGTCCGGCAGGGCTCCTGGGCACCAGGCGTTCCCTTCTCTGTATCCGGTCCAACAGGCTCTCTAAAAGGAAACACACACGTGCGTACAAACACACACCCCACACATTTTGGTAGGTAAGATCCCCCTCCCAACCCCACCCTCCCAGCAATGCTCACGCACATTGTCAGTCTCAGAGAGAAGTTCTTTAAAAACTACAATCTCCTATTGGTAGATGGCAGGTCTCAGCTAAGCAAAATGCTTGTTTATTTTCCAACTAAAAAATAACCTAATATCCTAAGCAATTGAACTTTCGGAGATTCACTTACATCAGAAGAGTTCCAAAGGTAACTTAACATTTCTTTGCCTATCACTGCACCAAGATTGGGCAGAGTTACTGTAGACAAGCAATCTGAGATTAATCAGCATATTCAGCCAAGCTTCAAACACCTACTTCTGTGCCTAGCATTGGGTTAAGCAATTAATATTGGAAAAAGCAAAGAAAGACATCTTTTTTAAGATACGTATGACCTATCTAGAGAAATGAAATTAACTATGAAACAATTAGTGATTAGAAAGCCTTTGTGTGCTTAAACAGGCTGCATTGAAGATAAATACAACAAGAGTTTAAAAAGAACAATGTGTGTGTGATGTGCCCTGTTTCGGACAGGAAGATAGAATTTGAGCTGGACCTCCAGGGTTGAGGTCAATTAACAGATAGAAAGGAGAAAGAAAGGCATCTGCTCTAGCAGGCCAGTTCCATGAAGACAGGGGTCTTCACCTGTTTTGCTTTCTAGTGTATGCCAAGAGCCTAGCACAATGCCTGACGTGTATTAGACTCAACATGTATTGGCTGAATACATTCCAGGAGCGGGGACCACCATGAATAAAAGCATGGAGACAGCGATGGGCTTCGTGTGAAAGAGCTGAGGGGTGTGGCTGGAATCGAGGGGGAGAGATGGGGAGCCACATGGGCTGGAGGTGGGACAGGTTGGGTAGAGGCAGCATTTGAAGATCTGGAAAGGCACATAATTCATATGTGAAAATATTTTCAACCACACTCGCAATCAGGGGAGTTTAAATTAAAACAGCAAGATACAGGTTGTCAAGACTTTATCAGGTAATATCAAGTGCTGGTGAGAGAGCGTCTTCTCATATTATGCCGGTGGAATATAAAATATACAGCCATTTTAGAGAGCAATATGACACTGTCCATTAACATGAAAAAGACACGCACCCTTCAACCTAGCAACTTCACATTTGTGTCCAAAAAAGGTCATGCAAAAGGGTGTTCATTGCAACTTCATAATAGAAACAAAACTTGGAAATAACCCTGCCCATCAATAGGAGAGCATGATTCATCCATTCTTAACAGTTGCACCCATGATACACCCATCCATGACATCTGAGGATGCTGGCGTAGACATATCTCCAAGCTATTTGTTAAGTGAAAAATACAAGCTGCAAAGCAATGCATATTGTTTCCTGAAAATCACAACTATACATTTCAGCGGGAATATACTTATATACTTTTCAATAAAAAACAATAGCTGATCTTTATTATGCCCACCAATGTTCTAAGATCTTTACATTTATAGGCTCTTTTAATCTTCACAACAGTTCTGTGAATCAGGAACTGCTTCTCTTTACAGATGAGAAAAGAAAAGAATGGTTAAAGAACTCATGAGCGGTCCCTAGAAAAGTGGCAGAGAGACAGACATTGACTTGTAAATGAACAGAGCGGCAGGATGCCCACCAGACTGATAACAACGGGAACCTCTACAGAGAAAACCGGGATCCCAGAGGGTGGACGAGGGGTTCGCTTTGTAGTGTTTGGATTTTTTTACAATAATAAAAATGCAAGTAGTAGGCATATAATGAAAACGAAATGGCTGAGGAATTTTGAAATGACGAGGCAATTAATAGAGAGTGACCATAAATTCTCAGGTGAGGAGAAGAGTAAGCCAGGGACATCCAGAAAGCTGTGTGTGACCAACATCACATGTCGAGCTGGGGAAAGGCAAACCCAGGACAGGGAAGGCCATCTCAGGGGGCCCTCAAAGGTCCACGCGGGAGATGATGTGAATCAAAGCTAGGACAGTAAAATGAAGGGGAAAGGGTGAAACTGACTCAAGTGTCCAGAGAAGAAAGGGCAGCCTTGGTTTCCAGCCCAGGTGTCTGTCCCTCGTGACAGAAGCACAGTGGTTGGAAGAGCGAAGTCTATAAGCTTGTACTGGAGCGGAAGTGGATAAGGTGAGGCTAGAACATAGTGACAAAGGTCTTCTGTAGACGGCTGGAATTACAAACTGGATACAAGAAAGCCTACTTGACTATGCCTAGAAGTAACCGTGAGAATGCATTTCATTTGCACAGGGTGCCTTTCTTCTCTGTTTCCAAACCCATTTGTAACTCACCTCATTCACCAGTGGTTGCCCATTAGGTGCAGCTGCCCCGTCCTTGGAATCCATGTCCCACCGAAACACCGATTTAAACTGTTCACCATGCTCTTGCTCATCAACCTGCCCGATGAAGATGTTGTCAGTAATGTTTCCCTCAGAAAAGAGAAAGAAAATAAATAATCTCTAGGTAAATTGGGAGGATTTTCCTGAGTCTCAACTGCAGAGCATTTTAACTGCGCTACAACGCGCACCGTACTGCTGGTCTCCCCGTGGTTTCCGCTGTTCCCCCAGTTGGGCAGCCTGTATAGCGCCCCTGCTGTGTGCAAAACTCTATTCAGCAGCACCATTGAAAAGACTTGCAGTCTCCATGAGCTGATCACAAAACATCAAGAAGTCGTGTTAATTTAACCTCAGAAAACGCCAGACATTAGAGCAGCGATTTTTAACTGTAGTCTGTGCAACAATCACTTGGGGAGCTTGTTAAAACGCTGGCTCCCGCCCTGGCCGGTTTGGCTCAGCAGTTAGAGCGTCGGCCTGCAGTCCGGAGAGACCCGGGTTCAGTTCCCGCTAAGGGCACGTACTTCGGTTGCAGTTTGTCCCCGGCCTTGGTTGGTCATGTGGGTGGCAGCCACTCGATGTGTCCCTTCACGTCGATGTTTCTCTCACTCTCTCTCTCTTCCTCTCTCTCCCTCCCACTCTATCTGTACAAAAAATGGAAAAATATCCTCGGGTGATGATAAAAAACAAAACAAAAAGAACGCTGGCTCCCTGCCCGGCCAGTGTGGCTCAGCGGATTGAGCCCATGGACTGAGAGGTCCCAGTTCGATTCCCAGTCAGGGCACATGCCCAAACCCAGTAGGGGGCGTGCAGGAGGCAGCCGATCCATGTTTCTCTCTCACATTCATGTTTCTATCTCACTCTCCCTTCCTCTCTCTCTAGAAAATCAATAAACATATATTTTTTAATGCTGGCTCCCCAAATTCAAGTAGGTGTCCTTGAGAGCCACTGACATAAGGAGTCAGAACCCCATCTTTGCAGTGCCGTCCCACAGCACTGAGGAGTGTCTGTCTCCCCAGAGACCTTGTCTGCCATCCGTGTTATTCTGAGGAAGCAGGAAGAAGTGGGGAGAGCCCTCAATGCTACTCCTGGGGTGAGGAAGCTTTAAGGGCCAAAGTTCATTCTCTGGATGGGAAAGAACTGAGATGTTTCATGCTTCTAAAATTTTCATTCACCTCTACCAAACAGGAAATGTTGTCTTAGTAAATACTGATTTATTTCTAAAAGAGGGACATTTGAAAACAGAAAAACGTCAGTCTGCTTTAAATGCCGGCTCGAACATCTTTACCCTAGTTTTCTCCTTCATCGCCAACACTGAAGCATCCTTTCCCCCCCTTTTTGATTTTTGCACATGCACAAAGAGTTTGAATTTTATCCAATTGGTAAAGTCTCTCAGAGATGTAAGTGGGTAAGAAAGTAATCACACTCCCGCAGGTGGTTAGAAGATCTGGGGGCTAGGGGGGACCTAAGTGTCCACATGAATGTATCCTTGGTGGGAAAGGAGGAGAAGGTGTACTCAGTAGTCACTTGTTTCACATACACACACGTACACACACATGCACATGTATACATGTACACACACATTGAATACTCAGAGACAGACACACCACACACATACAAGCATGTGCAAACACGCATGCATACATATGCATGTGTATATATACACCTGCATACTGACCACGTATACCCGTTTGTATGCATGTGCAGACATATCCACTCCTACATTCACACATACATACACTCCCCATGTGCACACACATACTGATACACATACCATGTACTCACATAGATGCAAACACACACAGGCCTCCTGGGAAGCTCACATCACTGTCCATGTCACTGACTGAAAACAGACCAGTGACAATCTCACTCCAGGTCAGACCCATCACACGCACTTAAAAACCGTGAATCCCCTACCACCTCAAAGAATGGTGTTATTGCGTGGCCTGTTGTATGACAGAAAGGTAGGGACGTGCCAGCTGAGGCTGAGGGTAGGGTGGACATACACAGATATCACAGATCTTTTTGTAGAGAGTGTAATATACACAAACAGCCGTCTGGTGTGTAAGCACATCTGTGTTTCATCTGTCACGCTCTGGCTGCACAACTAGAGAAACATCTGGATGTTTGTACACATAAACACGTACTTTTCCTTCTGAAGCGTCTACCACCCTATAGGTTCATGAAAGTAGGTTAGTGGAGCAGGTTGTGATGTGAGCTCTAGGGTCAGATAGAGCTGGATCTGCACCCACTCAACCAGCTGGGTAAAGCTGGGCAAGTTTCTTAACCTCTCTGAGCCTCAGCATCCCCAACTCTAATATAATGTTATCACAGAGGGTTCTTGTGAAGGATAAATGAGCAATGTAGGGAGAGAGCCCAGCGAGGTGTTTGGCACAAGGTTTAAGCATGAGCTCAATTCAGTATTTATTGTAATTTCATGTAGCTGCCCTTAGACACAAGTGATGAAAACAAAATCCTAAAACCGTTAGCCTTCTCAGTAATCGGCGATTGCTCGTGACTTCTGAAGGCTCACGAATCGTTAGAAATCAATGACACATGAGCTACAATCTGAGCCTCTGTTTCCTCATCCGTAGAATGGGATAATGGCATTTGCTTCATTGGACTACCGTGTGTATTAGCCATATTAAGCAAAAAATGTACATGTTACATAAGTTAAAAAACAATAAGCCACACTTAGTGCAAAGTTCTTAGCAAAGTAAGCAATCTTGAGGGTGTATGTAGAGAACCACACAATAAGGCGAAGTCTAATCTGACACATACTGTCTTGAGGAGGAGCAGAGCCTGAGCCGGCGGGAGAGTCAGTAGGAATGAGATAATGTTAGGAAGGCAGAGTACTTAGTCCTCCATCCCGTGTCATTTCCTAATTTTAGAAAGCCACTTGCTCCACCCCACAGGACCTGTGGTGGGGCCTGGGGGAGAGAAGTTAAATGATTCATCATTTTAATAATTGCAGCGTTCACGCAATAGCTAGTTATTTGACAGAATTCCACTGTTGGCTTTTCAAAAGAGGTTGGTTTATCAATGTGGCCTCCTTGTCAACACAAAGATCAGGTTCAAATCAAAATATCTTTGATCTACCACTATCCTTCCGGGACAGAGAGGCTGCGAATAATCTCAAGCACTACTGAATTTGGAGAGATGTAAAAGTGTCGAACTGGAGGTTTTTAATGTCCTTATACAAAATAATTATGGGGGAAACAAAGGAAAGGCTGTTGTAGTATTTTCTAACTATGAAACTGTGTTTCATGTATCAGGCACCTAGTATAATATGGGGCCTATTGTATAAACTCATCCACGCGTCCAGAGCTGCCAGACCCAGAGACATGACCCTGGGTACAAGGACCTCAGATATTCAAGTGAGATTATCCTGGGTATTGGCCCCGATACTGTGGTAGGACCAATAGCAATGTGTGCTGCTTACATGCCCTTTGCAATGTGTATGCGGAAAAAATGGGCAGGTTCACATCTAATCACACACTTAAAAACTTAATAGATGCCTGAGGGAAGAAACTTTCTTTGAAGGCTGTTTTGAAATTCGAAATTAAGTAACTTACCTCATGGATGTCTCCTGGAGACGGCTTCATGTTTAGATTTAATGGAGTCTGATAGATACTTGTGAAAGTGTTGTTCTTGGGGTTGTGGCTACAAAAAACAGATGTAAACCAAAATTAGAAATATACTTTATCCAAGGTGATTAGCTTATCTTAAAGATACAGTCACTTTTAAAAATCAATAAATATAACATTTAATAGTTAAGTTCATGATTTTCCAGACCTTAAGTCTTAAAGAAAAATAAATAAATAAAATAAATTCAGTATCTATAACTTAAAGATCAAATTTAACTGGCAATGATCACTCAAAAGCTTTCTGAACAAATACAAAGATCCATATTTAATCATTTGACATGGGGTTATAGTGGGTAGATTTGATCTTTTAAGAAAAAAATTGAATCTGCCCTGGCCGGTTTGGCTCAGCGGTTAGAGCATCGGCCTGTGGTCCTGAGACACCCAGGTTCAGTTCCCGCTAAGGGCATGTACCTCGGTTGCAGTTTGTCCCCAGCCCTGGTCGGTTGTGCGGGTGGCAGCCACTCGATGTGTTCCTTTCGCATCGATGTTTCTCTCTCTCTCTGTTCCTCTCTCTCCCTCCCACCCTACCTGAACAAAAAATGGAAAAATGTCCTCCGGTGAGGATTAAAAAAAAAAAAAAAGAAAAAAATTGAATCTTTCAACTCTTTGTTCATTACATAAAGCTTGCCTTAGGTTTCACAATGATTATAAGTAAAAACTTTTGAGAAGACATTTCTTGGATTTACCTGCAGAGTGTGTGATTTGAATATCTGATTAGCTACTTGTTAAAAACAACAACAACAACAATACCCTGGCTCAGTGGCTAGAGCCACAGCCCATACACTGAAGGGTCACGGGGTTCAATTCCCAGTCAAGGGCATGTACCTGGGTTGCAGGTTCAATCCCTGGCCCCGGCTGAGGCATGTGCAGGAGGCAACCAATCAATGTGTTTCTCTCACATCAGTGTTTCTCCACCCCCTTCTACTCTCTCCAAAAATCAATGGAAAAAATATCCCTGGGTGAGGATCAACAACCAAAAATAAAAATAAATAAAACTCAAGAGGTGGTGGGGAGGGTCATCAAACACTTACGCATGACAGTAGGGCTTTTTCTGGTGACTCACGAAGTTATTAACCGATAGCATCATCTTGCAGACTTCACAGTGAAAACACGCTTTATGCCATATCTAGAAATCATACAGAAAAGATTTATCAAAATTGCCTCTTTTTTCAGACTCAGGATTTTTAGATATTTCGGGGTAAAAATAAATTGAGTTTTAGGCATCAAATGATTTACAAACACACAGCTACAATATGTTAGATGAATAAGTGACATTTTTTTTTTTGAGACAATATAGAAGACATAGCTAGAAATGGGTAGAACTGAAAAAAAGCTGAGACATACGTCGTTTTGGGTGGTTCAAAATAACCCACATGTCCATATACGAGAAGATCGATTTCCCACGTTTGTTAGTATTCCCGAAGGCCAAGAAACGTCTACTGACCTGATCTAGACAGCTGACCTTTTCAGCGGGATACACCCCATACCCACACCTAGAGCAAGACTGGACGTTCATCCTGACTGCCCAGGGGAGACGACAAAGGTGGGTAACAGGCAGGGAATCCAAGGAGAGTCCTCAGTCTAGTGGTTCAGTCTCTCAAACTCCGACCACGAGTCAATTCTGGGGCCACCAGATTGTTAGAATCCACCGTGCACTTTCCTTTGCTGACCTTCTAGCTTGAAGCCAGCAGCTGGGCAGTTTTTAAAGCTGCCACTTACTCAAGGGGCTATTCTGGCGACTTGCTCAGCACGCATGCGTCTGGGAAGTGAGGTCGAGGTATTTCTAGCTGACATGTGTCTCTAAATAGAAAAGTGAACTCACAACAGCAACATGTTGATGTGGATGACCAAATCCTGGCGCATGATCAGGCAGCATGGAGTAGTTTCACACTAGCTGTGATCATCACCCAAGAAAAGAACCCCAAAGAAAACGGCACCCCCTCCTCGAGAGATGAAATTAGAAAAGCTCGCTCTGTGAACAGAATGACTAAAGCAGAAAGGCCAGCTCCCAAAATATAGGAAATCAAACAGGGCTGAGTCACGCCCCAGGAAGGGTATGTGCCACATTTGAATCTCAGAGTTTTATGTGTTAAAAAAAATTTTTTTAATATTTTTTTCTTTATTGATTTTAGAGAGACAGGAAGGAAGAGGGAAAGACAGAAACATTGATGAGAGAGAATATCAACGGGCCCCCTCCCGCATGCACCCCACTGGGGATTGGGCTCACAGCCCAGGCATGTGCCCTGACCGGGAATCGAACCGGTGACCTCTCAGGGCCTGGGCTGACAAATATTGACAACTGAAAACTGATTTGGATATTAATTTGTGTTTAGTTCCTGCTCCAATGCAAAAATAAGAACAAATGAGAACCCTCTTTGTTTTGGCCTCTGGGTATTATTGTTACAGAAAGGCCTGTTTATTACCTCACCTCCCAGGCCTGAAGGGGGGGGCAGCTTGAAGAGAAACCTTCTCTTCCTGACTTTGAAGCCCCTCATGGCCTTCAGTGTCTACCGAAATATTACCCTAAAACGGAGCTTCTAGAAACAGCTTACAAAAGATGGCGCCTCCCCTGTCCCCACCCCTCAGCTCCTAACCTGCTATAACCCTTACTCTGTTGTATGTTGTTCATTGCAGTTACCGCCACCTGGCATCTTAAATACTGTGCCTCTGCTTTTTTAAAGTATCTCCTTCCATCCAAGCAGGATCCTTGTGTTCGTTTCTCATCCCCGGTGCCTAGAACAAGGACAGACCCGGAACAGGTGCTCATGGAATCAATGAAATAAATTGAACACACTCACCAAAATGCCTACAGGGGCCAGAGGTGTAGTCATAGGTTATGATGGGGACCTTCCCAAATAGGAGGGCACATGCCCCATCCAATTTGTCATGAGTACCAGCATTGCCAACATTCTGATTTTTCCAGAGAAGCCAGATATCTGCATTTATACATGAAATTCCCTATTTTATAAAATAGGGAACAAAACAATAAAACAGGGCCATGGACAGTATCTGGTTGGCAGTCTACCCATCGGTGACCTTTGACTTAAACGCTCTGAGAAGATCACGGTGTTGGGGGATCTCCGGTGGAGAGAAGTCAGTAGTACTTCTGTGTTGTGTTGGAGGAGCGGGGGGGGGGGGGGGGGGGGGGGGGGGGGTCACATGCCCTAAGGGGAGAGTGTAGCTGGAGGCTCCCCACAGCCCATAGTGGGGCTCAGCGCTCTATCTCAGCGCCTGGAAGGAAGAGAACTCTCAGCAGGGGCTCCGAGCTCAGGGAGACTCCCACACTGAAGGGAAGCCTGGGCAAAGACAAAGACCTGAAGACTTGAAGGCTCCCCGAATGTTCTACTCTGTGCTGAGTTTCTCAGGCCTTACCTGGGCAGTGGGCTGGAAACCTCACTAATCACTGAGAAAGACTGTGTCCCAGCCCAGGGGGAGGAGGAAGCACCGTCACGGTTCATCTAGAGAGAAAGCTGCTTCTTCTCTGCCTAAGGTTGTGGTTCATGGCACTCCAGAGCTGCTGCAAGTCCTCAGTCACCCTCCTTAAAGCAAGAATCGCCAAAATGAAAGACGTAAATTTGACGTATGCCATCCTTTACGTTTTTAAAAGTCCCTTATTAGCTTTCAGACTTTGTGAGGAGAAACGATCCCAACCAGCTGGAAACGGGACAGTTTAAGGAACTAAAGCGACACTCATTGCTGGGGTAAGAGACATGCAGCCCTCCCCTTCTCGACAGACACGGCTCCCAGTCCCTGCTGTGTCCATCCTACCCGCACAACATATGCAGATGAGCCCCTCCCATCACAGTGATGGCTAAGGACATGGGAGCCTTGGCCAAGGAGCAACGAGCTCCTCTGGCCATCAGGACTGGTTCTTAGCCTGGGTTCCCCAGAACACAGAGCCCAAGGCAAAGGCTTATTCACACACAAGGACTTGACTCAGAAGTATACCAAGAACAGTGAATATGAGGGTTCGCTCAAAACAGCCACCACCTGATACAAAGTGCACTGGAATGCTTGATCTCCGCCTTCCGGGAGGCCATCTAAACAACTGCCCCTCGGGAACCCCCGCCAGCAGCGGTTCTCAACCTGTGGGTCGCAACCCCTTTCGGGGTCGAACGACCCTTTCACAGGGATCGCCTAAGACCATCAGAAACCACATATTTCCAATGGCGATTCATAACAGTAGCAAAATTACAGTTAGGAAGTAGCAACAAAAATAATTTTATGGTTGGGGGTCACCACAACATGAGGAGCTGTATTAAAGGGTCGTGGCATTAGGAAGATGGAGAACCACTGCGCTAGAGGAAGGAAGGATTTATTTATTGACCTGTCTTCCACTGGTAAAGTTTTGCCCCATTGGGTGTTAACTCCCCTACACGTCCATGCCATATATGTGTCCACGGAGTCCCAAAGCATCCCAACAGCAACAAGAAAAAAGCAAGGGCAGCAGAGAGCCAAAGACACAGTTGGTTGTGCTCTCGTGAACATGGCCAGAGCCCACACAGAGCGGGCTGCCACTGCCCAAGCTGGATCAGCACAAGCAGCTGTGACCGAGTGCATCCAGAGGGGCTCTGGTGAGGAGTCTGATGTGCCGTCCAATCAGCAAAGAGTCCAAGAGTGGGGCTTGGCGGTGATGAGCCAGAGCTAGATCATGTAGAGCCTTGATCCTCGACCTGACGCTGCTGCCCACACTGTCGCCAGATGCTTTGGCTTCCTTTAAGCCTTGACTCACGGGGCACTTACGATCAATGAAAACCTCCACAGCCTTTTGCTTCACTTTAATGACTGTCACGTTCAGCGTGTGGGCAGCTGATTTTCTTTTTTCACTTGAATGTAGCCCTCATTTATCTCTTTTACATTTCACCCTGTTGACGATGGCCTATTGCTTCAGCTGGTCAAGAACATTTTATATCTCGGTTCTGTCATGCAGGATACAAGGTAATTCAATCTACCTCTGGATCACTTTCATTGCCCTTCTGTGGATGTGACATGGTTTTGAAATTACAGAAAGATGGCAAATCGGAAGTGAGAAGAAAGCAACCAACCCTTCACTCTGTCACTGTCACTCTGGTTAGATGGGGGATGTTCCTCCCATGCTAAGGGGGAGGGGCGGGGGGTGCCTACCTGAGTTTAGATTCTCCCAAAAGCAAAGCTTGAGGTGAGGACTTGAGTCAGGTAGTTTATTTGGAAGGTGGTCCCACAAGGCAAGAGTGTGGGTTTTAATTGAGTGAGCCAGAGAAAGGAGAATTTAATAAAGGCATATTCTGAGCTAATTACTGCTACGGACAATGGGGCTCGATCTTACTGGAGCCACTGTGAATGTGTCCCAGAACTGTCCGACTTAAGGATGGGAGGCTGGGACACTTATCCACCAACTCTCATCTCCCATTGGTCGCAACTTACTGACAGGGGCATAAACTCCCATACACCTCTAGGATACACCTGTCTGCACAGACTTCTGCAGCTTCAGAGAAAGCCCAGGGGCAGAGAAGCAGAGGGGCACTTTTGAGAGACTTTAAGGGCCTAGTGACACACATCAATGATCTGAGGGGATGTGGCATAGGGTACCCCAAGAGTCAGTCACTCAAGGAAATTGACTGGAGGCAGGGTAAAGTGTTCATATGAGATGCCATGAGCTCCCACTGCCCTGCTCTTCAGGCTAATGGTGTCACCTGTTTGGTCCCCACACTCCACTGCGCTGTGCAATCTGTGTCCAGACAAGTGGGGAGGAAAAGCCAGGACACGGGGCCTTGTCTCCAACTTTCACGCTTTCCCAGGTCAGAACTGCCACTGCGTCCTCACCCCCATCCTTTGAGGCTTGTGGTGTTGGGGTGTTAGACAACGTTCCATGAGTACATACTGATGGACAGTTGGTGGCTTCAGAGCCAGTTTTCTCCGTGTAGTCATGAGGCCTGTGCACTAGATGGCAGTGACTAGGTTAGGCAAGTGTGTCCCTCGCCCTGGGGAAACCTGAGGTTGGTGGGATTGCCTAACTGGTCAGACTTCACCCTGGGTTTCAGCAAGCAATCTGTTTGAGTACATCTACTCCACAGAAGTACTTTGGCCAGGAAAATCAGAGACATATTTTGCCTCCCCTCAAACCTAAATCTGGTTTGAGATTACTCTCCAGTTGAAATTAGCATTTGCTTTGGAGAAGGGATTATGTCTTTTGGTCTAAGACAGAGTCTACAAATGTCTGCTATAAAGAGTCAGATTGTAAGTAGTTTAGGCTTTGCAGGCCACATAATGATCTCTGTTGCATCTTCATTTTCTTCATTTATTTTTGCAACCCTTAAAAATGTAAAAACCATTCTTAGTTTGTATGCCATACAAAAATGCAGCCCACAGGCCGTAGTGTGCCAACCCCTGGTCTAAGAGGCTGCTTACAGGACATCAGGAGCAGAGACCATAATTTCCCCTGGGGAGGCTGGTGAGGAGGAGGAAGGCAGAGGAAAAGATCAGGAATTGGTTCAGCCCCATCTGGCCTGGGTTTTGACTGTCTACATGTAGAACCCTATTCAGTTGTAAGCAATAATACCCAGCTGCTGTGGCTGTCTTTTCCTGTGCCAGGGGACTATGACTCACCTGTCAGTAGCATGAAGCATTTCTGCTGAGTCAAGTAGATGGGCCTCCTGCCAGGGCTCCACCCTCGTGATATAAGCACCTCCCAAAGGCCCCCACCTCCTAACACCATCACACTGGGCATTGTGTTTCAAGCATGAATTGAGTGGGTACAAGTATTCACCCTATAGAACAGCCATATTGGGAATAGTGTAACTGCCTGTTAAAAATATTCAGGAATTCAGAATTTTCACCTAAGTTAATAAATTATAATAATCGCCTAGGACCAGTCTTTCTTAAACCAAGCAAGAATCCTTACCCGATGAGATTTTAGAGACAATACTGAAGTCTCTGGCCAAGAGAAAAGCAAGCAAACAAAAAGGCAAGGTGAGGTTCTTGCCTGATGTCACACCATGAAGGTTTCACTCAATGTGTTGATAGTTCTTTAAAAACAAATCTCTCTGGTGTGACTAAAGCTAATTTCTCCCCAAATATTTACACCTCAGCATGCCTGAGTTCATTAGTCACTCCCCTGAGGCGTCCTGGAGAGAAAGGCATTGGAAGCCTCCCTTGGAGGCCCAGGGGTGCAGAAGGACGTGTGTGGGTGTGTGAGTGCGTGATGGGTGGTTGTGAGGGTAGGAGTGAAGTCGAATCTATGTACTGTGTACTGTTTCACATTTTAGACCAATTCACGACCACAAACCCAGTGACTGACACCTGGGGGCGCTCGATAGATATTTCATTAATGACTCCGCCTTTAAGTCCGCACGCGCAGGCTGTGATTGCGGTGGAAACTTGCTCAGACAAAGCTGGGTCCTCCCGCCCGCGTACGAAGACACGCGCTCCTGCGAGTGGAAGCAAGTTCTGGAAAGCAGGAAGGCCGCAGCGCACCCCACGGTGGCAGAGGAGCTCCGCCTGGGAAGAAGGTCATTTCTGCGGATGTGGGCGCCCAGCCCCCGGGAGGACGCGAACCGCACAGACTGGGTCAGGGGGCCGTCAGGGCAAGAGCTTTAGGCTATGGGAACTGGGTCCTCGAACTGATGCGGGGGCCCAAGTCGAGGTGCAGACTGGAGGCAGCAGCGGAAAGGGGGTGCGGGGGCGATTCGGAAGGGCTCCCCATCTTCGAGCGCGGGGAAACCTGCAGGGCGCGCTCTTCCGTTTGCGAGGCTCGGGATGCGGCGTGCGGCAGGCTCGCGGGGCGCGCTCCCCGGGTCACTGCGCGCGCGGCCGGTTCTGCAGAACGTGCTCTCCTGGGGGCTGTAAGCGTGGCGGCGGGAGCGCACGGATCTCGGCGAACCGGGCCCCGCCCGCACGCTCCTCGGCACGCGCGGCGACTTCGCGGAGGGAGCTCGCCGGGGACGGTGCGCGCGGTGGCCCCGGCCCTTGGCGCGCCGCTGCCTCGGCGGAACGCGCGACCCGTTTTGCATCGCCCCGCCCCGGCCCCGGCCCGGCCCCGCCCCGGGACGGTGCGCGCGGCCGTCGGGCGCACTCTTCCGCGCTTTGGGGCGCGCACTGTCCCGGGCCGGGCAGCCGCGCAGCGACTCCTCCCACCGCAGCGTCGAGGCCTTTACTTTCGTTTTAGTGATAGTGACCCAGACGCGAGCAGGGGACGGACAGTGGTGGCCGCAGGCGCGGGCACTGCGGCCTCGGAGAACGGTAACTTCTGCCCCCGCCTCCGCTGTCGTCTTCCCCGCCCGCGGTGACGCGCCGCCTCCGCCCTCCCCTCTCCCGCGTCCAACCTCCGCGGCGAGCTCCGCCTTCCCGGACTTGGGTGTTCTGGGGCTGGGCAGCGGACCGCTCGCGCCGAAACTTAGGGAAGAGGGCTCTCGGTGCCCCCATCATCTCTTGCTTTGATCTGCTTGACCCCTCCTAGCCGTCGGGCCGGCGTCCGCCGGTGCTGTTGGAGATTTCGGAACGGAGAGGTAGGTGTAGGAGGGAAGGAGCGGCCGGTTGGCTCGCAGAGCTGACGGCGAGGGCGCCGGAGTCGGACAGCCGAGGGTCCCGTCCCCTCTCCCTGCTCGCCAGCTGTGGGGCCTTCGTCTCTCTGTTAAGTGGGAATAATGGTGAGCCCGGGCGGAAGGTTGCAGAGACGGTGGAAGGAGCTGATCATGGGGTATACCGGTGCCTCCTTCCAGGCTTAGTATGGTACGTGTGAGCTTCGGTCATCATTGTTGGGGTACCCGTGTGCCGGGCCCTTGAAGATCCCTGGAGGAAGTGAAAAAAGGCTGGTTTCTCAGGCTGCCAGTTAACCTTATAACTTTTCACCGTTGTATTCAAGTTCGTCTTTTATGGAGCAGTAGAATCTCTCGGGCGTGATTGGGTGTGTCATTCCCAGGCCTTTTCCCTTGAACTTCTGGGCTTGCTGACGGCTTGGTCCTAACTTTTTTTTTTTTTTTTTTTTTACTAATAGGTTGCTTCCTTCTTAAGAGTCTACAGCCTGACCTTCATCCTCGATAAGCAGATACTTCCTGGGATCACAGTTAGCACTTCTGCTTCCTCTTAGCTGTGTGGCTTGGGGCAGGTGACTTACCTTCCCTGAAGAAACCAAAGTTTTCTTCTGCAGTACAAGGTAAAGGCTCCAGGCTCCCAGCAATGCTGAGCATCAGGTGACAGTGCAGTACTGAGTGCCCAGCAGGGCCCCCTCTTTCTCCAAGTGCTAGATAGAAGGTGAGGGATGGAGGTCCTCAGGGCTGCTTCTTTTTGAACCTTTTAGGAAGATTGTTTTCACGGGGCCAGGGGTGGGGTGCAAGTTGTATTAAGTCACTTTTTGGAGGAAGCAGCTGCATTCCCCTCATTAAAAAAAAAAAAAGGTTTAGACAGTAGCTGGAAAGTTATTTCCTGCCAGGTGTGTACCAATCGCCTGTGAAGCGTGCACAGAAATAATCACCAGAGGGTTTTAGTTTTCAGTCTCCATAAAAGCTGCTTAAAATATGGATGGAATTTAAAAATACTGGTGAAGGTTGACAGTTGAATGTTTTCTTAGTCTTGAGTACTGCAAGCAGTGCTGATAACAGGGAATATCTATTGAGCATTTATCATGTGCTGCACTGTGCTTAGCACTTGACATGCACTGTTCCATTCAACCTCACAGCCACCTGTGACTGTGGCATCATTGTTTGCCCACTTTACAGATGAGGACACTGAGGCTGAAAAAGGTTGAGTACTTCATTCAAGGTCCTACAGCTAATCGGTGGAGGAGCCCATGACTGGGTGCTCCACAGCCCTCCCTGGGTCCCTTTGGTTCTTTTATGTGCCCTATAGCAACAGTGTATTTGGGACGCTGACGAATTTTACAATTTTAAGTACATTTCAATTATAACATTTATAAAAAATATATTTATTAGAGTGCCTGCTATGGACCTGGCTCTTTTCTGTGACTGGAACAAAACAAAACAAAAGGATCATTAAGATAAGCTCTCAATGTGCAAACAGCTGGAGAGTAGTGGTTAATAGTAATAATAATAAGTAATCTAGAGTGCTTGGTACTATTAATGATTTATGCATATTATATTTTAATTTATTTAAGAGAAGGTAGATGTATTTAACAATGGAGTGTGCAGTATCCGATGAATTACCGCTCTTCGAGCCCGAGCCCCAAAAAAGGGACATTACTTTCCAAGAAAGAAAGTAATTCCAGGTGTGCTCTCTCCAGGCACTGGGGAGCTGAGATAGGCCTGGATTTTCTGGGTGGGCTGTGAGGATTCATGGAAATAAGGGGTCAACACCAAGTCTTGGCTTGACTGAAATGACGTGACTGAGATCAGGCACCCCACTCGCTCACTACCCTTGTTCTAGGTGAACTTGTTTTCATTCTGAAATCAAGCCCAGCTTCACAGGCGTAAAAAGTTACTGACTGTTTAGCCTTGAAGACTTGAAAGAGTCAAGTCTCACCATGTTGGCTTGTTTTAGACGTACACTCTGGCAGGGACCCTTGCTGCCCACTAGACAGTGTTCAGCGTTGACCCGGAAGGATGCGGTAGGTTTCGCACAGAACACCTTCTGTCCGAGTGTTTGGAGGGAAAGCTCTGGAAAGCCTGCAACTACTGAGCAGTAGAAATCAGCCTGAACTTCACCTCTGTGTAGCCCAGAGCCCCCTAAAGTGGGCAGGAAGGAGTATGAGCTGCACTTGTCCTCTGGTGGAGCGGGTCGGATGTTCCCTGCAGCTCCCTCTCCTGCCTCAGTCCATGCCACCCTCCCTGCTTCCCCTTCTCAGATCTGAGACATTTCCTCCCCTGAGACCTTTCCCAGTTCCTCCGAGGCTCAGTCAGGTCCCCTGGTGCTCACACACACCAGTACAGCAGCCTGACATCTGTGGCATCGTTTTATGGGGAATGATGCCTCTTCCCCAACAAGGCAGGACCAGGGCAGTTTGTTCCAGACTGTATCCCCACAACCCAGCACACAGCCTGGTGCGCTGGACATTGAGTAAATAGTCACGGAATGAATCGTCTCCACAGTCCCACTAATATTAAATGTTTGCTTTTCTTAGGAGCCATCTTGCTGAAGTTCTTCCTTTTTTATATATGTATTGGTCACATCATTTTATTGTCATACAGCCTCGATCCAGCCTCCAGGATTAGCGAAAGGCTCAATGCTTGCACGCCGCATGTTGAAGTTAGCGTCTTTCCTGATGGCTCTTATATAACTCGAACTTGCTAATTTTGAAAATATGTCAGTGCTTTGCTAAATACCAATCCACACTGAAAGATAATTAAGTGTGTATAAAGGAGACAGAGAAAAACAATTGAGCATTTCTCCCCCGGATTTACCCTTATCTCTGGGGGTGATGTTATCTGATTTTGAGAAACATGTTGAGTCCCAGTGTGAAAAGTCTAACTGCTTCCTAACTGGAAACATGTGGGCAGTGGTGGGGCGTTGGTGATGTGTTGAGAAACACGATGGCCACGTCACTGGAACCCTCCCTCCCTCTCAGTTCTGTCCTCGCTGCCCAGCTCCGCCCTAAGTGAACTGCAGGGTGCCATGGAATGCCCCTCGGACCTCAAGGCCACTGGGTGTGTTTTGCTGTCTCGGACACCTCCCCCTAAGCTGAATTCCTTCTCCCCACCTTCCAAAAGGCATCACTTGTGCTCTGGGACACCACTTGTTCTGTTAAACCTTTGCCGTCTTGTTTCCCACCAAGTGCAGCCATCCCCGAGTGAGCCGCAGTGAGGCAGACCGTCTGCTGACCGGTGTGCCCTGTGCGGAGGCTCAGAGACTGAGACCAGTCGAATCAGAGTCTGGAGAGTGGTCCCTCATTCTTCAGAGCCGATCCCTTCACAGGGAAGGAAATGGACTTGTTTAGGAGAAATAACTCTAGAACAAGCTCTGCTTCTGACCAGCTGCATCACTTCTAGCTCATTCTCTTCCCAGCTTTTCATTCAATTAATATTTATTTAGTAAGCACCTCAGCGTGCCGGGCACCTGTGCCATGATGAACTTACTTTGTTGTGTTTGAGCCGAGCAATAAACAGCGTGCAAATAAACAAGACAAATATAAGGGCTGTAAAGGGAATGGGAATTGGGGGTGGGGGTGGGGGAGCAGTGTTGGCAGGATGGGAGTAATCAAGGAGGACCTCTCTGCAGAGGTGCCATTTACACTGAATTCTGAATATTGAGAATTAGCCAGCTGGCCAAGGAGGGCGTGTCCAGCAAACATGTCAGTAGTGACTTCTAGAAAGAGAACCAACCATGAGTCCAGACAGAACCCGAAATGAGCATATTGTGCCCAAGGACACGAGGGAGCTGGGAGCTAAATGGGGTGATGGTGAGGGTGACCCCTGGAGTGCTGTTGCTGGCTGCAGATCTGAGTCTCACTATTTACTAGTTATGTGGCCTGGGACAAGTTATTAGCCTTCTTCAGCCTCAGCTTCCTCCTCTTTCTAAAGGCAATTATTGCCCTGGCTGGGTTGCTCTGTTGTTTGGCGTGTTTTCCCGATAACACCAAGGTTGTGGGTTCGATCCCTGCTCAGGGCACCTGTAAGAATCAACTAATGAATGTATAAATAAGTGGAACAACAAATCAGTATTTCTCTCCTCTCTCTCTCCCCCCTCCCCCATCCTCTCCCTCTAAAATCAATAAATAAAAGATCTTTTTTAGCCCTGGCTGGTTTGGCTCAGCAGATAGAGCGTTGGCCTGCAGTCCAGAGAGACCCGGGTTCGGTTCCCGCTAATGGCACGTACCCCGGTTGCAGTTTGTCCCTGGCCCTGGTTGGGTCATGTAGGTGGCAACCACTCGATGTGTCCCTTTCACATTGATGTCTCTCTCTCTCTCTCTCTCTCTCTTTCTCCCCCTCCCCCCCTCCCACTCTATCTGAACAAAAAATGGAAAAATATTCTCCGGTGAGAATAAAAAAAAAAAGATCTTTTTTAAAAAGGTAATTATCAAAGGGCTGATCTAACTGTTATTGGAAGTATTTAAAAAGACAATGCTCGTGAAACAATATTAAATGTGAGTTTCCACGCTTGTTATTTTTTTATTTTTTATTTTTATTTTTTATCCTCACCCGAGGCAATTTTTCCATTTTTTGTACAGATAGAGTGGAAGGGAGAGAGAGGAAGGGAGAGAGAGAGAGAAACATCGACGTGAAGGGACACATCGAGTGGCTGCCACCCGCACGACCAACCAGGGCCGGGGACAAACTGCAACCGAGGTACGTGCCCTTAGCGGGAACCGAACCCGGGTCTCTCTGTACCGCAGGCCGATGCTCTAACCGCTGAGCCAAACCGGCCAGGGCCACGCTTGTTATTTTTTACCTCTTAGAGTAGAGGGAGTGGTAGGTGAGTGGGGTGCTGCTGGCTGTAGTGCTCCTAGATCAGGAGTCAGCGCACCTGCTTGTGAAGGGCCAGGTTGTTTGTATTTTAGGCTTTACAGAAGCCATATTATCTCTGGTCACAATTGCTCAACTCTGGTTGTGGTGGGAAAAGCAGCCACAGACAAATCTAAATGAATGGGTATGGCTGTGTTCCAATAAAACTTTATTTCAAAAATAAAGCCCAGGTGGTGGGCCTTAGTTTAATGGGCCTTAAAATCCAAGGAGATGGAGTTAGATCATAGGGATCTCTCTTGAAGACAGTTGAGCATCAGATAGATCGAGGATACCTGCTATGGTAAAACCATGACACATCATGTGAAACAGAAAGAGAGCTTTATCAGCAGATGGCTCCTCCGTTGAACTGGGTTTGAGCGATGCCAGGCAAAGGATGAGCACCGTGTAACCTGTCAGGAATTTAGGGGAGTTTCTTGTTGTTACAAAGCTTGATGGACCTTCCATAGCTTCGTGGACACAACACACTTTTAACAAAACCGTGGATGCTGGATTAGAAGCTCCCTGAGGACGAGGACTTGGTTTTCTTCCCCACTGTGTACGGCTCTGGAACAACGCCGGAAATAGAGTTTTGCACTCAAGCATTTGAATGAATGGACGGGGCTGGAGCCCAGCCCCGGAGCCTCGGTGTTCAAGGCTGCTCACCTCTAGGCTTCAGTAAAAGCGGTGTCACCTAACCAGTGTTACTTGAAAGTATCACACAGGCTCACTCAGAGTTGACATCAGATCTCCCTACTTAAAATATGAAATCGGACGAGCTTTCATCACCAGCCACGTGATCTTCGTGGTCGGGTGATTTGCCCCTTTCGTACTTGATGGGGAAAAAAAGGAATGATAAAAGATAAAACCTCTGACACACTAAACAAGCACTGAAACAAAACAGGATATCAAAGTGTGACTTTCAAGTGCATTTACGTATTTTTTTAAAACTCACATCCCACAGAAACAGACTCATAGATACAGAGAACGTGCTGATGGCTGCCAGAGGGGGTCGGAGGGGAAACTGGGTGAAAAGATTGATAAGTACAGATTGGTAGTTACAAAATAGTCAAGGGGATGTAAAATACAGCATGGGAAATATAGTCAGTATATTGTAATAACTACAATGTGGTGCCAGTTGAGTACTGAAAATATTAGGGAGGACACTGTGTAAAATACATGATTGTCTAACGACTATATTGTACACCTGAAACTAATACAAAATAATATTGAATGTAAACTGTAATAAAAAAAATAAAAACAAACATATTGTTGTTAAAGGCAAAAAAATCAAATCGAATTAACATCACACAGGATACTAATTTTCTAATATTGTTGTTAAAGGCAAAAAAATCAAATCGAATTAACATATCACACAAGATACTAATTTTCTACTTTGTTTTTTCCTCCCAGATGGCAGACGATCAGAACTCTGTTGGGGAGCAGGGAGCTGGGGATTCAATAAGCGAAGATATAGTTGATGCTAAGCCCGATCGGTCATCGTTTGTCTCATTCTTAAGGTCAGTGTCCTTCCTGGCTGGGTTCATCGGGGCCCTGGGCCACTCGTCATGCCACGCCTCTGCCATCTCCTCCCACCGTGGGGAGGGGGACATTCGGGGAAGTGGGTTTGCACAGGATCCCGCTGGCTCTGTGTGACAACATTAGGGTCCCCCGTGTGTACTCCTGTTTCCGGGACAAACCCAGGTTGGGGGAAATCAAGCCATGGGGGTGTCCTGCTCAGCGCTGTGTGCCTGGGTGGCAGCTGCTCAGGAGTGAGGGACTGTCCTTGCCAAAGGCCGTGTGCAGCCACAGCCTTGTGAGGCGGAGGGGAGCCTGGGCTCACCCCCACCTCGTGCCTTCAGAGACACTCCATTGAAGGGGGCGCATCCTGTCCACCGAGTCCCACTTTTTCCTTTACCGAGTTCACCTTTAAATTCTAAATCTTAGATTTTAACAACAGTAATCACTTGATTTATTAAACTCTTGTAGGCCAGCTCAGAATTGCATGTTGTCCTTATAACCCCAGGAGGTGGTGCTGTTGTTACCACCATGTGATAGGTAAGGAGATCGAGGTGCTTAGAGGTTTAATAGCTTGTCTTTCTGGTGACAGGTAAAGATGGTAGAGCTGAGGCAGGATTGAGCAGAGAGAGAGAGAGAACCATGGACGGCAGTGCGGTGATTGACGGGTGGAGGGCAATGGGTGGCGGTGGCACAGAGAGGGTAAAAGGTGATGGGAAAATTATGAAATTAAATTGTTCAAAAATAGCAGAGCCGAGATCAGAACCCAGATGCTGCCAGCTTCGCTCACTCACCGGCTCTGCTGTGCTTTCCGTTCAGAAGCAGGGCTGCAGGGGTGCGGACAGCATCACTCCTCACCTTAACCCTGGTGGCAGAGGGGCCAGGGCACGGGCTTCCTCACACGCGGCAGGGGCAGCCTGCCCTTCAGAAGCACCAGACTTCTGGAGAGCTCGTCAGCCCAGCCCCGCCTGGGCGGGACAGCCAGGGGAGCAAGGGGTTAAGGTTAGGCAGTGCTCCCAAGCAGGGCTCAGGAGGGGAAGAGCTGGTGCTAAGGGGCAGCCTGGCTCCCTGCAGCGTCCCTGAGCGAGCCTCAGCTCGTACCATCCCAGACAAAACTCAGAAAGATGGGACGACCGCAGCGTCCTGAACGCGAATTCCACTGGCATTGGCTGCCGTTTAGGGTCAAGAATACCCAGTAAAGTGACCAGAAAAGGTAGTTCTCACTCCTGAAAGCTTTTTAAAGCCATTAGGTCGTTGGCCCAGGCTAAACCACTCCCCACTGCGAGCTCTTTATTTATGTATGTATTTTTTTTACTTATTTCTTTTTGTTACAGATGTTTCTTCCCCCATTGACACCCTCCTCCCAGTCCCCCCCTCCCAGCATTATTGTGTATGTCCTTGTTTGCACATACATGCATATAAGTTCTGTGGTTTATCTCTTCCCTCCCCCCACGTCTTCCTCTTCTGAGGTTTGTCAGTCTGCACCCCACTTCCATGTCTCTGGGTCTGTTTTGTTCCTCAGCTTATTTTGTTCATTATATTCCATAAATAAGTAAGATACTGTGATATATATTTTTCTCGGATTGGCTTGTTTTGCTTAGGATAATACTCTCCAGGTCCCTCCATGTCGTCTCAAAGGATAAGAGATCTTTCTTTCTTACAGCTGCATAGTACTCCATCGTGTACATGTACCACTGTTTCTTTACCCATTCATCTATTGATGGACACTTGGGCTGTTTCCAGGTCTTAGCTATTGTAAATAGTACTGCTATAAACATGGGGGTACATGTATTCTTTCTGATTGGTGTTTCAGGCTTCTTAGGGTATATTCCTAGAAGTGGGATCACCGGATCAAATGGCAGTTCAATTTTTAATTTTTTGAGGAAACACCGTGTTGTTTTCCATAGTGGCTGCACCAGTCTGCATTCCCACCAGCAGTGTACTTGCAAGCTCTTTAGAGCAGTGGCCTTTAATTGTTTTTGCTCACAGACCCCCCCCTCTCCAAATAATGTAAAACTACACATCCCCCTCATATATTTTTAAGGTGACATAAATTTCCTGTCAAAGTAGTTGCAAAAAAGGTAACATTTCAATTTTCCAACTCTTTTGAGTATTTGGTTAAGCAGGCTGCCTCGAAGTGAAAGAGAAACAGGAATTGTGTAATTTCATAAGTATTAGTAAAGTCTTTTTGTGTACTTTCCAGAAATTATGAAAACGAGTTGTGTATGATAAATATTGACGTTTAAAAATCATTCCTTTGAGTATATCCAGTGGAATCTAAATCCATCCTACTAATTTGTCCTAGATGAAATGACTATTCCAGCTAGTAATTCATAGTTGATCTAAACAAATAAATGTTGATAAATTATTAGTAGTATTGTTCACATAGGAAACGTCCAAACCTGTAGAGAATCTTTATAAGTTCGAGGCAAACTGATGATATGTGCTGGGGAGCAGGATCTCAAATGCTCCGGTGAATAACAGTTTTGCAGCTTCTTTGCTACATTTGAAATTAAGGAAGGAAATCCATGGAGGTGGGAGAAAGCAAGACGAGGGCTGGATTACAGAATGATAACATTATGTGCTCTTTTGAGGATTAATACCCCCTTCAAGGGGTATTACTGCTGGCGTTTCAAAGGTGTGTTACAAGAACAATAGGAGGGCTGCCTTAAATCCTTTCACTAACAAAGTCGTAGGCCTGGAGACTTCTGGTCAAGGTGACGACATAGTAAACGTGTTACTCAGAACCTCTCACAACCACATCAGAATGACAACTGAACTACAGAACAAACATCATTCAGAACCATCTGAAATCTAGTTGAACAGAAGTCCGATCACTAAGAATATAAAGAAAGAGCCATCATGAGACTGGTAGGAGGGGTGAAGACGCAGAACAGACTAGTCCCACACCCACGTGTGATGGTTAAGAATCAGGAGGGATATATTGGCTAGAAGGTCCCCTTTAGCTCCCAGCCCCACCTGGGGCTCCCGTCCCAGAACACCAGTGCAGGAAGAGGAATCCCCACATCATCAGGATGTGAAAACCAGTGGGGGCTCCACCTGGGTAAGATGGAAGGCTGCTGGAGTCCTAGGCATCCTCTTAAAGGGCCTGGGTACAGACTCACTTGCTCACAAACACTCTCTCTGAGCTCCAGAGCTGGGACAGCAGCTCAAGAGGTACCAGGGACACACATGGAGGAGCTGAATTATCTGGCTTTGGGGTGAAGTCTGGAGGGGGAGGCTCGGTGGGGCACGCAGGCACCATTGTTTCTTTGTGCAGCCCTCCCCCACCCAGCCTGCATGTCTGAGTCTCCATTAACCAGGCTAACACTGCTCTCACCCCACCCTGGTGATTTCTGGAGACCCCACCCCACCCAATTCACTCACACTCTGGAACTTCTTTCAGCAGCTTTTCTTCCTGTGCTGAGGACTTTTGTAAAATCTCTGAAAAGTCCAAAAACCCCAGACAAGCAGCGTCTGGCTTCAGCGTGTCCTGTACCTCTTGCCAAGTGGCCACAAACTTGACCTCAGGTGCCTACAAACCAAGCATAGGCAGCTGCCAGCCACAGATCACTTTGCAGCTTCTACCAGGTGGCTCTGGGCCAGGCACAGGCATCAGATGACCTTGACCTTCACCAGAGTACCTCCCAAGAGGCCCCAGGACAAACACACCCAGTGGCTGGCTGCAGACCACACCAGAGTATCACTCAATTAGCTCCACAAACGACATACCCAAAGGGTAGACTCAGCAGGCACCAGAGCCATCCTAAAGCGAATCTTGCACCATGGGGTCAACCCCCACAATAGCTCATCCACTATAGTCAAGGCCAGTCACCACAGCCAAGTCAGCCTGAGGGTCAGTCCTACCCATTGACACACCCAAAGCAAACAAGGCTCAACTACAATAGGAGGGCACACATAATGCACACAAGGGATACCCCCGGAGCACCTGGCTCAGGTGACCAGGAAGACCGTGCTTCCAGGCCCCACAGGACATCTACTACATTAGTTCACTCCAGCAATACTGGAAGATGTAGCAGCTCTATCGAATGCATAGAACAAAACACAGGGCAGCAGCCAAAATTAGGAGATAAACATGTCCCAAATGAAAGAATAGAACAAAAACTCCAGAGAAAGAACTAAAAATGGAGACAAGCAGCCCACCAGATGCAGAGTTCAAAACACTGGTTATAAGAATGCTCAATGAACTTAAGAAAAGAGTTGATACACTCAGTGAGAACTTTATTAGAGAGATGGGCAGCATAAAAATAGAGACAGAAAATGTAAAAAAGAACCAGTCAGAAATGAAGAATACAATGACTGAAATGAATACATTAGAGGGAATCAACCATAGACTAGGTGAAGCTGAGGATCGAATCAGAGATTTGGAAGACAAGGCAGTAGAAAACACCCAATCAGAACAGCAAAAAAAAGAAAAAAGAATCAAAAAAAAAAAAAGAGGATTGTTTAAGAGGCAGCTGAGACAACATTTGCCTCATAGGGGTACCAGAAGAAGAAGAAGAGAAAGCAAGGAATTGAAAACCTTTTTCAAGAAATAATGATGGAAACTTTCCTAACCTGGTGAAGGAAATAGACCTGCAAGTCCTTGAAGTACAGACAGTCTCACACAAGATGTATCCAAAGAGGCCCACACCAAGACACATCATAGTTAAACTGCCAAAGGTTAAAGAAAAAGAGAGAATCTTAAAAGCAAGAGAAACACAGTTACCTACTAGGGAGCTCCCATAAGACTGTCAGCTGATTTCTCAACAGAAACAGTTCAGGCCACAAGGGATTGGCATCAACTATTTAAAGAGATGAAAAGCAAGGACCTACAACAAAGATTACCCAGCAAAGTTATCATTTAGAATCAAAGGACAAACAGCTTCCTGCACAAGAAAAAGCCAAAAGAGTTCATCACCACCAAACCAGTATTACAAGGAATGTTAAAGGGTCTTCTTTAAGAAGAAGAAAATAGGAATAATAAAATGTCAGTAACTAC